CTTCTGATACTCAGTGATTGGCGCGCCAGAGTTTAGGTGGGGTTGTTGCGTGTATTTAGCACTATAACTGGTTCAAAACGTTCGCGAACGGGCACAGTGATCGAGTCGCCATGGAGAAGAAGGGATGGTGGGGTTTGTATTTTAATGTGCGCCATCGTGAGCTGGAGCAGTGTTGCTCCGCAAGCGGGGGGTCGAGCCTTTTTCGTGTTCGGAGATTCACTGGTGGACAATGGCAACAACAATTACCTGGCCACCACCGCCCCGCGCCGACTCATATCCTTACGGCATCGATTCTCCCTCTCACAGAGCCACCGGCCGTTTCTCCCATGGCCTCAACATCCCCGACATCATCAGTAGCTTCACTCCACTGCTTCTGTCATCACCCTGTCTTTATATCTACGTGCGTGCACGTACGCTGACCATCATCCCCTATATATCATGCAGGTGAGAAAATTGGATCCGAACCCACGCTGCCGTATTTGAGTCCGGAGCTCAACGGAGAGGCGCTCCTCGTCGGTGCTAACTTTGCTTCTGCGGGAATAGGAATTCTGAACGACACTGGAATTCAGTTTGTAAGGCCTCATCTAATGATATATTTAATCGCGTTGGTACGTGTGCGTTTTAGGAAGCTAGGAAAAGAGAGTGATGATTAAATGTGGGAAACGGGTGCAGATAAACATAATCAGAATCGGGCGACAGTTGCAGCTGTTCGAACAGTACCAGCAGCGGGTGAGCGCACTGATCGGAGAGGAGCAGACGGGACGACTGGTGAACGAAGCGCTGGTACTCATAACACTGGGCGGCAATGATTTCGCGTCAACAACTATTACCTGGTGCCCTTCTCCGCCAGATCTCGCCAATTTGCCCTCCCCGATTATGTCGTCTACCTCATTTCCGAGTATCGCAAGATTCTCGCGGTACGCTTTCTCTGCCAAGTTTCTGCTTCTGGTTCATTGATGTTATTAGCGCATATGTTTACTGTTATTTGCCAGCGAACACATAGTATGGAGGGTAAAATCCAAAACCAAAAAGGAAAAACAATGAAAATGGAAAGGAATATGAAATAGTATGCAGGTAGGAGCAGGGTAGAAAGGTGAAGGTACTAGCTAGGTAGGGGAGATGGTGAACCAGAGAATTTAATTAATTAATAAAAGGGAATGAATGAATGCAGCAGCTGTATGAGCTGGGAGCGAGAAGAGGCTGGTGACGGGGACGGGGACACAATAGGGTGCGTGCCGGAGAGTTGGCGCAGCACAGCAGGAACGGAGAGTGCTACGCAGAACTGCAGAGGGCGGCAGATTTGTTTAATCCACAGCTCGTCCAACTGCTCGCCCAGCTCAACTCTGAAATTGGCTCCGACGTCTTCATCTCCGCTAATGCCTTCGCCATGCACATGGACTACATCACTGATCCTCAGGCTTACGGTAATATTTTTATTATTTTTAACTCACTCATCATGTGCATGCCCCTATCTTTAATTTGTGAGGTGCACGTGGGCGGTTCAGTAAAATTTACATTCATTAATTAATTAGTACTACTCCCGTTCCGTCAACTATGTATGTATGTATGTATGTACGTACGTACATACATATCATCTGCTGTTTCACAATGAATTCCAGGCGTTAGTGGGGGTGGGGCCGGCAGGGGACCATACGCTTACGTACCACGCTCCCAGTAAATGCATGTCTGTCTGTACGTCGTTTATTTGTTCTAGTATTACGGGTGACAGAGAGTTAGGTGCGACTCCGATATTCACCGGTAACTGCATTTAACATGCGCCGTGTAGCATTACGTACGATTAACCCCAAGGCCCCAACGGCTTGCTTGTTTTGAAAAGAATGGAAACATGTGTGTGCAGGATTTGTGACGTCCAAGGTGGCGTGCTGTGGTCAAGGACCTATAATGGGATAGGGCTGTGCACTCCGGCGTCGAACCTGTGCCCAAACAGGAGACATATTTGCATTCTGGGATCCCTTTCATCCCAGCGCGAGAGGGCAACCGCCTCATCGTGGACAGATTCATGACCGGATCCACCCAATATATGAACCCCATGAACCTCAGCACCATCTTGGCTCTGGATTCCAGGACCTAGTTAAGCTGGCTGGCTTCTGCATGCCCTTTATTTATTCCTATATATATATACATCACCGTGCTTCCTCTACTCTTATATTGTATTCCTTCACTTGGCTGGGTGACATGTCTCTGCGTACTTTCTCCTCCCCTGATTCTTCCCATTAATTAATCATGGCAATGCGTCTAGAATCAACTAAATATTACAATTTACAAACAAACATTTCCTACAAATACGACAAACGGTTCACATACAAAAGATATGTTACTTCTTCATCCAAAAGAGAAAAGAAAGATATGTTACTCCCTAAAGAATATTCTGATGCCCAACAATGATATACCATTCAAGCCACGATTTTTTTAAAAAGAATTATCATACGAGCCTTTATAAATTATAATTATATTTTACTGTGAAAAAATAGTGACATATTAGGATATGCGCCTATAATGAAATACGCGAAGGGAATCTATTTAATAATGAAATTCCCGTTCAAACGAGTCAATGCGGATCGCTTGGTGCGGGCAGCAGGGCATTATTTAATTTATGGGACGAAGCCCACCTCAAAGTGATGATAGAGTTCGGCCCTTAAGAAAGTGTACATATGAGAAGAGAGGTGGCCCAGACTGACTGAGCCACTTGTTCGGGCCTTAAACACGCCTCCTCGCATTGACTTATTCTCAATGGTCAATACACCAACGCAACGTGTGTCCGAAGCTTCTCTTTTTCCTCCTCCCCGGTCCTCCGTCGTGTCGGAGAGCATGGGCCCCCAAACAGGAGATGCAATTTTTACACTTGATTTTATTAGGAAAACTTAGTTTCATCCGTCATCCTGCTCTTGTATGTAAAATACGGAATTGGTGGGTTTGGACCTGCCCGGGAGCGCATCGAAAGGGACATGCGGTGAAGTCGTGAGACGGGGCCGTTGACCGTTTCACTATGAAACTCTTTTATTGGAGCGCACAATTTTAAAAGGGGTCTGAGCGCAGCTTGAGCAGGCCATATCGTCTGAGTTTTTTTCTTTTTTCCCGGTCAAATGGAGATGGAAAGGCAAAGGGAGCGAAAGATAGGAAGCAAAACTTGCACAGGCAGTCAAGTTTTAAGCCAAAACTGCGCTTGGTACACGAGGAATAAAAAATCATAAACTCTCCGGCATGACCTGAATATCCTTTACGTAAATACTCCAAAAATTAGTGCATCGACGCTGTATTGATATAGAATAAAAGGCTAATATTTTGTCCTAAGAATTGGATCGATGTTTAGTTCAATGAGGCCAGTAAACATATATACAATTAAATTAACCGCAGAGACAGCATTTTCTGAGAGGCTGAGATATGAAGCCCCGATGTATAGCTGGTGCGTACGTGTGTGGCTGTGGACCTGTTATTTGTGAAGGCTGCAGCTTTGGGGGTGAAGGCTGCAGCTTTGGGGCTCAGGAGAGATGGAAATGAGAGTGAACGGAACTGGAAATGGAGGGCAGCCGCATGTGAGCGTGCAATTAACTGCCAACCCTAACCCCACCTCACTTCATCACTTCCACATGCCCTCCAATCGCTTAACTCGTTCCCTTTTACCCCGGTCACCCAACTATTCCGATCCCCTCCATCTATCCTTTCTTAATAATATTTTTTAACCCACACCAAGGTATTATTAGAGTGACCACGTACAGCCCCTCCCTATCATTGCTCATATAAATTAATAGACCCAAAATACCTGCACCATGCAACACTATATATATTCTCTCTTCTAATCCTAGTTTATTTTGTTTTCGCTCAGTTCCATATATATTTCAATCCGTTTTGAATTTGTAACCGCGGTTTTCTTCCCTCAGGGTCATTATTTATGCTTTGTACTTTTAAAAAAACAAAGCCAAAACAATATTATTCTGGAAAATTACGCCGACCAAACTCCGGGGGCCTTTTCTGAATGAAAAATTTTCCCTTCTCCCCTTCTTTTTTGCGTGTTGCCTCATTAATTATTTTTAATGATATCACCAGGGCGGGAATGTTAATTATTTGAACTCAGCAACCATCTATCGTCCGTCGCTGATCAATATTAATGAGTGCCCAAATTACCTGACTGGCTGCTGCTAGCGGACGATAATAATGGAAGCTGATCATAATTAGCCATTAATGTGATTGTGATCGGGGTGTATTAAGAACATCCTGATGAGACTGTGAGTCGGGCGAAGATCGATGAACAGGCGTGGTAGTACAGTGATGTCATGTTCTCAAGTCGACAATGCAGCAATCTACTTTTAGAAATGGTCGATCGGCTTGAAATTAAACATCAAAGCTGGAAGAGCAATTCTGCCGGAACGTAGTTTTGAAGTTTGATACTCACCCTTTGACGTATTAATTTCTCACCTACTCTCCCACACAAGAGTGAAGCATATCAAGTGCGTCGGATGCCCCTTTGCTGCATGCAAAATATATACAGAGAGAGAGAGAGAGAGATGCAAGGTGGTGGTAAATTTTAAAATAAATAAATATATTTTTAGTATTTGCTTGTGATAACGCTCTTGATCCAGGATGAGTGGCGAAGACTATATATGTACACTGTTTTATTACCGGGCTGTAAGGAGGACGGCCGGTAATAAGTGAGAGTGGGGTTGACGTAGCCCTACATTTTGATGCGAAGAATGAAATGTTTAACGAGAGAGGAAAAAGGTACGATAAGGAACTGGGCAGAGCAATTACTCGAGGGTACATATATAGACGGCTTGATTCGGCGGCTGCTTTAAAGCTGGAGTGAGTGGTGGTAGAAGAAGACATTAATGATCGTGGCTCACAGAGATCAACACCAACGCAGGCCAGACTTTATATAAAGCCACACACCCGTTGATTGCCAATCCATTACAAAGTACGAGTAAATATTAGTGTGAGCGATCCCACGTATGTACGTGCATTGTTATAGAGAAATTAAAGGTAAAATGGCTGGGTGTTGGGTGTTTGGTTATTATTGTGCAATAGCAAGCTTGGTGGTAGCAGCGAGTTCAGTCTGTGCACAGCCAAAGCGGGCTTTCTTTGTATTTGGGGACTCCCTGGTAGATAGCGGCAACAATGATTACCTGGCGACCACTGCACGCGCAGACGCTCCCCCCTACGGCATTGACTACCCAACTCGCAGACCCACTGGCCGTTTCTCTAATGGCCTTAACATCCCCGACTTAATCAGTACACATCGCTCTGATACTCAAACAGTTTCAGTTCATGCTTAGTTTTGGTGTTTATATGTATATAAAATGTAGGAGTTGATCATGCAGGTGAGCAGCTTGGCTTAGAGCCCACTCTCCCATATTTGAACCCTCAACTAACTGGAGAGAAGCTGCTGGTTGGCGCGAATTTTGCGTCCGCCGGCATCGGGATTCTCAATGACACCGGATTTCAGTTTGTGAGTGATTAATTATGCGTGCATTTTCCATTATGCGGTTTCTAGGGACGTGATGAGGTTAATATGCGTGTGCTGTATATTTGTGGCAGCTGCATATCATCCACATCTACAAGCAGCTGAAGCTTTTTGAACATTACCAGCAAAGGCTGGGCGCACATCTTGGCGCAGAAGGAGCCCGTCGACTAGTAAACGGAGCACTCGTGCTTATCACTCTCGGCGGCAACGATTTCGTCAACAATTACTATTTGGTTCCCTACTCTGCAAGATCTCGCCAATTTTCTCTCCCAGATTACGTTCGCTATCTCGTTTCTGAGTACCGCAAAATTCTCAGGGTGGGTATTCTCTCCCTTATTATTTGGGCTAAGATTCCTGTTGTATGTATATATATAAATGCCAAACAAATACGTGACTGCGTGTAATCATACATGCCGATTGCGTGACTTAGAAGGTGGTGGCCATGCAAAGTGACCACTGACATGGACGTTGGGTAGGGTCGGTGTGGAATGCCAAGGCTCGTCCGTGCAAGTCACCAGTGGACCTTATTAAATGCGCTTTTTTTTTTTTTGCTTTGAGACGCATTCATTTAATTAAGTATGCGTTAATATAATCAGCTCTCCCTCGCTTGCTTGCTCTTTAGCATGGTACACAACGGATATTAAACAAGTAGCTGGTTGTTGTTTTGTACTGTAATTGAATTGTTTTGCGCAACTTGGTCAAGGCAGAGACTATACGATTGGGAGGAAGGAGGGTGATCGTAACGGGAACGGGACCGATGGGATGCGTTCCTGCAGAATTAGCCTTGAGGGGCAGAAATGGGGACTGCGCCGAGGAACTCCAGAGAGCGGCGTCGTTATTTAATCCCCAGCTGGTTGACATGATCTCGGGCCTCAACCAGGAGGTTGGTGCTGACGTCTTCGTGGCGGCAAATGCCTATCAAATGCACATGGACTTCATTACCAATCCTCAAGCTTATGGTACGTACGTGCTCCGTAGTGTACACGTGTCAGTATAACTTGTGTTTCGGTCAACTTGTTCTGAGCACGGATCGGGCCTGCAGGATTCGTAACGTCCAAGATAGCGTGCTGTGGCCAGGGCCCATACAATGGGGTTGGACTGTGCACACCGCTTTCAAACCTGTGCCCCGACAGAGACCTCTACGCCTTTTGGGACTCCTTCCATCCATCGGAGAAAGCCAGCAGAATTATAGTCCGCCAGATTCTCGCAGGCTCCACTCAGTACATGCACCCCATGAATCTCAGCACCATCATGGCCCTCGATTCCAGGACCTGAATTATTCCTTATTTTCTGCCCTGTTTTTATTTACGCCTCGCTACGTACGTTTCTCCGCATAATTCCTGTGTTTCCATCTCTTGTAGTAATAAATTGTTCTGGGTTAAACGGATACATCCGTGGTGCCATTATAATTTACACTAGTTTGTTCTTTCAAATTTGTTGTCAGTCAGGTGAAGATCAGTTTCCGTATATATAAAGCTTTAATTCATTTTGTTTTTCATATTTATCTATTTTTTTTCATAGTAATTCTTATAATAATGATAATTTTAGTCAATAATATTTGATTAGTAATTATATTTTAGAAAAAGACAATATCTATTTATTACAAATAGCCAGCAACTAGTTTTTTTAAGGAAAAAAGACAGTAAAATACCCTTAAAATTACTAAATAACATATCAGGATAGGTGAATTTCAAAATCTTAATTCATGCCTCAGGTACTATTTTGGAATTTTTAATATTGTAAACTGACAACATTGTCTTTAATACCAGTGACTACTTCCATGTAACTATTTTTGAGGCCTAAAAGGCCTTTGTGTAATTTTACAAGATTTAAAAATTTCAAAAAAAATACGTAGGGTCTGAATTGAGATTTTAAAATCCAGATACCCTCATTTGTCATTTAGTATTTTTGAGAGTATTTTAGTGTCTTTTTTCCTTTTATTAATCTACTTAAATTAGTTAATTAACTATTATATTAAGGACCGGAAGTACTACTATGTATTGTATATATTAAATCATAAAGGGATAAGGTGCATCCAGTACTCTAAATTATTTTATGGTGCATACAACATCTTGAAGTATCTTTTTAGGTATGTCTAGCACTTTAAAGTATTTTTTTAAAGATACATCCAGCTCTCAAAATAGTTTTTTGTGTGTCCAACACGAAAAAAAAAAAAAACTTGTGCGTATCTAAAAAATCGATTTTCTCCCTCCTCCTATATTCGTCTGCGTGATCCATTGCCTCTATCATTTCCACCATGTTCTTCCAATCTTCCATCACTGTCGCTGTTGCTGTTGCCGTCACCATCGCCTCATCCTCTTCATTCTTATTTGTGAGTTTTTCACCTCCATTCTTTCTGTGGATTTTGCAGTTTTTGTGGTTTGATATGATTATTTTCTTTAGTTAAAAATAAGATGCTTAATCTGAGTTTAAAGAGATCTGATTTTTAGCAGATTTGAGTTTTTGATTTTATCAGATCTGAGTCTTTGATTTTACCTTTATTAAATCTTAGTTACTTCGATCTGGTGGCCGAAGGTGAAGCTAAGTGACGCTATGAATGCAGGAAAGAATCTATATTTACTCCATCAAAATGCTTTTAACTGGCGAGAGATTTCATTTGAGGTTTTGTTCTCCTGTTCCCTCCTGATCAGTAAGACGAAACGTAGCTTAAAGGAATAAAAAATTTTCACATATCACGGCGGTTCTTAAACCGCCGTGAAAAGCTTATTTTAACCGCCGTTAAATGTATTTTTTGTAGTAGTGCTTCCATATAACTATTGACTACTTTTGTTTTCAAAATTCCGATGACTACTTTTGTATAGCTATTAACTACACAAAAGTAGTAAATCGCATTACTGGAGTAGTCAGTAGCTTAACAATAGTAGTTTTCGGAACTCCAGTGGTCGGTCGCCTAAGTTCCGGTGGTTGGTCGCCGACGTTAGAACTCCGGTGGCCGGAATTGCTGAGTGGGTAATATTTTAAAAAAAAGGTTAAAAAAATAGTAAAAGGCCTTTGTGTAATTTTATAAGATTTAAAAATTCTAAAGAAGTACCTGGGGTCTAAATTGAGATTTTAAAATTCAGATACCCTCATTTGTCATTTAGTATTTTTGAGAGTATTTTGGTGTCTTTTTCCCTTTTCTGAATCTACTTAAATTAATTAATTAACTTTATATTAAGGACTGAAAGTATTACTGTGTATTGTATATATTAAATCATAAATTGACTAGTACCCTAAATTATTTTATGGTGCATACAGCACCTTGAAATATCTTTTTAGGTGTGTCTAGCATTTTAAAGTATTTTTTTAAGGTACATCCAGCCCTCAGAAATATTTTTTTGTGCATCCAACACGAAGGCAAAAAAAAGACTTCAAAGTCTTGTACGTATCTAAAAAATATTTTAAGATACTAAATGTAAAAAAAAAAATCAAGATAAATGTATTTTAACCTAATTATTAATAATAAGCAGGGCCCAGACGGCCCCTTCCTTTTGGGAATAAGGAAGGCAAGCAAAGAAAGGCCCTTTGCTTAGTCGTCAACAGAGTAACGTTCCTCTCCCGACAGGCAAAAAACCCCAGTGGTCGGAAGTGAAAGGGGAAGGAATAAGTTTAGACAGTACGAGGAGGGAGGTCAAACCCGACAACCTCTTCGCAGAAAACAGTTTAGGACATACATTGAATAAAAATTATTTAAGCATTCCCATAATATTTCAAACATAGTTTTAAAGTTTATTTATTTACTCAATTCCATTATCATTCCCATAAAATTTATTTTGTGCATCAAACAGGGCCTAAAATTTGAAAACCGGCCCCCATAAAGGCTCTGCCACAATATATGACATTATGTCATCGGCACGCTCCCCTACTTCTAAATACAATCCACGCATCTCAAATTGTCGCATGTTTAAATTGAAAAGCACCGGACATGGCAAATTACAATTTCAATAAAATGTTTTCTTAAAAATATTTTAAAATATTATGTTCATATTTTTTCGAATAATTTGTCTGTCTTATACATTAATATATATAATCTAATAATTCTCATAAATATTTTAAATAAATCATGTTATGTGTTTTATAATTAAGTTTTTTTTTAATTTATTCATTTTTTGAAATTAATTAGCTGTGCTTTTTGCTAAGGACCAAAGGTGATAGTATAAATGGTGGTGTGCCGCTGTCTATGACTATTTCTTTTTTTACTTTCTTATATAATAGAATTGGCTTTTTCATGGAAAAAAAATTATGCGTGATGAAGCTGGTTTTTTCCCTGAGAAATACCCCCTTTTTTGGTCTTTTGGCGTTTTTTTGGGGTGGGGGGGGGTGTTGGTCTTGACCAGGCATGTGAAGGACAAGAGGCGGGGCACAGGCGGCGTAGGAACAGGACCGAGATTAAATTCTGGGACTGAATCTCGTTTGGTCGCATTAATTGGGCCTCCCAATGCGTTGTACCCCCCTCCCTACTTCTCCCCAGACATGCTATCCTTACACATGCTACATTTGATTTTCAATATAAAAATTAGTTTGATATTTAATCTGTTTATAAATATAAAAATTTATTTTATTTTATTTTTCATAGTTATCTATATTTTTTTCAGAATAATCCTTATAGTGGTTGCATGTGTTAAGTATTTCCATAAAAATATAATTTTGACACACATTATTAGCAAGAGCACTTTATAAAAAATAGCACCTATTTAATACACATAATTAACTTAATTAATTTTTTGATATACTCAAGTTAGTTAACTAACTCTTATATTAAGGATAATGAGTAATATTAAATAGCATAGATCAACAGGAGTGGATCTAGTAGAAAGGTTGGTCTCTCGCAATGTAATAAGTTAGAGTTTGAATCCTTATTAAGAGAAGTGTCTACATTCAGTATCTGACAGTATCTCGAATATGATTGTTTTTAATAAAAAAAATAGCTGCACTTATAAAGAAATAGCATATGCTCTTCTCTTTTTCTCGGTCACAGATCAAATTACATTCTTTTATTGGAAAAACCATCATTCTGGTTCTTATTACAAGTCTCTTGCAAGTAAAGAACAATCGGTGTCCAAGAAGTATAAGTCATTATTAATGACTTTTTTAAAATTTTAACTCTATTTAATTTGTGTTGGAAAGAGATAGATGAAGTAGATAAATGTAAGAATGATTTGTAAATATAGAGATAAAAAAATAATTTGAGACATATTTGATGACTCAACCGTAAATGAGTTACTAAGTAATTTATACACAAAGACAAGAGTGACCCTCTTTTTCCTTGACGTAACTAAACGGAGCAATGAATGATGGGTTAAACATACGAAACGTGCTGTTGAGGATGCGATGAGGTGTGCTCCAAGTCACATGCGTCGGGATGGGGAATTAATTAACGGTAAATTTTATTTCAGATCATAGCACGTAAATTTAATTAATTGGCAGTGAAAGTTAGCTGAGGAAAAGTGCGAGAATGAGATTAATCAACGGTTGGAAGGTCCAAATCATGAGCCGTTTTTGCAGCCAACTTTTATGTTATATATGGGACATAGGTGTGGAGTGGTTAGCATAGGGACAATATTCCACGCGATCGCAGTCTTCACAAAAAGCCTTGCAGAACGGGTTTGCTTACCTAACATACATACACTGTACTATTACGCAGGCTGCAAATTAAATTTAGTGAGAAAATTGTTATAAAAATGCACATTTTCCTTGTGCACTGGAATTTGTTATGGATACCATATCATTTAACAATAACACAAATTTGTACATATTTCCGGTGAGCTTCTTCTCTAAATTAAACTGCAACATGCAAGTAATTAACGTCGCGGTTAATTCATCGACTTCCCCAAAATTTACAAGGGTGAATATATAATTTGATAAACATGTTTAAAGAGAAAAACACATATATGAACCGTGATAGACATTGCTCCCAAGCGTGTACATGTATATTGTTCTAACTTACTTCACAGAGTTTGGATGTAGTTTTCAAATTGAAGTGTAAAACAGGGAAATAGCTCAGATGAGAAATAAGTGTATAAATAAAACCCTGCAGGGAAGACAAATATATATATATATATCATGCGCACACACTATATCTCAATGACACGCTGCTCTCTGTCAAAATATCTCACAAAATTAAAAATTATATTCTATGGATTTAAAATTGCAGTTTCCAGCGCCTAGGCAGATAGCAAAGCAAGCGCAAGAACCCTGTCCGTGTTCGTGGTACCATAACGATGCACGCTCTGCTTTCATATGCCGTTTGCTGCATGTATATTCATTTTTAAACTCCTTCTCTCTCTTTTAACTCTCCCCTAAAAACTGCTACTACGTCCAAACATCCCGGACTTTCATGTGCAGTAATGTGGCTCTAATATATATTGACTCATGTCAAGAGACAAAGTTATATAATGAGTCCATCTTATTCATGTGCAGTATACTGCTGATGTATGCATCTATAAGAATATATCCAAGTGTCTGTGGCTGCAGCTGGCTAACGAAAGTGTGGGGGGACAGAGTAAAAGAATGGCGGTTCCGACATGGGACAAAAGAAAAAAAACACAGCAGGAGACGATGTCAGGAGGAAGAAGGAAGTTGATATCTATGTGTGATGGGCAGTGTTTGAACGAGGCGGGACAACAGACGGAGAATGAAAGCTTCCTTTTGAAGGATGGTAATCCAATTAAGAAGGCTGTACAAGCACCGGCATTCTCAGGCATAGGCTTCTCGCAATTTAAATGTCAATAGGCAACCACCTATACTAATTGATTATGTGCTGTTACTAGCTAGCAACGTGGACCAGTCGCGTCTACACATACAATGACACAACCAGTTGGCACACTATATAACACCTATAATTGCCATTGTTGAGGAAAGCATCGATAAAGTTTGGTCTGGGATATATCAGATATCACGCCCCCGCACTCCCTCTTAATTCCCTGATCCATGGCTACCTCTCTGGCTTTGATGGTCCTGGGCGTAGTCATGGCATTGGCAGCAGGTGGGGCAGAAGGAGCCCCCAGGGCTTTCTTTGTGTTTGGCGATTCGCTGGTTGACAATGGCAATAACAATTACTTGGCAACCTCAGCTCGGGCTGACACTCCTCCTTACGGCATCGACTACCCCACTCGCACACCCACTGGCCGTTTCTCTAATGGCTACAACATTCCTGACTTCATCAGTAACAGCCCGATCCTTTTTTGCGCCTGTGTCCCAACGCATTGCTTATATGTGACTAATTAACTTGCCTCCCGCAGGTCAAGAACTTGGCTCAGAATCCACCCTGCCATATTTAAGTCCTGAGCTCACCGGACGAAGATTGCTTGTTGGCGCCAACTTTGCCTCTGCCGGCATTGGAATTCTCAACGACACCGGAATCCAATTTGTACGTTGCACCATCGTGATAGTATTTTAGAATCACAGCACTCAGTTCTCTACCAACCATATACATGACGCACCATCTGGCGTTGTCAGGATAAATACACATATATAGCTTAATACCTGAGTTAATTACTTGAATGGCATGCGTTCTGAAGAAAAGTAAGCAAATTTTGCAGGTTAACATAATCAGAATATACAGGCAGCTAGAGTACTTTGAAGAATACCAGCAAAGGGTGCGTGCTCTGATCGGAGCTGCGAGGACGAAGCGATTAGTGAATGGAGCACTAGTGCTCATCACTCTCGGAGGCAATGACTTTGTGAATAACTACTACTTGGTGCCTTTCTCAGCCAGATCCCGCCAGTTCGCTTTACCAGAGTACGTCAAATATTTGATCTCCGAGTACGAGAAGATTTTACGGGTGAGCTTCCAAATCTGATGCATGCAAGCTCTCTCTGTTTTTTTTTTTTTTGGGGGGGTGCATTGATAAAATTGTGGATACGTGCGCGATTTCAGAGACTACATGATATTGGAGCTCGAAGAGTGCTGGTGACGGGAACTGGTCCATTGGGGTGCGTACCGGCAGAGTTGGCGCAGCGGAGCAGAAACGGGGAATGCTCAGCACAGTTGCAGCGAGCAGCGTCCCTGTTCAACCCACGGCTGGTGCAGATGCTGGGTCGACTCAACCGCGAAATTGGCTCTCAGGTCTTCATCGGGGTCAACACACGGCAAATGCACCTTGATTTCATCTCTAACCCTCAGGCATTCGGTAAGAAGAAACCTTAATTAAAGACCAAATGTGTTCATGAATTAAAATGATGCGTTGAGGTTTGATTTACTTTGTCGCTTGGGAGCAGGATTTGTAACCTCAAAGGTGGCGTGCTGTGGTCAAGGACCGTATAATGGCCTCGGATTGTGCACGGTAGCATCTAACTTGTGCCCAGACCGTGATGCGTACGCATTTTGGGACCCATTCCATCCTTCCGAGAGAGCCAACAAGTTGATTGTCCAACAGATCATGTCAGGCAGCAGCAAATATATGCACCCCATGAATCTCAGCACCATTTTGGCCCTCCATTCCTCCAACTAATTATTCGTCTATTTCGCCTTCCTTTATTCTACTATTGCCGTGGCTTTTAATTTGTTTGATCGTGTGGGAGGGTCTGAGAGCTCCTTGTGTGCCCTCTCGTCTTATTTGCAGTTGCTTCTGTCATCATCTCCCTGTTGGAACATGTCTCCCCTTCCCTGTGTTTGGAGCCCAGGCTCTTCCCAGATTATTATACGGATATACTCCCTTTCTTATTATAAGAGACATTTGATGCTTATGGCATGTTCCTATATATAAGAGACACTTAAAAGTTGTCTCTACTTTTTTGTGTTGATTTCCTATTTTACCCATATTTATTGTTTCCAACTTACACTCTCTCTCCTTTCCACTTCTCTTTCTTTTAATAAATTACCATTGTCTCTCTCTTCTTATCAATGAGGGCATTTTTGAAAAAAAATTATACTTTTATATATTGATTGTTTTTAACTAATTTTAACTGTTTTTTTTATTAACGTAATTTGGTTATTCTTCTCTTATAATAAGAAACGGAGGGAGTACCATAAAGCGCTCTCTTTTTTCACTATGACATTCTCTTTCCCCCCTCATAACTGCATCCTGAATGAATTCATAGCCCTCAATCAATATACCGCCCTTTTGACTTCCATGGACCATCATAATTTATACACCACGCTGTCAGAGAAAGCCTAAAATTCTTATTAGCTTCCCATTCCCAACGTGCCCACATGAATGTTTAATAGCCCAAAATGAAGATATATTAAGGAGTCAAATAAAACATTCGATTCGCTGCTATTTTCCCCGCGAATTAGCAAAAGCTTACGGACCGATAAAGCAAAGAAAAATCACGCTCAACTACCCCCATTTTCTCCTAACCTCCCTGGTATTTATTCAGTTGAAAAGATTTAAAGGCGAGATAAAATGAAGCATTTTTCTTCTGTCTGGAGGTCAGCTCCACGCATCTCCCCCCCCCCCGGGGGTCAGGAGCGAGGAATTTGGAGGAGGGGTTGGGGGCTAAATTTCACTGTGACTAATTTAGTCTCATTAGCCTATGCAATTTCAATAATGTCATTGACCCAACTTTTATGGGTTTACCGTTGATATTTGGTATGCATTAAAACTATTAATTTAGTTGATAAAAAATGCTGACAAAATAAATATAAATACAAACATATTAACTTCTAAAAAATGTCTTGTTGGCGTATTTTAATTTTACAAGATACAAATAATTGGAATAAAAAATAGTATTTGAAAATATTTTGCCTGCATTTAATGTTGCTGTGTCAGTATTTTGCATTAATTATATCAATGGCGTTAAAGTTACAGAACTAAGAAATATTTTATGAAATCAGGACATAAGTTGGAGTTTTGTATAAAGTTCGAGGATTGAATATGTATTCCTGTCTTATAATAAATAATACATGATATTTGCATGGATGCTTTTACTAACCATGTTTATTTTTACTGAGTGCGCATTTGAAATATAAGAAGGATGAATTGCTGTACAAGTATTTTATTTTTTATGAACAAATTCAAATTTGATGACCGATAAATGGATGGTGACACGCTTAGGATCATAATTAATTTCCTTTATTTTCCAAGCCAAGTAAGGTTAATTCACATACCCCACGTCTAAATCTCCACACCTAATTATCAATAAATTTTTTAAACTTCAAACCATTCGCAAACCCTTCCTTAAAATCACATAGCATCAATCAGATTAGTTTACATGGGAAATGACATCTAATGACTACTAAAAATGAATTAATGAAATTTAAAAGGCTTTGATTCTTAAAATTCTTCGGAATGAATAATTCAGTCTTTCAATTATTATAAAATAATTTCGAATTTAATTTTTTTTGAAAACTCGTGAATAATTATTTTTAAGAGTACTGACACTAATCATAAATGTACGAGTAATGATGGTATATAATATTTTTAAAAATAATATTATAATGTCTAAAATTGTTATATATTTGATTTGGTAGAATGTTTATGTTATAAAATTATAAAATATAATGGCAGGGAAATAAAACATGTATACTTTTAATAATGTATAGAGTCGAAAAAATAACACTAATAAAGAAAAAACTGCCATAAAATCTTAAATAAAGAACATAATTACTTGAAATTTAAAAGTTCCAGTAATAACAAAGCAATTTATAATGATAATTGTTAGTGTATAAAATAACAAGTAACAACTGTTTACCTGTTATTGATACTAATAATTTTTCTTTGACCTTATTGTAATTCTCTCTAATATATATAAGTTTTCGGTGGAAATATATATATAATTATACATACAGATAAATATAAATATAAATAACTAAACTTCTGGTAAAAAATAAAAATAACTATAGAATAACACATATACAAATATAAAGATGAATTTTATGGATTTTATTTAGGCTTAAAAGCACAAGCGTTGCCCAGCCGCGCGCATTCTTGCGCGGGAAGGCAAGTCGGTAATAAGTCGGGCGGCATGGAACTTTTCAGTTGTGCTTTTCAGGCGGGAAACGTTCCAATTATAATAGACCATCACACGGGTCTTTCAATTCTCAGTGTGGGGTTCCCTATGAGCTGAAGCATTGAATAATGTTCTGTGTTTGATATTGTGTATACGGACCGGTGGAGGGATAATGCGTGAACAACGGAACTAGTTTGAAAGTCATCATCTGATAATAAAAGCAGATAAGGAGGTGCCAACGCTTCATTATATTCAACCGCTCGTTGCTTCGTGGGGTGGTCAATCAACCATCCGTTTCCATCTCCTGACCTGAGTGGCGTCTGTGTAAGTCTGTATAGTCATCTACTTGTAATAGCCGTTTTGTTTTTGGCTTGACGATATTGTAAGTTTACACAACGGTAACAGTGGATCTGGAACTCAAGAAAAGATTTGTATATATTGAGATAAAAATTTAACGCAACATCTGCTTGTTTTTCTTTTCCTTGGGAAACTAGATCTAAACAGAGGCTGATTGAGTAAGTTTTGGAGCCTATTTAAACTGAAATATTCATATGCTCATACATGTTGGGGGAGTCACTACAGAGAGAATTGACTTCCGAGCTTTACTTTGTTCTTTAAGCACTTCTGGCATTGATAGAATTACTTGGGTCGTAACTTGTAAGGGCTTGCCACAGGTGGCGAGTAAATAATTGCAGCTATGAAAATACTGAATTGTCGCATCCGTTATCCCTTAATTAGTTATTTTAAGCTCCATGCCATTTGAAATTTTTATTTGCGTACTTAGACATAAATAGCCAATCTCCTGTGTGTTAACGGACGGACATGATAGTTATATTCCGTGAGATTTCCTGTAGAAGAAGCTCTTTGAAACAACCATTAGGAAGATGCGAAACTTGTTCAGTTAAAGGGTGCCGGAGGATGGTCTGAGAGCTACTGATGGAGAGTTATATTATTCTAATTGAGGAGGATATTAAAATGGATCGTCGTTCTAATTTCTAGGGGCTTGGAGTTTGTCTATGAGGTGGAGGCAGCTGAGGTGAAGGTAACGAAATTTCAGGTAACTTGTGCTCCTTTTTTTATTTTGGGGCGGGGGGGGGGGGGGAGGGGGGGATGCTAATTGACCTGGTAACTGATGCAGGGATTCTCAAATTTCTATGTCGTGTTCATGATGGACTGTCACTGAACCGCCCTCTGTAAAATACTTTTTTAGACACCAGCGAGTGAGGGGCAATAAAACAACGAGTCTCATTTCAAATTTGAGGTCTGAGAGAGATTTTTGGAGGTACGCCTTTTGCTCTATCCTCCTTTTTTCCCCCAGCCCTTAGCTTTCTGCCTTCGTTGTATGGTGTTATAAATTGTGCGCTCGCTGCCTGCCTTATCTAGTGCCGAGAGGACCTGGCTAATTCATGGGAGTATTTTATTATTGCTTGGGCTTGAAGCCGTCGTGGAAGTTAATGGATTTCATCATTATTGACTGAGAATTAAGCAACCGATGGCCCTACCGTTGCCACCCCACTTGTTCTTACAGTAAATTTGGTTACTGTGTATACATAACGTAATAGCATCTAAATTTAGGTCGAATAGAACTATATGAACAGCTAAAAGTTTATCCATAACAAATCTCTAATATAATATATATCTAATTATCTTTATTTATAATATAAAATAATAAAATTCAATATAGATAGATTATATATAGATATATTGTATTTCCCTCTTTCTTTCGCTATATCTTTTTTTTTTTGGGGTCAATATAAACACATAAATTTACACTTATACGGCTTTATCATGTATAGTATCGTATCTACGCGCACACAGCAACCCAGTAAATTTCGCTATTTTTTGACCTTTTTTTTCATGCTTCAACTCTTGTCGTCTTGTGTGTTACAATTATAGTTTTGTAATTTTTTTTTAAAATTTTCTATTTACATCCAAAGAAAAAATTCACTAAACCACAGCAACAACCGTAGCAGCGACGGAGGGCATTCTTGTCCACGCAGGAGTTACACCTGCTCCGCCTCGCAAAGTTCTGCCCTGCCCAGCGACCCTTCTCCTAACCACCAGCACAGCTCAGAGATGGAGAGGGAACTGCACTAATCTTGCTTGATTTTCTATTATTTGCACCCCACTCGTTTTCTCCAAGATTTTTAGAAGACTGTATGATGGCTGTACCCGTTGAGGAAGCCATTGCTGCTCTATCGACATTTTCGCTGGAGGTACTTGCATCCGAGCACATCTGACGTGAATGTGCTGGTTTAAATCTAATTTCTTCTACATTTGCTTAGTAGATTAAGCAGTCATATTTATGAAACTGAAATGCATTCATGGATATGCTATTGTTGGTATTTGATCTCGGAATCTATGCGTAACTTAATTCATGCTGATGGGAAATTCGTAAATTTTAAATCTGGTTGGGAGAATACGAGTTACTTTTAATCTTGACTTGAGCTTCTCTACTCCCTTTCTTTGGAATGATGGCCCTGCAAACTACTTATTTATTAAACTTATATGCTTTTAATTTGGAAGAGGTACCAAACTAGGACATCTTCACGTACGCAGTATTCTTGTTTCCATAGATGTAAGCTGCTTTTATTGTTTCTCAATTATGTAGGATGAGCAACCGGAGGTCCAGGGTCCTGGAGTGTGGATCTCAACTGAAAGAGGTGCAACGGATAGTCCTGTAGGTACTGGTATTTTTGACTTTTCTCTTCTATATATAATTATATATGTTAAGAAATAATCCTGAATTCATTTTTGGGATTATTCATCTTTTGCTCTTGACACATACTAATTGTTGCACTACTTATGTAGAGTATAGTGACGTTTCTGCATACCGCTTATCGCTTTCAGAGGACACAAAAGCTCTCAATCAGTTGGTATGCTGCTATTGGGCGTTTGCCTGTTCCTTAGCTTTTCATCTCTAACGATGGGCCTTAACTGCAAATACTGAAACAAATGCAGAATGCCCTCATTCAAGAGGGGAAGGAGATGGCATCTGTGCTTTACACATATCGCAGTTGTGTTAAGGCACTTCCTCAGGTAAATCTGCTCTCACATGCTTGAGTTGAAACCAATCATTGGACATTAACTCATTAAGTACTTCCTTTTTTCCCTGGTAGAAGTAGAAATTTTGCTAGAAGGAAAGAATGGTTGGTATTTGAAGATGAATTACCACTACAATTGATTTGAATTAAACGGCAGTTCTTGCATAATGTTACAGCTTCCGGATTCTATGAAGCAAAGTCAAGCTGACCTATACTTGGAGACATACCAAGTTCTGGACTTGGAAATGAGCCGTCTTCGTGAAATTCAGAGGTGGCAGGCATCAGCTTCTTCCAAAGTACATTACCATTTTTCCGTTGTTTTCTGATTGGTTTAGGAATTTATCCAGGTCTAGACTAACCTACACTGAAATGAACTTTTATCATTTTGCAGTTAGCTGCTGACATGCAGCGTTTCTCACGGCCTGAGAGGCGCATAAATGGGCCTACAATTTCTCATTTGTGGTGTGTTAAAATTCTGCTTGAGTGGTTTGTCACTTGGAATTGGTCACCTTAATTTTTATATGACTTCCAGTCATATTTTCATGCACCTTTTAAGTTCGTCACTGTGGCCAATCTGTTTTTATCATAAAAAATAATTCCTATCCTTCGTAATCTTTCTGTTGATTACCGTAGGTCTATGTTGAAGTTGCTTGATGTTTTGGTGCAACTTGACCATCTGAAAAATGCTAAAGCTAGCATACCTAATGATTTTTCATGGTATAAAAGGTATGCTTGGTGCCCCCTCTCTCTCTCTGCACATACACATGTGTGTGAATGTGTATATATTATGGTTTGTTTTATCTCTTTCTTAAACTTCAAGTTCTAGAACTTCCTCTTTCTTTAATAATTTTGGCTTGGTCAAGTTATTACTCTATCAAAGGTAAATTATATCTCATGCATTCCTCTTCATGTTTGTCTTTGTATATGGTGATTCTAACAATTTTAAATCTGATCCTGGACTTTTTCTTGGAGGTATTTGGGAGGGAATTGGACTATATACTACTTGATTTATGCATATCTAGAATAAACGATACTCTGATAGTTTAAACCTTATGTCTGCTGATAGTGATGCATTCATAGAATAAAACATAAGAAATGCTTAGTTCTTTTTATTAATCAATATAATTTATATCTTCGGCCCAGCCATGCCCGGGATGCTGGAGTGAGCTGAAGGCAGTTCCTATTTCCTGTGAAAAAAATTTAGTAAAAAAGTGCTACAAACTCATACTCTGTGGTGATGTTTAAATCTTTTTGGAAGTTTTAGGGAAAAATGTGGCTTTGATTTTTTCAACTTTAATGCAAAAAGGAAAATCTAGCCATCAACCTCAGATTAGTTTAACCGTGCAAGCATTCTGCATCTGTCCCTGACCTTCTTACCTGATGGAAATTCAATGCTTGTGAAATAGTACCAAAAATAAATCTTGTTGTCCTGTCTTCTTACTGCTGTGCTCTATGAGTATTTTGATATTCATCATCAAAATGAAATTTTTAGCTAAAAAGGGTATGAAGAGACCAAAAGAAGCTATTACAATATTCAAGCTTGTCTTTCTCAATGTCGTTTATAATCTTTAAGCCAGTAGAAGGAAAACTTGTGAGAAGAAAACCTGATTGCGCCCCAGCCACTCTACATGCCTGTATCCTATCTAGGTCAACCCTTTTTGGTTGAGAAGAGCTGATCAGGTGATATTTAACCTTTGAGAGAAGCTTTGGATTTCCAAAGGGGTTTATGAAGGAGGAAATATCTGTTGGGACTCTGGTTACCCAGCTTCAATAGAGTTTGATTATTTTCTGGAGTATCATGAAGACAGTTATAAACTCGGCTATAATACATTTTCAAAATCGACAAATTACTTATTGCAATTTCCCATTTTTTTAAATTTTGTTGCCTTTTCTTAATGTGCCAGGACTTTCACACAAGTCAGTGGTCAATGGCAAGACACTGATTCGATGAGGGAGGAGTTAGATGATTTACAGGTGCCTAATTTTTGGCCATTCTATGTTTATGAAAGGAAGCAAGCAATATGATTTTCTGTATTATTGATGTATTTTTTTTCCCTAATTGTTTTCAACTTTGTGTGGCTTTTGATCTGAAAATTCCATACCAAAGATAGGCTGCTATTGACCCCCCCTTTTTTCATTTTACCTGCAGATTTTCTTAAGCACAAGGTGGGCGATCTTGTTGAATTTGCATGTTGAGATGTTCCGTGTGAACAAGTATCCTATTTTTGTACTCTCTTTTTTCTTTGTGCCTGTTAATGCTTGGTTAAACCACAACTTTTACCCTGTCTTCACTATTTAGATTTAGTATGTGCATCTATCTATGGGCAATGAAGGGCCTGAATTTATTACCGTATCATCATTTTACTCTTCATTGAATGTTAACTGGTTGAATTGACAAACGATGGTCTGACTGGTTCCTCTCTTGGCAAAAGTGTAACTTTGATCGTCTAAGTTTATACAAAGTTTCAATTTGGTTCCTTGATTTTGTGAAATATTTTTTTTTTCCAGTTTTTTAATCCCAATACTGTTAGTTTCAAATGATGGTATTTTGTGTCAATTATTGTTATTTTTTAAAATTAAACCTAATATATCAGCATTTGAGATTGTCTTGTTTCAATTTCAACATCTTTTGTTAATGGTGTTAGGGTCAGAGGATAAAAATTAGGGGGGCCAAAACCTTGTGTGAAGTTAAAGGAATATAGGTGCACTTTGCCTTCTTTTGTTTATGAAGTGAACTATTAGTAAAGTGATGTAGGAGAGAGAAAGCAAGATGGAATATAAAACAGGAGAGATTTCTTTTTGGTGTTATTATGTTGCATCTGCTAAACAAACTGATTAGGTATATTAGTGGAGATGGGGGATTAACGGAAAAAGTAGAGTTACCCATGGTTCTATATTTACTATTTACAGACTAGGCTAGTAAAATAATTTCACCTGGAAGAAACTGTTATAGACGTACGCAAAGAACTTGTATCAATTTATACCATCTGGATCACCAATTTTATTAACCTTTGTCCTTGGACATTTATTCTTTTTCCGTTCCTTGACTTGATATAGTGTAGAAGACATTCTGCAAGTTCTCATAGTCTTTGTTGTAGAGTCATTGGAATTAGATTTTGCACTTCTCTTCCCAGAACGTCATGTTCTTCTTCGTGTTTTGCCTGTTCTTGTTGTCCTGGCAACATCATCGGAGAAGGATAGTGAGTCTCTGTACAAGCGGGTGAAGATCAATAGACTGATCAATATATTTAAGGTATTTTTATGTTAAATATGCTTCATCATAATCTCATTTTACATGGATTTGTTTGTTTTCATTTATCTCTTAAGTAGTTTATTTGCATCACTCTCTTTTTCTAATTTCTGCAGAATGATGCAGTCATTCCCGCATTTCCAGATTTACATCTGTCTCCAGCTGCAATAATGAAGGAGTTAACAACATATTTTCAAAAATTTTCTTCTCAGACTCGTCTTCTTACTCTTCCAGCCCCTCATGAACTCCCACTTCGTGAAGCACAAGAATATCCTACAGATAATTTTGATGTCCTTAGGCAATTGTTATTTCTATCAGGCATTTCTTTTTCTGGTGATGCCTTTTTTAATACTTGTTACCGCCTACCAGTTTTGATTTGAATAGAGGAATTATTCTAGGATGAATAATCTGCAACTTCAAACAATGAAAATATGGTACTATGCATTTTTTATAAGTATATTTATTGTATTTACTCATGATTAAGTGATGGCAATGTGACGATTATGTGATCCCCTGATATTATTTGTTGTGAAATTCCTGTATTTCAAGGATCCTCTTCTTCTGTTCATGATTGATTTTATGGCATGTCTATCGTGTTGTGGTCATGCTTGTTTACTCCCTGAGATTGCTTATTAGCCGTTGCTTGAATTTTCATCATGATGTGCCTTTTGAATGCGTCCTTGACTTATAATACCTATCAGAGACATTATTTGATCATCAATCATATTGGGGTTATCCGTGCTGAGCATGATGATTTCACTGTTCGTTTTGCTTCAGCCATGAATCAGGTGTTGTAATCTTAGCTGATCCATCTAATCATAATTGAGAGCCCTCCTGAAATTAATTTTTGGACATTGTTGTTTGCTTTGTTACTGTCTATGCTGCATAGCCTTAAAGCCTATTTGTTTGTTCATTATATCTGCTTTTGCAGCTGCTTCTGTTGAAGTCAACTGATGGTTCAGATGTTGATTGGAGCAAAGAAGTCAAGGGGAATATGTATGATATGATTGTTGAAGGTTTTCAGCTCTTAAGCAGATGGACTGCACGTATCTGGGAGCAATGTGCATGGAAATTTTCTCGCCCTTGCAAGGACGTAACACATGTAGAATCATATGACTCTTCTGCGTCATTCTCTGACTATGAAAAGGTAAGGTCTTTAAGTCCTCTAATTTTTTTGGCTATCTGGCGCCTCCCTTTTTTCTTATTTTGAGTCTAATAGCTCAAGCAAGTTTTTGTTTGTGTTGTAAGTTTTTGTTTTCTTTAGTAAGGGCCACACCAACTTTTTCTTGTATATCATTTCGGGTCTTGTCTTTGCTTATGTGATTACACATCCATAATTTCAGTACCCTTATTATTTAGTTTTGCTTTTGTTCCTTCATTGCCCAACATTCTCTATTAGATTCTCTATCATATGGCATTGTTGGTCTTATATCATCCGATCATTTGCCAGTATTTTCTATTATATAGCATTGTTGCTCAATCACTCTTGCCGTAATTTTATAATGCGCCCATAAGTTATATAGGCTCCGAAGTACTTTCTTCCTCTCCTTTGGCATTTACTTGAATTTTAAAATCTCATTAAACAACTTAGTGAGTCAAAAAGTACTCCTCTTCTAAATTCTTCCAAACGGAATAAGAATACCATGTAGACCAATGTCTTTACTATGATTCTTTCTCTCGAGAATTTAGAATTTCTTTTACAACTCCAACCTGAATTCTGCTATGGAAAGCCAAATCTTTGTTCACTCTTTTTTTTCTCTTGGATTGTTAATTCTTTGATATCACTAATCATTTGGTCATTGATAGAGATCAATGTCACGCGATCCGTATAGCTAACCTCGCCTAGTGAGATAAGACTCAGTTGTTGTTGTTGTTAATTCTTCAACATCATTAATCATTTCCATTCGTCATTGAAAAATTTGTAAATTATGAGCTGTGAACCTTTAAATGCGACATTAATAGCATTTCTATCAAGCTGAATTTTTTTTCCAGACCAATGTGTTTTGTGTTTTATGCTATAAGATTTATTGTCGTAATTAATGTTTCATCTTGTAGGTAGTGCGATATAATTACACTGCAGAGGAAAGGAAAGCGCTGGTTGAATTAGTCAGCTACATAAAGAGTGTTGGATCTATGATGCAGCGATGTGATACACTGGTAGCTGATGCTTTATGGGAGACAATACATGCTGAGGTCCAAGATTTTGTCCAGAATACACTAGCTACTATGTTGAGGACTTCCTTCCGAAAGAAGAAGGACCTCTCTAGGTAGGAAGCTTGATTCTTATTGGGTATTATCAGGTAGTTACTTTTGCAATTTCACGAGCTGCTTGTGCAAATGCAATTTTAATTCTCTGTTGAGATTATTGATGATAGTCCTGAGAGTCCCCAAGCTTTGCTGTAAATTAAATAGTTGTTGGGTCTCCTGTTAAAAATTTAGTCCATTTCAGTGTATGCTGTTGGTAATTGGCTGTCTTAATTGTTGGGTAAGCTTGTATACTTCCCTGAGTAGACCTGATTATGTGGTCTTTGATTCGACCCTATGACAGTCCTTTATCCTTGTATTTTATTTCTCTCTTCTTGCCCCCTTCCTTTTTGGGCCTCCTGTTTCTTGGGTTTCTATTGGTTTGTTTGTGGTTGTGGTCCCTAGAAATTGCTTTCTCTTGCATTCAATAAAGATGAAAGTCTCAGATTGGTTTTCTCTAAATATCTTTCGGATGCTTTAAGACATTGACAGGGGTGGGCGTTGTGGGTTCTGCCACCAATGAAGTGCATACGGATCCTTTTTTTTTTTTTTTTGGGGTGAAGGCCTTTCGTTGCATCTGAAATTTTTCTGTGGTTTTGTAGATTTGAAGTTGGTGAGGATTTTTATTGAACCCATAAACGATTTACTATATTGATCCAGCTCATGAAAAGCACACTTACGGAAGTCTAATCATGTCCAAATTCTTTTTCCATAAGCTACCTATATATGTTCTAAGCTCTAAGGATGTGCCTGTTTCCATCTTGCCTCACCAATGTTCCCCCACGTTGCTTAGGAGTCTATGCAAAAGAGATAAGGACTACAAATAACTACTGTGTTGATTGTGCGCTAGTTGATTTGATGTCAGCAGGAGCTGTTCAAAAGATACAATTTCATGTGAAGAGAAACTTCTGCTAACGTGCACCAGTGCATCTGATATTTGAGACGCAAAAACTATCAATGAGATTTAGAGGAGTATACTTCCATTTTTAGAACAGAAGCTTCATTTTGAGAGGCTGAAAATATGAAAATTAGGTCCACATATAACGTGTGTTGGAGTTCAGAGAAAGTTTTCAAAATGTGATGAACAAAGGATCCGTGAGTTAAAGATGACTGAAGGCCTTCAGGGATTTCCACGATAAAACACTCCTAAGTCATGGTGTTGAAATAATCACCAACCAAAAAAAATAAAATAAAAATCATGGGGTTGACATGATAGCTGCAATGGCTGTTGTGGCCATCATTATATGATAATGTTTAAATGTTTTTGGGGCTTGTGCCATTGGAAGGCAAATGTCATTTACAATACTGTACGTAAACAGCTCATACATTTGAGAACTATTTTGTATTGACACGCAGATATGAAGTATTTCAAATTGCTGTTGCTATTTTCCCAATTCTGCGTGTTGTGTCAGTTGAGGTGATATTTCAAACATAATGTGCAATGGTTCAATGATTGATGAACCTCTGTCATGTAATACTTCTTTCCTGCCTTAGTTTTTTTAGATGCTCACATATTCACTCAAGTGCTTGCTTTCAGGATTCTTTCTGATATGCGGACTCTTTCAGCAGATTGGATGGCAAATACAAATAAGTCAGAATCAGAGTTACAGTCATCGCAGCATGGAGGTGAAGAGAGCAAAGGAAACTTCTTTTATCCAAGGGCAGTTGCCCCAACTGCTGCTCAGGTCTGCATCATTTCCTATTCTCCTTCTACCAAGTGTTATATGAATTGTTACGAATAGATTTCCTAAGATTGAAAAAAAAATATTTGGACGCCCAATTTTTACCTGGCTTTTGACAAACCTGCTGATGGGAAATTGTGGCAGGCTTATTTTAGGAGAGGAAAATCAATGCCTATGAATATCTAGCGTACTTGGGAACTTTTGTAGTTTATTAAATGCACCTTGTAACTTGAAGACTTAAATGTTTTGTTTTGTTTTAGGCTTTTTAGGTATATCTGGGGCTTTAATAATCAGTTCACTTGAACTCTTAAGGTCTTGTTTACACATTTACACACACGCATGTGTGCTCGCACACATGTATGGTGTAATTTGAAGTTATGATATGCTGTGTGTTCTGGCACCCATCACTTCATGAATTATTTCTGTGGGTGATCGTGTTACATAGTTTGTGGAGAGTAGCTGCTGAACTAATTTCCTTGATGCAGGTGCACTGCTTGCAGTTCTTAATATATGAGGTGGTTTCTGGCGGGAACCTAAGGAGGCCAGGTGGGCTTTTTGGCAATAGTGCGTCAGAAATTCCTGTTAATGATCTAAAACAACTGGAGACATTTTTCTACAAGCTTGGTTTTTTTCTTCATATTCTGGACTATACAGGTAAATTCCTTAGACTGATCATGTGTCCGTGTTTGCATGTGAAGCGTTCATTCTCTTGGATCATGGAAAAAAGATACACCATATATACAACTGGTACATTGAATATTACAGCAACAACCGCACCTAAGAATCAGGGAGGAACAAAGTCTGATCTACCAAATAAAGAATAAGAGGACATAAAATAAAATCATAAAATGTTGGGATTTCCACAATTTCTGCCTTGATCTATCAAATATTATGCAAAATTTAAGAATCTATTTAAATAACTTGGTTTGATTAGCATTCCCATGTAAGTTTTTAGGGCTTAAAGTGTTATTAAAGGGAGGCTCATCATTGGTTTCACTGGATTGCACATCCAACCAATTTGGGACTACACATTCTCGTATTTGACATCTTCAGAACAAAAGGGAAGCTGGTCCAACCCTTGGAAACGGAAATAAGGGATATAAAAAGTGGGTTCTGCCAGATAACTGAATTATACGTGTACCTGAAATCTAGGCCTTTGGGCTCTGACGCAATGTTAAAGCATCCAGTATACAGCCTCTGAGAACTTCTAATTTGAGAGGGCAAATTGATATTTAAATAACCGCAGGGCCATAAAGTGAAATCTTTTGGGGGTTATATATTGTTGCATGATATACTTTTGGCGGTTGTAGATTATGTGAATTAGATGGTGAAGAGCATTCCTTTTACAACAATCATGGCAGGCTTATCCTTTTGCGATTTTGTTTTGTCATAAATTAACTAGATGATCTTGGTTATCACTAGTTCTTAGGAATGATCTTGAACTCTTTTGACTCTTTTCTAGCCATATACATGCTTCAGTTTATTGACTCTTTAGTTTAATCATGCTTGTAGTCACTGTGGCAGCATTGACAGACCTTGGTTTCCTATGGTTTCGAGAATTTTATTTAGAGTCTTCTCGAGTCATTCAGGTAAATAAATACACTCTTGTGTACACATATAACTGAAAATTTTCAATTTTACTGACCTCGTTTTTCTTGTTAAGCATGTGCTTAATATTAGTCTTGCATTAAATAGGCATTGTTTTGATCATTTTAAGACAGAAAAAGTGAGATAGTTGAAAATGAACTTCTCTGTTAAGTTCACAAATACCCTCAAGTAGGAGCAACTTAAAAATTCCAAGATACTTGCAAGATGTTGCATTTTGACTGCTCATAGGCATTTGTTCAGACATTTATTTGAATCAGCCCGTCTTCATGTTGATGCTGTTACAAACTGTCAAATATATTATGATTAAGAGTGTTCATTTATATTTTATAGGATAGCTTAAAAATTTCTGAGGGGATAGTGCTGACTTTTGTATAGTTGTATGTTTTGACTTGTCCACATCACCAAAATGGTTTAAGCTACTTGGTTTGCGTTGCTACAAGCTTATGTACCCTTCATCTCTTCTATTACTTTTAAATGCAGGACTTCCGTTCTCCAAGATTCCCGTTTCCTGTTTTGTTTTCTTGCTTCCTTTTGTCGTTCTCCCCCCATTGCTTGGGGCTCGTCTTCTTGGTGTCTTAAAGGCCTTAGGTCGAACCCTTTTTTTGGCCTAGATTTGTGTTCCTGAACCTTAGAGGCCTCAAGTTTGTATACCCTTATTATTTTCAGATTTGAGACTTGTATTCTTCAATGGATAATAGGGATGATGCCATTTGAACCACTCCATCCAAGAGTTTAAGTTGCTAAACAAGGACTTGCGAAGTGTTGTATTAGTTAATGATCTTCCCTTTTGGAATTTGTGTGGTCTAGTTGCCACCTCTGCCCACCCTCCGAACTGGATGTTGTTAGTTTCCCCATGGACTTCTCAAGCAAGATGGAAGTCAGTCTCCATATTTCTCCATCTTGGATGCGACAATGTGTTTTATCTAAAGAAAAAAAAATCGTTGTGACAAGCTGCTTATATTTGATCTTTGCTGATGGCTTTCCATACATGCATGCATGCATGCATACATACATACATACATATATATCAACTCTGATAAGTCAATACATATGCATCTGCATTTGCTGAGAGTTTCCTTGTTTCACTAGAGATTTCTCTTTCTAGCATCTAGATATGAAGTTGTAGCTTTTCTACTTCCCATTTCTTGCTCATATGTGCGTGTTTTCTCCCTATTCCTTGAATTAAAAGTTTAAATTTTTCTCGTTTTAGTTTCCAATTGAGTGCTCTCTTCCCTGGATGTTGGTGGATTGTGTACTTGAGTCACCAAATTGTGGGCTTCTGGAGAGTGTTCTGATGCCATTTGATGTCTATAATGACTCAGCCCAACAAGCATTGGTGGTGCTGAAGCAACGATTCCTCTATGATGAAATTGAGGCTGAGGTATAATCCATTTTCAACCCAATGCTAGATATTATCTGATAAATTGCACGAGGCGCTGAAAATTCTTGGAAGTAACATAAATGGTTTCAATTTGCGAGCTTATTCTTAAATTGTTTTATGTGAACTTCTTAACAGGTGGACCATTGTTTTGATATATTTGTTTCAAAATTATGTGAAACTATTTTCACATATTATAAAAGCTGGGCAGCAAGGTGTGCTCTTTTTACTCTCTTGGTTGTTCGCCTTTTCTGTTGATATATTACAAACTTCTTATGTTACTTGCAAATACTGCAGTGAATTACTTGATCCTTCTTTCCTCTTCACCTCAGACAATGCCGAAAAGTATGCTGTACAGCCTATGAGGTTCAATATGCTGCTGAAGATGATTAAAGTCAAGGTTGCTTTTTAATTACTTTATTAGTGCTTGCCTCTTATGATTTGATTTGGTGCATTGAAGTGTAAGCTGGATGTTGTCAACCTTGTCTGACTGTATGGATTTAGCAAATTTTTATCGCATGAGCCCAAAAAAGGGATGAAAAAAAGAAGATGTACACAAGAATTATGCAGTTTAGGCACATCATGTTCCCTCCCCTCAAGATAACGTACAATTCACCGAGCTACATTGATCATCTGGATACCCCGCGTTTGAAAGCTTAAAGCCACCTTTCTAAATAGAAGCTCTTCTATTACTTTCTCAGCTAAAAGAATTATCATATGCAGTGGTGATTCAGGTATCATTTGGCTATCCCCACACAAAGGAAGAACATCATAATATGCAAGACACATCCCAAGAATTATTACTATGGAGCAATGAGTTGTTTGACAAATTCTATCTCTCTTTTCATTATAAATACTAAAATAGTAACCTGATTACAAATTCCCTCAATTGTCAAAGTCTTCAAAAACATTGCTTTCTACAGAATATGTCTTTGTAATTTCTTTGGTTATCACATACTATCTCCTGTCTTAAATATAAAAGCTAATTGACTAATTTGAGTATATTAAGGAAATAAATTAAGTTAGTTATTTGTAATAAATAGGTTTTTTTTTTTTTCTAAAATATCCTTGTTAATCAAATTTATTGGCTAAAACTACCATTATTAGAAGGATTATCTTGGAAAAAACGGATAAATATGAGAGATAAAGTGGATTGGGTTCTTATATTTAAGACCAAAATAAAAGTCAAATAAGGTCTTATATTAAGGACAGGAGGTAGTATATTGTTTCAGTGGTAACTCCAATTCTAGCCATCATAACTCAGAAGTATGTTAAGAGGCTTAGTCATCACCATTGCACATATAGTAGTAAATTTAGCTTGAATAGGAATAAATGTGTACCTGATCTACGGGTCAGATGCATGCGTGCGTGCACAAACAAACACACATCATAAAGGTTCCTCACATATGTGCCTGCTGATCATTATTGGCAGAACATTAACAACCCCCCCCCCCCAAAAAAAAAAGAAGAAAATTTGCATTCTTAACAATATTATGGTGCGCAGCTACTTGGGAGGACAATCAACCTGCGAAGTTTGATCATTGAAAGGATGAACAAGGTTTTCCGTGAAAATCTGGAGTTTCTTTTTGATCGTTTTGAGTGTCAGGACCTGTGCGCCATAGTGGTTAGTGGGTTCACTTTTCTTCAATTTTTTCCCTCAAGAATCATTAGCTGACGCAACACATTTATTTTATTGCAGGAACTGGAGAAGTTATTGGATGTCTTAAAACATGCCCATGAATTGCTGTCTAGAGATCTTTCTATAGATTCGTTCAGTCTCATGCTGAATGAGATGCAAGAGAACATTTCTCTTGTGTCCTTTTCTAGTCGACTGGCCTCTCAGGTGTCTGTCTTTCTTGTCTCTGCAGATGAATAATTATGCATATGAAGATTGTTTTGCTAATATGCCGAATTAGAAATCACTATTTGAATGGTAAATGAAAGTGCATGGCTTGAGCCATTTCTGAGCTTTTCATATTATCTGTTTGTGTATGCTAGATTTGGTCAGAGATGCAAAGTGATTTTTTGCCCAATTTCATTCTTTGCAATACCACTCAACGTTTTATCAGATCAACAAAGATTACTCCTCTGCAGAAGCCATCTATACCCTCTGCCAAGGCTAATTTCTATTGCGGCACTCAAGTAAGCATTACCCACATTCTTTTCTTTATCTATTACTTAATCTTTTTTAATCTGCAATCAGTTATAATAAAACCAATTATGATGTTGTTTGAGAGCCACTAGCTTTGCCCTACACCGTAGTTATTCCTTCTGTTTTTTCCCCTTTTGTTCTCTTCAAAACTATCTTATTTGTCTACTTGTTTATTTTGGCTTTACTCTCGCAACCGAAGTTTTTTCTGCTTAATGACGTGTTTTGTACAATATTCTTTGTTTATGGTAGGATTTGAACTCTGCTCATCAAAGTTTTGCACGATTGCATAGTGGATTCTTTGGAATACCTCACATGTTTTCAGTTGCTCGACTTCTAGGTTCCAGATCATTACCATGGCTCATTCGAGCTCTCCTGGATCACATATCCAACAAGGTATGTCAGACAATGGAACATTAGTGTTTTCAATTGCATGTCATGCATTTTGGCCACCTTCATGCTACACTTTATAATATGGTGGATATATCTATTGCATGTTGCTCTTTACTTCTTTGGTGAGATCCTTTGGTCCTTCATCTCTAGATTCTCTCACTTTTTGTTTGCATTTGTACCTTGAAGTGGGAGTAAATTGGACCGTGTTTGGACCCAATTGCAAGGTATAAGACTTGAGTCTCCCTCTGGGGGGGCTTGGTGTATTGTGAGAATTACGTGAACTGTGGTTTCTAACCTCACGAGTTAGCTTGTTATTTGTGCCACAACAAATATGTGTAAGCCACTAGCATTGGACCTCTTACAGTGGAAAAATAGTAGTTCTTTTTGCAACAGTTTCATGACATTTTCCTTCCCGCATTACTGTTATTTATGATAAGAATAGTTGGGAATTTAGTCTATATCCGTGCTGTTATAACAGAATAACTCTTGCTCTTCTGTCTGCTAACTACTACCAGTTTTTTAAACTACAAGTCTCTCAAGTATCAATCTCTTCCTTATAACCCCTGCTCGATCCCAAAAACAAAACAAAACAGAAAAAGTTAATCCATAACCTCAAGGATTGTGAGTGGCTTAAGCTGGAAAATCAATGAGCTGGCTCCTAGGTTATTCGAGTGGACTGCTTTCCTTGACAAACCTCAACTTTGAGAAAAATGTCGGAAAAGAATGGTGGAACTTTTCAGGTGGTTCTTATGGTTTTTCTTGATTCTTTTCTTGGTGTGCTTATTTTCTTTCCATCTTTGGTGCTTATTATGTAATGGCTTTAATGAAGAGCTTTATTTGTTTTTGTTTTCCTTGCCAAGTCCATGAGCTTGTTATGGACATTTGGCTTCCCTCTTGTCTTGAAAATATTTGTGGTATCAGATTATTTTCTTGATCTACCAATCACCCTTAGCAGATACCCTTACCTTACCAGCAAAGTCCATGACGATGGTTGTCTCCTCACTTGCACACTATAACCATAAGCCTAGACAGATCCCTTCATTGCTGTCCTCTCCCAGCTCAGGAGTCCAGTAAGCCCATGTGTTCCTGTGTGAATACAGCTAAGGCTTCCTTGTCATAACTTGCCATAAGCTTGATGGGAGCCGGCTATCTTAAATTGTCCTCGTCTGTGATAGAATCCAAGACACAGAGTGGACAGAAGGGAAAGATCCTTTACTAGATGACATGAGCAAAAATCTTAATTCATAAAACTAATGAAGCCAATAATATTACCAGAGCAATGGGTGCAAGGATCTTAACACATAGGGCCTGTTTGTTTCTCAGAATGTCGGGGAATGAAACGATGGACACTCAAGGTGGGGTTGGATTTCCTCAAAAGATAACTGTTGAAGTGGGAGAGTCAGCCCTCAAGTATCATATAGAGCATTCCATATATCCTCTGTTGGACTCAGGCTTCTTCTCATACTACCTTAGTTTCCATTCTGCTTGTATAAATAAGCATAGTAGTCAGATCATCTAACTTCTGTAATATCCTGATGGGTCTTTCAAAGTGTGACTAAAACAAAGGAAAAGTGGGTAGGATTGAAAATGTTGACTGATGAAGGTCATATATAGATGTTGTCAAGTAGGAGCCTGACAGACATGCATATATGCATCTAATGTGTACAAGTGCATCCTTGGGTATCTATATATTTGGATCTGGGGTAAGAAAAATTCCATGCATCAGTAAAATTTTATGTGCGCTACTCTCAGATAACTATGATTGAACCAATGATCACTGGATTGCAAGAATCATTGCCGAAAACTATCGGACTTCTGCCTTTCGACGGAGGTGTGACAGGTACATGAACATGTTGATAACTCCTTATCTCTTTTTATTTTGACCACCTAACTCATATCCTATGTATAACATCTTTATTAATTTTACCATCAATTTTGTACTATCGACCCTAGACACCTGAATTTTGACACTTGCATACAGTTGTTGAGATAATCATAAATATTTGGATCTTTGTTAGGTATTAGCACTTCTTAAATCTTTATTACTCTTTTTTTTTTTCCATTTCATGGTTATTATCATGAACTCATGATATCAACAATGACAATGCTTTTACATAGCCTTTTACTGAATTTTATACTCAAGCATTTGAAATTAATTATTTGGTTATTTTCTTGCAGCCTGTGTGAGGCTTGTTAAAGAACATCTTAACTGGGGGGCAAAGTCCGAGCTGAAAGCAGAGGTTCTCCGTGGGATTAAAGAGATTGGAAGTGTACTATACTGGATGGGCCTTCTAGATATTGTGTTGGTTGGTAATCTTGTGCCCTTAACTGTATATAATACTTTCAATGATTATGGATACTAAAATGATATTGTTCAGCATTATCGTGATATGGTTCTACTTAATTTGGATGCAAAAAATAGCAGAACTACATACGCAAACATTTTTCATTTATATTATGCGCAACAGCTAAGCAATGCATATTCTGTGGATTTCAGCAAATGGCTTTCCGGGGGGTTTCCCATGTGGATTTACAAGGGAATTAACAATATCATTTGAACAAATTATTGCTTTTTTTTTTTGGGGGGGGGGTTGTTGGGAGAATTCCTTGTTTGATGTATTTATTTCTTTACTCATCAATTACTTTCCTAAAGCAAAACAGTTTTTCTGTGCGGGCTACTTTGGCTGCAAATCTTAGCAGTATATATTATATGCTTGACAGAGAGAAAGAGATACAATGCACTTCATGCAAACTGCTCCTTGGTTGGGCTTGGTTCCTGGTGCAGACGGACAAGTGTTAAATGCTCATGATGGTGGAGACAGCCCTGTTGTTAATCTCTTTAGATCAACAACTGCTGCGATGGTGTCAAGCCCGGGATGCCCAAACCCTAATTCTTTCCACATCATGGCAAAACAAGCAGAAGCTGCAGGTATGCTATTAGATATGTGTTGTTATTTTTATTTCATTTCACTGAAGGTGGAATATGTGCATATGCACTTAATGCCATAAAAATAAATTGTTGTATGATCTTGTAAATCAGGACGTGATTGATTATAAGGAATTGCTCAAAGGTTAAGAGAATGAAGGAAATTATGACTTTATGTAGGAAAGTTGTCCAGTTAAAACTAAAATGGGTATTATTATGTTGGTGCAAAATGAATTGCTGTCTAGCAAGTTGTTTTGATCAGGACCATTGATGGCAATAATAGAATCCTATATAGGAGCGTGAAGCTTTTAGCTTGTGTCTTGTCAGCACACCTCCTGGTCAGGAAGATATTGAAAATGTATCTTCTTAGTTAAGGCAACGTCAATTTGACTTTCCTGATATTTGGTACTTTTCTGCCCTTTCAACTACTGAGCCTTGGGGGGGGGGGGGGGACTATAAAGCACTTCTGTTATCCTTGTCTACCTTTTTCCTCCCAAGTGATAGAGAGATGAATCAGTTAGATTACATCATGTGTCCAGCCTTTCTCGGTAATTCTTTTTTAAGGTAATGTTCGAATGGTTAATTTTATGGCAAAAGATGTTTCGACTTGTGGATTTGACAGACTACCAAAAAGATTTGTCGATATGCTGTTATGAATTATTTCATTTCATTTTGTTTTTCCTTTCTTGAAAGGTCCTTTTGTTTTGGTCTCTCGTCATTTGTTAATCAGGCATTTTTGACTGCTACAGATCTTTTATACAAGGCTAACTTGAATACTGGAAGCGTGCTGGAGTATGCCCTTGCTTTCACAAGTGCTGCGTTAGATAAATACTGTAGCAAATGGAGTGCTGTGCCCAAGACAGGCTTCATTGACATTACAACTACTAAAGATTTCTACCGCATATACAGTGGTCTCCAACTTGTAAATAAATTCTGTTCCTTTATACTGTCTTTAATATAGCCAGAGCATTTAATTATTTATTTGATTTTTAATGGCAGCACTTGGCGCACATATTCTCCTTCGCTAACGTTGCAAAGTTTCAGTCATAGGAGAACCATCAACTACCATTTTCTATTTAAATGACGTATTATTGTCTCCACATAAATTTTCGCCATGTTTGTTGTTGAGAGTTTTTAATAGGAATTTGTGTTAATGATGTCATGTCTTTCTCCTTTTAAAATGTTAAAATTCATACTTTAACTGCACAAGATTTGATTGTTTAATGTGTTCATGAAATGGCAGTTTTTTTTTTTTTTTAAATAAGAAAAAAGATATTTTGATGAGTGTTAGTGTGCTTGAACCACGCAGGGATATTTAGAAGCATCTGTCCAAGTACCAGCAAATAGTCATGAAAGGCTGGGTGATTCAGTGGCTTGGGGTGGCTGCACCGTAATATATTTGCTTGGGCAACAGCTGCATTTTGAGCTCTTCGACTTCTCATATCAGATCCTCAATATTGCAGAAGTAGAGGCTGCATCTGTGTTTCCAACAAATAAGAACTCGCATTTTCATGTACAGGTTTACAATGCTTAATTACTTGAACTAAGAATAAATAATGTTTAATAGCTTTCATCTATTAGATTAATGCATGTGTTTGTTCCGTTGATGAGCAATTAGGCTTGATAAAAAGGGATGGATGGCAGTTTGTTGTTAACATTTCTGGTACCTTGCCTCATTTGGTGGTGTCTGTCAATTAGCATCATGTCTAAATCGTTAATAGGTGCACGTGGTGAATCTGCTAATATAATGAGTAAAGATTAGGCGATCTTGTTACCTCGTATAGAAGAAATCAGATATAGGACAGATGGGGATGGGGAGCCTGTTGAATCGTCTCAGTGTCAGATGAGTAATAAGCAGCGATGTGATCGATTAAGTTCATTATAGATATGAAGATCTAGAAATGTGTGTGGTGATTTCAATGCTTTTTTATATTAAAAAAAAAAAAGCATTGAAATCACCAAGAGATATCTTGCGTGACAGTCACATTTTCTCTGCCAACAGGGATGGGATGCGTTACTGGAAGCAATGAAGAAAGCAAGGAGATTAAACAATCATGTATTCTCTATGCTGAAAGCACGCTGTCCCTTGGAAGAAAAGACAGCTTGTGCTATCAAGCAAAGTGGTGCTCCGCTCCATAGAATTAAATTTGAGAACACGGTCTCTGCTTTTGAAACCTTGCCACAGAAAGGGGCCTAAACTAGTGCCGTGCTTCTTCCCAATTCCTTGACGTTCTTATTGTGTAAGTAATCTGATGTAACTGGCGTGTCTATATATGTATTCGACTGTTTAATTTGCATGTAATTGATCATAATACCTGAACACTGGCTCCCGTTCGGATGACGAAATGGGAGGGCAGTGTTTGGTGACTGGATGAGCCATCATTGCCTAAGATTTAACTTGAACATCATGCCAAATCACCGTCGTGAGGAGGCATGTCATACTGGCGTGATTTTGATGCTTTATACCAGGAAAGATTACGTGGTTGGGCATTTGAATTTGTAATTCATGTCTCAGTGAAACATCGGGAACTGGCTTGGCTGAACTCATTAAAATGTGGTATTTTGGTTTCAGGACATGTAATGGTCTTATCTCAACATGTTTTCCCTCATAAGGCATCTTGACATAGGTAGCGTCTACCTATTTATTAGTTTGGCATGTATAATACGTTGGTTTTCCAGTGGAATACTTTTGGTTTTCATGTTCATGTTTCATCTCTGATGATTTTAAATTTGCTGGAAGGCTTTGTATGTGTTGGTTCTGCTATTTAACTAGAGAAGACTTTAGAATTACTATGGAAGATTTTCAGCATGTTTTTCAGGGAATCATACTTGTGTCAAAATGAATGTTGATGGTTAAATTATTTAAACAACGTCTTCTATTTAGAATGGCTTTTTCTTTCTTTCAAAACATGCCTAATATATAGGACATGAGGGTTATGCTTGATAGATAGCTAAAAAACAGCTAGCCATTTTTGGGCTTGTTTTGAATGGACATTCAAATACGCAATATAGGTATTTGGATTAGCTTTTTAAGGTGATATTATAATATGAAAATATTTTTTCTTAAGTGATTGGAGGAGGATGTCAAACTGCCCAATGTTAAGTGGCACGACAAGACAAATTTTCTTCTCATATCCCTTTCCTCACAGTACTTTTGGGATGAGACAAAAAAGAGGTAGTACTATCCTAACAGTACTTTACTATCCTAGCAGCAAGGGCGTACTTTCAACCTAAAAAAAAAACATGAACTGAAATTGTTTAATTATTAATTATATCCAACCAATTTTTTTCAAATGCGTGAAATAATTGGAAGTCCTATATTTAATACGGAGAGAGTATGGGAATACGATTCAATGCTGCCGCAGCCAGGCGACTAACAGTGAATCAGTGATAACTGAGAATCAAAACGCTGCTACATGCCGGGGGTCTCCAATATAGCCCGTCTCATACAACTTAAAATAGGTAAGGTGCCCCATTGATAACCACATTCGTTAAGGCTTAACATGTTTGTAACTGTTATGACTTGTTGTAAATGTCATATATTTATTTAGATATCTTCTCATAGTACCCAAAAGAAAAAAAATCAAATTTATTATTAATTTTTTTAATTATTAAAAAAGCTTATTTTAATAAACATTGAAATTGTTTAATTTCTTTTTGTATGTAGCAAAATTTTTGAAGTGCAGGTACAAGAACCTGTTTAGTTTCAGGTTGAAAACTGAAGTGAAAATTTCGGAACCCAGTGAATCTTATCTAAAGAGCAATTATCAAACAAGAATTTGTTGACTAATTTGAGTAGATTAAGAAAATTAGTTAAATTAGTTATTTGTAATAAATATATATTTTTTAAAAAATATCTTTGTTAATTATGTGTATTAGTTAAAGCTACTATTTGATGAAATTTTTAATATGTGTAATTATTATAAAAAATATTTTAAAATAAATAAATAAATATGATAGACAAAATATATTAGGATTTTATATTTAAAATCAAAATAAATATCAAATAAACTAAAAAGAAAGTATCGTCGTCCACTAAGAAAACCATTATGTTGCAGACAAATTCGAAATCACGGTGAACGAAGAATTTTTAGTGGCATAAACCAGATCGGAGGATCAGCCAGTTTGATCAGGAGCTGACCTATGGTCCGGTCCCAACATGTAACGGAAACAGCGCTAAGGTGAATACCCGTTTTTCTTTTCTTTTTATTCTGGCAACAATCTAAGATTATGTTATTTTGTGTTAATTTTGTTTGACAATTAATCTATCGTACTTAATGATTTTGATCATTTGTAATAAATAATAAACAATGTTTAGGTTGGCCATGTACGAGATTATATCGGTTGGGTACGCATATGAATAAATATTATATGACATATCAATAAATATTGTGTAAATTATTATTTTCATATGTCTTATTTGAATATGTTACTTTAATAAAACTGTCACACCAAAGTTCGACAAAACAAGTGTCCGGACCAGGTTGTGACAAAAATGGGATAAACAAGGAAAGGATTGCATAATGCATAGCACAGGCATGGAGCACCCGCGAGTGGCTGCAATGGCTTTGAAAGGAGAGTGAGTCCCAAATCCAACTCAGTTATGCTGCTGCTTCTGGGCTGTTTACAATCCAGCAAGCAAACCAAGAACCGAGCAGCCAGATAATGAAGCAACACCTACCCTTCCTCTCTATTTTCCTCCCTCTTCCCCTTTAATTCCTCCCTTCTTCTTCATCTCTTCGCTTTTCCTCGCCTCCTTTATTTTCTTCTCATCATGGCGAAGACAGGCGTCTCTGAAAACGACTCAACTTCGTTTCCCCATGCAAAGGCTTTGGACTTGAAGCACAAACTGCGGGGGCTCATCAATATTATCCTGGACGCCGACGATTTCCCGCTTGCCAGACTTGACGAAGCTATTACAACTCTTTCTGCTCTCAAGGATTTGAAATGTAAATCTACCGGCTCCTTCCCTCAGAAGTTCGATGATTTGTCTATTCCCCCGGAATTTCGATGCCCCATATCTCTAGCTCTAATGAATGATCCTGTTGTCCTGGCCACCGGACAGGTTATTTTTTTTAAATTCCGGTTTCTTGTCCTCTTTCCATCCTAATCCTGTAGATTCCCCGTCTCTTGTTCATCTCTTAGGCGCCTTCTTTATCTCTGCTTGTATTACCAATCTATTTTTAAGAATTCCTCATGAATTTGTTCTCTGCTGGCAATGAATTTTTCACGTGGTGACTTTAATTGTCCAGGTCCTGTGCTCACTGCCTGCCTTACGATGTGAATGGATATGGAATCACTGTTTAAAAAAATTTTCTCTGATGCGTTGCTTTTGACCCGTGATTACCGAGTGAACATTGCTATGATAATATCAATACTCATCTTTGGCAAAATACTGGTGTTTCCTTTTGCATATAATTCTACCGTTGTGCGGGTTCATGTGACTTTTACAAAAGTGAAAGAGAACAGAGCTGTTCAAACTGCGGCCTTTAATCTTTGCTTGGGTGTTCCGAACCATTTTGCTCTTTCGAAAATTTCTCTTTTGATGGATCAAGATGTTAATATAAGGGACTATATGTCCATTTTTTGTTTAGTAGTTGTAAGTTCCACTTGTTTGAGACGGAGATTCAGTCACATGATATTTCTTTTGTCAAAGGAAATACTGGCAGAAAAAGATCATTGACGTTATTATTATTATTAGGCAGATGCTGCTATCAGTACTGGCTTCTGTCAGCAATTTTCCATGCATGCGTCTAAAATTTTTTTTCGCATGTGTGCTTTGTAGGAGTGAAAGATGGAAGGAATAGAAGCAGAGAGCAGTATGGACATAATTACTCATTATAGTGTTCCTTAATTCATTTTTCTTATGTTGCAGACTTATGATCGGCCATTTATCCAAAGATGGTTAAATGAAGGCCACAGGACATGCCCTCAAACCCAGCAAGTCCTTTCTCACTCTATCCTTACTCCAAATCATCTGGTCCGTGACATGATTTCACATTGGTGCAGAGAGAATGGAGTTGAGTCGCCTAAGCTTGTTCGGGATACTGATGAAGAAGTAATAACTGGTGCAGACAGAAGCCATTTAAATTCATTGCTCAAGAAGTTGTCAATGTCTATTTCTGATCAGAAAGCAGCTGCAAAAGAGCTCCGGCTATTAACAAAGCGAATGCCCTCATTTCGAATCCTTTTTAATGAGTCCAGTGATGTGATGTTGCAGTTGCTCAGTCCATTGTCACCTGGTACGGCTTGTGTCCCTCCTGACCTTCACGAGGACTTGATCACTACTGTTCTAAATCTCTCAATTCATGATGATAATAAGAAAATGTTTGCTGAGAGTCCTACGGTCATCCCTCTGCTGATTGAGTCCTTGAAATTTGGAACCATCCAAGCAAGAAGTAATGCTGCGGCAGCTATTTTCACATTATCAGCACTTGATTCCAACAAGGGCATCATTGGAAATTCTGGGGCCATCAAACATTTAATTGAGCTTTTGGAGGAGGGACATCCACTGGCCATGAAAGATGCTGCTTCTGCTATTTTCAACCTATGTTTGGTTCATGAAAATAAAGGAAGAACTGTTGGAGAAAGAGCTGTTCCGGTTATCCTTGACAAGATCATGGACCGTGTTCTAGTTGATGAGTTGTTGGCTATTCTGGCACTCCTGTCTAGCCATCCAAAGGCTGCTGAAGAAATGAGCGATCTTGGTGCTGTCCCCTTGTTGCTCAGTATTATGCGGGAGAGCACATCCGAAAGCTGCAAGGAAAATTGTGTTGCAATCCTATACACAATCTGTCTTACTGATAGAACAAAATGGAAGGAAATTAGAGAAGAAGAAAAAGCCAGGGGCACGCTTTCCGAGCTCGCACAATGTGGGACTTCAAGGGCCAAAAGGAAGGCTAGTGGGATTCTTCAGAGGCTCCATAGATCTCCCACGTTAACACACACGGCTTAGTTTGAAGTAAGGCTCTGGGAATTTTCAGCTGACCTCTTTGTAAATAAATATCTCAAGTTCTTCTGTACGCCTCTTCTCTAGTGGCTGTAAATGACGAGGTGAAGTTTTTGTGTAAAGAGCACGTTACCCGCATTTAGCATGCTCTATCTGTGAGCAATGAGGCACTGACATTTAAATAGAAAAAGAAAAATCTTTTTTTTTTCCCTCATTTGAAAAAGAGCTCCACCATGTTGTAGAATGCAAGCCAATAGTCCTATTCCTGGGATGCCTCATCTGATGGCGCCGGGCTGCCTGTGATGGTTGCGTCGGCATTCGAATTAGTTTTAAATTTGTTTGTGTGAGGTAGCAAACAAACCAATGATAATGGTTGGGAGAGCAAATGAGGCGGTGGGGCTTTTGTGAGTGAGGGTGAGTTTGTGGCATTGTTGATATGGTGGAGGGAAGAACAAGAGGTGGGTGGGCCTTTCTTTAGTTTTGTTAGGGAGCCAACCTTTATTCACAGTGTCAGCACTGATAATTGGCAGTGAGGGGGATGGCCCCACAGCAAGGTGGTCAGATGCTCTGTACCGCTCGTTGATGTTGGACTCCTACTACTATTAAGTAAATGAAAGCATCTTTTGCTGCTGCTCTATGTAATGTACACGTATGTGGCGGTTCTAAACCCGCACGAGAATATTCAGAATCTCACTGATGCCTCAACCGACTTGTTCAAACGTGTTCACATGAAAATAAGAGAGTAGGTGCTTCTTTTTTGCCTTTTTGGTAAAAGAGAGTAGGTTCTTTTGCTAAACAACCGATTTTTTTCCCTTAAAACATAGGTATTCTCTTATTAGAAGCAATCATATTTAAAACACTGTCAAACATTAAATGTGGACATCTTTTTTAACTGAAATTTAAATCTTAGTTCATCACGTTGTGAGAAACTAGTCTTTTTTGTTAGATCTAATTGTTATTGGTAACAAACGACTTGTTCTCCCAGCCGTGGGCGTCACTATCAGCTTCGCAGCCCACCAGAATTAACGGGCTCCTGCCCTTTTCCCATCGCACTCGTCCTGTCCCAGCACGTGCCGTCCCATACAGCTTCTAAGTCTGAGTAATAAGTTTTGTCAGGCACTTTAGTGAGCGGTACACAAAGACATGGGCCTAAAATGTCCAACAATCCCATGTCTCTTACCAACCAATGAAAAATGAGTTTAGTTAAAAAAGTTAGTCTTTTACATAATGAATTTATACTCAAATTTTGATTGAAAGAGGTATTTATATTTAATACTTAACGGTATCTCAAATAGAATTATTTTTAATAAGAGACACCTATACTAACCAAAAAAAAAATTGCTATCTTTTCATAATTAATTCCTGATTTAGTGGCAGGAATATTATTAAACTAACATTTTTCAATTGTATACTAGCTCATATTTTGGGGATGAAAGGGCAAAATATAATTGGCAAAAATATTTTTAAAAAAAGCGACGGGACACCAAATTTGAGTTTTACACAAGTTGATGTGCGAAACTGATGTGATATACTACCTCTAATTCTTAATATAAGACCCTATTTGAATTTTATATTGGTCCTAAATATAAGATCTCAATTCATTTTATCTCTCATATTTACTCAATTTTTTTCAAGATAATCTTTCTAATAATTATAATTTTAGCCAACATACTTGATTAGTAAGGATTTTTTAGGAAAGACAACACCTATTTATTACGAATAACTAACTTAACTTCTTTCTTTAATTTTCTCAAATTAGTCAACTGGCTCTTATAATTAAGGTCGGTGAGGAGATTGAGAAAAGAAGTTAAGTTAGTTATTTATAACAAATAAGTATTATTTTTTCTAAAATATCCTTACTAATCAAGTATAGTGACTAGAACTATCATTATTAGAAGGACCATTTTAGAAAAAATACATAAATATAAGAGACAAAATGAATTGAGGTCTTATATTTAAGATAAAGATAAAAGTCAAATGAGATTTTATATTAAGAAGTGGAGGTAATATAAAATTAACAGATAAACAATGATAGTGATTGGTTGGTGGTTAAACATGACATGGTAAGTTGGCAACACTGACGAATGTTAAGGAACAGGTTTGTGTTAATTTAACAACATGCAGCAAGATTTTAATTAATCAACAAGAAATTAATACGCTAAATGATTAAATTCAAAGGATCAAAAATGCATTTCGCGACCTAGGAATTTAGGTGGGAAGGAAGCTGAATACAATCCTGTGGGTTTCAATTCATTGTAGTGGGATATAAGGGAGATATTTTGGCAGAAAGCAAAACCTTGTACTTACGATATTAAGAACGTTTAGAGTGCGAACATCAACACATCATGACGTAGAAACAGTTTGTGAAGACCGATGAGTCGGGAGACCCCGTGACGCCTCTAATTCTTAACATCCGAACTTATGACTCCGCTGGACGCTGCATCCAGGAATAATCACATTCGGCACCCCGATGCTTTTTTCATCTTTTCATCAATTAATTTATCTGCTTGGAAAAAACTACTGTCATTTTTTAGCCGTACAGGTTTTCTGATCTATCAAACAAGTTTATCTTGCCAGTAGTCCAAATAGTATAATTAAAAGGTTCAAATCTTCCTACGTATATAACGCGGATTTTGAAAAAAGTTGCATTATTTTGTGAATAATACACTTTGATCTGGATTGTACCACGTATGTCGTACTAGCTCCTGTTCTTAACATAAAATCCTGTTTGACTTTTAGTTTGGTCCTAATTATAAGATCCCAATCCATTTTGTCTCTCATATTTATACATTTTTTTCCAAGATAGTCCTTCTAATAATGATAGTTTTAACTAATACATTTAATCAGTAAAGATGTTTTAGGAATAACAACACTTATTTATTACAAATAACTAACTTAACTTACTTCTTTAATCTCCTCAAATTAGTCAACTAGGTCTTATAATTAGGACTGAAAGTAGTAATATCGATCTATGTTTGACACCCAAAAAAAAATTAATACAAATACAAATGTATAATACTTCATAGCATTTTTAAATTTTTAAAAAATACTACATTTATCAAAATTAATTCTAAAATATCACATAAATTGGAATGGAACACGAAAGATTATATATTGCATTTTCGGTGTTTTTCAAAACTGATGGATAAAAGTGAAATAGAGGGTGGAGGACTGGAAGGCTCATGATGATTCAAAGCCCAAAAAGATTTAGTAGGCGAAAAAAAAGGGAGAGGGGGGGAACCAAAAAGATCTAACACGTCTCCATCTATATATATCACCCCAAGCTTAGAGTGCATATTACCACCCTCTCTGAAGTCTCAATACAAATCAGATCTCACTCACTCGCCAAAACCCAACAGAAAAAGGAAAATTACCCAGATGGATGCATAGAAGGCTCAGGAAACGCAGCCACGGGGGAGCAGGCACTTGGAAATGAATCCCAGCATTTTACTCTGCCATGCCACATTACAATAAAACCATCCAATGAGTATAATCCAGCAATGAATGCGCATGGGGAAAATAATCAGAGTAAAGGAGAGAAGAGAGAGAGAGAGACCCGCTTGGAAGTGCGAAGGACTTCGGGAGGGATCTGATAGAGATCCTGGTCCACTGGCTTCGGCCGTCTCGGCGGCGGCGGCGGAAGGCCCTCGTTTCTCCCACCTGCCTTTCCCGGCGCCTCCCTCACGTCCCACACTTTGCCTTGCTTTTTCATATTCATATTCCCATTCTCCTTCACATTCGAGCTCCTCTTCCTCCTCATCTGCGCCCATTCCTCTCCTTGTTACCACTCCCGCCAAATCCACATAAATTGCATTATGAATTCACAAATAGAAGGATTTGAAGGCAGACAGAGCGAACCTTTTTAATGGAAGAAGGCGCGGGAGGGACGTGATGTTTAAAATCGAGGGCGTAGAGATCGCGATCGCCGCACGCGTGAGGATCGCTTTCTCCCGAAGACGAACTGTGACGGACCAGACCCGCTTGTCTGGCACACTCGAAGTACTGAGTGATGGGCAGGTCGTTGGCCAAATCCCAGTTCCCGAATGCCGGAATCTGACCGCTCCTCTTCCATTCCTACAATAATTGAATTCAGCCCTCAAAAGCATTCGTCATTACTGTTGGAGCCAGAATAAACAAAAAGGCAAACGAACTCACATCCATTTTTGAGAGGGCAGGCTGCAGAGATTCGGAAATCTTGAAGGGAGAGACTCGAAGGCTGCCGTTAGTCCGGATAAGAAGCGCTACGAATTGGTTAGAGTGAAAAAGGAGGGAGACAGCAATTAGATGAGGAGGTGGAAGGCCTTGTGGGTTTTGGGATTAGGATGTGTGGAATCGGAAGAGGCTTGGAATTTGAGTACTGGTAGGTAATAATGGGAGGGTGCTGGCGGGTCTGCCGACCAATGCTGGGGTTGGACACTGCCTCCTGCTTAAAAGTAGCCACACTTTTAGCCGCAATTGGCTGCGTGTGTGGGGAATGAGGATTATTTAATGAGGATGCGGGGAGGGCAGCGGAGAAGAAGCGAAGAAGACAATGGTCAAAGGGAGAGGGCAGGTTTGGACGGAGGCAGCAGTCAACACTAAGAAGCACAAGTCCAAGCAGGGGGCCCGCCGGTGGGTGTGGGGGAGTCTGTGCCCTCTCACATCCCGCATCTCAAAGTCGCAATCAAACTTTGACAATCTCACCCCCAAAAGTCAACACCCTCCTGTTTCTTTCTTTCTTCAGCTCTACTCCACATCCCATATTAATAATTAATACTCTTTTCCTATTTTATTATAGGAGACATTTGATATTTAAGGCATATTTTTTATATAAGAGACACTTAAAAATTGTCTCTATTCTTTTGTATTGATTTTCTATTTTATTCCTATTTATTTTGTCTCCAACTCATACTCTCTTCCTCCACTTTTTTTTCTTTTAATAATTTAATTGTTCTTTCTCATACTCTCTCTCTTTATTAATGAGGACATTGTTGGAAAGAACATTATACTTTTTACATATTAATTATTCTTAACTAATTTTAAGTGTTTTTTTATCAACGTAATTTGGTTATTTGTCTCTTATAATAAAGCACGGAGGGAGTAATTTACTTAATTAATTAATGAATCATTGGCACGTGAAGCTTGTTGACAGTAATCTTAATTTCAGACGCAACCGCTCCTCAATCAAGTGTTGAAAATGAGGCACAGCATAAGATTAGGATCTGCCACTGGATTTCATCTCAAGTTATCATCCCTGTCTCCCTAATCTCTCTAATGAAGTACTATCACAAACCCATACCCTGCTTTGAACAAACACAGGAAGATTATTGGATTACAAAAGTCCACACGCATTTGTTTTTGTATTCCTATTCCTCTCATCTTATTTATAAAATCACTTTCAATATATTTAATCAGAATTGAGAAGAGAATTTTAAATCTCATTAATATTTCCTTTTATGGGGGGGGGGGTTTTCTAACGGGAGATAAAGGAGGCAGAGAATGCTGAAAAATAGAAGTGCAACCCCTATTTAATACACGTGTGGAAAAGGAACCCGAAAAGTAACTTTAAAATAAAATGTCATTTATACCCTTTAACAAAAGGCGTGCCTCGAATTTTGGTGCCGTGAAATCCCTTGGGAGAACAGCAGAACACGCATGATAACATGGGGGTAGGGCGATAAACATAATATCCACAGCACAGGTCCGAGGTAGGTTGGGTTGGGCCCTCTGGGCTTCACATATTCAAGTTCCGCCAAGGCAGGGTATTTGCCACAAGCTCGTTCACTTGCTCTGATCCCTGCCTCCAAATGTCCGATTGTAAAAATCTCGCGGGAGGCGGTAGGATATGACGACGTGGAATTTTATGACACGTCATGATTTAACTGCACTACGCCCTGTCATCATCTTCATCGACAAACTTTACACTTCTTACAAGCACAGGGGGAGAGGATGTGAAACGTGATTTTTGTTTTTGGCCCTTATATAGCCAATTAATTGCACCAGCAATGCTGGTATTTTTTCAAAACACCCGGTATTGAGGGGTTTGGATAAAAATTAATTAAAATTTAAAAAAATTAACGTAAAAATTATTTTTTTAATACTTTTTTTTTTCTCATATGCAAATACCCCAAACGTATGTTCCTTTCCCGATGCCCTTGTGGGACGAATCTTTCCAATTCAAATTCGCCGCTGCGTTTATTCTCTTTAGAAGTTGGAACGAAACGCATAAGAAAGTGAGGATCCACAGCAAAATCACACTCATATTAGCTTTCTCGTGCAGCATCGATTATCGACCATTCCTCTGCCACTCTTTCCCGTCAATTCGAGAATTCTGTCGCTTGATTTCTCCACAGGAAGGAATATGGAGTGTATTTCTGTTCTTAACAGTACCCTCTCCTCCTGGTAGGGCATTTTGCTGCTGCTTTTTCCTTTACACATAGATACAGTGGGCTTCTTCTTCGTAGCTATGGCTTACGTACCTCCACACAAGCGCCACTCTAAGGACAAGGATGCCCCGTTACCATCACCCGAGCTGCTCCCTTCTCACTCAAAGAAAAATCCAAATTTAACTTCTCGCAACTCCTACGCTGAGAGAAGCGGGAAGATCATATATGCAGAGCAGGCCATATCTAAATGGTTTGCGGTTGGCCTTGATGATACCAGCCAGCTTCCCCCTTTTGTTCACCTTTGCTCCATTTCCTTGGAATCTATTGAGCGCAAAATTGGAGAAAAACCCCTTATTTTAGTAGAAAGTAGTCAGCTTACTGGAGGTTGGACGTGGATTCAAATTATGCAGTCTTCATTCATACTTCATGCATTCTTGCTCGACTGGTGCTCAAAATCCCAACTTAAGGTTTTTCTTCTTTTCTTTCCCAGACACGGGAGTTGCACGCATGAGATGTCCTGCGGAAATCATTACAGAAAATGTGCTTCAAGATCTACTTTCTTCTTTCGACAATGTGAGAAGCCTGATGCAGGTCCGATCTTTTGAAGAAGTTAAGCCAACCTTAGTGGCCAGATTTGGCAAGGTTCTGTTCCATGGGTAAACTATCACTCTTCCCATTAACTGCCCTGTGATTGCTTCATTCCCGTATGCCCCCTGTTAATTTTGGTGGTAATTTTCTTCATGACTGCAATGGATTATGGCAGTCTCTTTATGTGATTTGCTGATATTGTGTATACGTTCTTAACCAATCTATCCTAGACCGCAATTGGGGTATTCCGTCCATTGAATAAACTGAGTGTTCTATAAGTTGTCAGCATCAAAATTTCAATTTCACCTTCCAGTCATCTAAGGTTAAGCATAGAACTTTGGAAACAATATTAGTACTGATTTGTGATTGCTAACAAGTAACGGACACGTTTGTCCTATTAGTCGTAGTGTTAGTGCAGAAGCGAGAAGGAAAACATTACGGTGCGGTTTGATATTTGGGCAGGAGACCTTCCGCTGCGCAAGAAGCAATGCAAAGAGGTTTTGCTGCAGGGATTAAGTTGGGAGATTCAAAAAGATCATTTTACACAAATATTCCTACTCCGTACATGGAAAAAATTACTAGCGAAGAGTCACCAAACATTGGGTTTGATTTTGCAGAGGAAAAAGATGTGTTCCATGTTAAGGTATCCTCTCGTTTTTTGTTTTGCCTTTGGTATTCATCTTGTGATCAATTTAGATCAAGTTTGTTACCGGATCGTGTAATTTCTTTCTTATGCAAATAGTTGTCTGACACCAACCGACCAGACGCGACTATTTCTTGCAAGTGCCGTGTAGTGAAAGAACACAGTAGGCTTCAAATGTACAAGGCAAGTTTTCTAATTTTAACTTAGTTAGGGATGCTTAGGTGAAAAAATTTAATACTAGTACTGGAATTGATGGAAAACCTAGTAGTACTAGAGAAGTAATCATCATTGGAAGTTACTACCCGCTTTAATTTAAAATGGTCATTTTCTTCATCTTTGAACAATCATACTTGTTTTTCATATGTTATTATTTATTTATTTGGTAATAGATAATGGATTTCCATTACTACCAAAAGAATACGCTCTATACTGTACAAATAAACAGCCATATGTTTTATTTTTCCTGGCATTTTATATTGAATCAACTCTTTCTCCACGTTTCTGTTTATACATAAGCATTTGTATTGCAGATTGAATTGAATCAAGTACGCCACATGGTCACTGACATATCGTCTCTTATTAAGAATCTTGATTTGAGGCTAATGTTGTGCACCAAAAGGATTCTGACGTCCTTGAAAGTAAGTTGCTTTCTCATTGCATAACATTGCAATTGCACATTTGTTGCAGTTTATATGTTGTCCAACTTTTTTGTTGGTTGTAATTCATTTTCGTCCCTTCATAACTTTTCTACAGCAATTCTAGTTGATAAAAGAGGAAAATAGCCGTATGAGGCTAACTAAAATGGTCAGAATGCGGTGGCGTGGGTAGAGGTACTCTCATAATGTGACCCAAGAAAAACAGAGAGAATGTGAGAGGAATTTTTTTCCCCTAAAAAAAGATTTTGAATGTAGAATCCTTGAGGGAAAACATCTGTATTTTCTTGTGTCATTATATCATATTTATCATATTGAAGCCTTGAATTTGTAATTGTAATGATTACGCTTGGAAACTCATAAATCTGTAGCTTTCCCGATGTAATTCATGTGTCCACTCCATTCCAGGATGATGAAATGCAATGCATTCAAGATCTGATTCATTCTGCCATTCTAGATCCAAATGTGAAGGGCGGATTAAGATGGACCCTAGGGAAAACATCTTCCGGAGATAGATTTTCTGTGGTTGGGGTCTGGCACACTATAACTAAAGCTTACAGAACTCCATCGCTAAGACTGAAGGTGAGACATGCTGATCGATTTGATTTAAGGATGTCTACTGGTGAATCTGCTTCTGAAGCTTACTTGAAGCTGAAAGGAATTGTCTCAGAATTACAGGTAATTATAGTTTATGTTGATATGAGATGGTAAAAGAAAGGAACATTAGTAGAAGTTGAGAGTTCTGGTTTTTATTCTTTTTGCTATTTTTAGGTTTCATCTACTGGTAATGTTTTATCATTAGATTAGAGCTTTTAGTACTCGAATATTATGCTTTAACAAGTATCAGGTTTAAGTAAAAGGGTATACTTTCCTATTATTGACGGAAATTTAGATAGATGCCAGGATTTAGTCCTCTAAAGTAATTTAGGAGCATTGGACAAGGTATACAATCTAATGATCTCCATTAATGAGAAGTGGAAGTTAAATTTGCACGAGATTGGTTGGATTGAATTTTTATTTAAGAATTAATATGTGGCGGGAAGACTATATACCGGGGACTTGGGCTCTTAGCTAAGTGTAATCTTGAACCACGTATGTGCCATGGGCTCTTCTGAGAATATGCAGTTCAGCATATAAACTAAATGTTAGGCTCTGAGCATACCGTGATATTTAATTATTCAGTTTTGAGTGTAGTATTATTTAAAGATTTCAACTAGAATGAGAGGAAATAAATTAAAGCATCACATCTATGATTGAATTTCAGATAACCGTTTTGGAACTTAGGGATTACTAGTTGCAGATTTCTCTGGAATTGCTTTATGTCACTTTGTAATTGATAGATTGACTTCTCCTCTTCCTAGTAACGAAAGCGTTCAAGATTCAAGTCCTGATCTTCTAATGGAGGTTTGGGCCGGTGTCTACTTGGTCTATTAAGAAAATAATTGAGCCCGGCTCTTACACGCAGAAATCTGACTCTATACAAAAGTTACAATATGGTAACACATTTTTGTTTCAAGAAAATTGCTAAAGTAGAGCATATAAAAAGGTTATCGACCTATAATAATGGAATATTTAGGCCTATATATGTAATTTTTATATATGTGTGTGTATATATTAGCTGTGAAGCATTTTACTGACATTGTGCATCTTCTGTTTCCAATAGGTGGAAAAAGTTGATGTCAGTTTGATCTCAGAGATGCTTAAACAGGATTTAAGACTGATATGGGATCACTTTCTAAACTGTGAACATTTCTTGGGTTGATGGCTGGTTTCGAATTTAACTGGACTTGGATCCCCCACTCTTAGTTTCTCAGGTGAGGTGATAAAGATGGAGTTCACCTTTTACTTGGGTCCATTCCATTTTTATTTGCCTCTCACTCGAGCAATTGAACAGCCGAAAGAATCCAAAACCCGAGCTTAAGCTCTCTCGCCCTCACCTCTCTATTCTCTTTTGTTGCGAGTTATGGCTTCCAGTGTGTCTTTATTGAAGGAGGAATGATGTAAAGAATTTGTCATTCGCGAGGTGTAAGATTACTCCAACTTCTGACTGGCAATGACTCCACACAGAAACATGAGCGGAAAAAGCTTGTCTATATATCCATATATCTAGTAAACCTACGTGATTTCCTCCTATTTTGTTCTTCTATCTTTTTTGCTTGTGTTTTCCGCTATTTTTAAAAATAATTCATTCGCTTCTCAATTTGGTTGTTCGTTTTTCCAGTTTTTTTTTTTTTTGGGGTAATGATGTTTCGTTGTTATGGGGAAAGAGAGAAATGCCTGCAGAATAGACAGATGATCCTGTGTTGTTGAGCGTAGTAATAGCACTTTTGAATTTGGAAGCACTGGCTTTCTCGTGTATATGAATATGAAATAAAATAATCATTCATTGTGTTCAGGAACGTATTTGGTATTATTTTGCTTTCACCCTCCCGATTCTTCCAGCATCGACTCATCAGTGGACAATAGTTTTTCACTCTGCATTGAATTTGTTTAGCATCAATTTCCACGGTTAAATGTAATTGTTGGGTGGTTCCACTTTGCTAGCATCGAGATAGGACTAAAACTTGGGACATGACGTCGGTGGTCGCACGAGTGACAGCACTATTAGTGAATATTCACAAAGAGACCGTAACGAATGGCAATGAGTCGGAAATAATGTGATGATTCTGAAATAGACACAATGGCAACAGCAGACAGAGACCGAAGATGAAATAAAAGTGGTTTGGCATGGAGCAGTTATCTGAGTTTCCTGAGTGGCAAGGCACGTCCGAAGAGCTCCTCTACTTGAGTGGCTTCCATTTGAAGCTGGTTGAGCAGGTTCATTTCTTCGTTGCTGAGGCCCCTCAAGAAATTTTCCTCGTCTTCCCGAAGTACTTTGAACCCTTCCGCTAGCCTCTGAAACAGGTTCATCTCCGTTTTACCCACCCTTTCTACCTCCCCTTCTAACTCTTCTACCTCCCTCACAATCGTCTCCTCCCCTTCCTCTACTTTTTTCTCCAATTTCTCCACCAGGGAAGGCTCTGGCCCACACCTGTTATCTGTTCTCTTGAACTTGCTGAAGTCCCTTCCCACCCTCTTTGCTGCTTTCTCGAGTTCCGGAACTATACTTTCCGGTAAAACTGCACTCCTTGTATACACAACCGCACCTCCGTACCCATCCCATGCATCGTTCCTCCCTCTGTAATAAACAAATACGTAATCGTCTGCTTTCTTCTCAATCTTCGATGATATAATGTACCTGGGTTCACACAACACGCAACTGAGTGAGATCTACAGACCCGAGAACCTTTGTAAGGCCTCAACTTTGAAAAGATCCCCAGATCATCCAGATGTTATCTTTTTCTTCCTTTTTTATAGCATCATTACATCAATATATATATATATATAATATAATAGGGAAATGCTCTTCATTGAAAAATTTCATTGATAAGAAGGATCTACATCATACTTTATGTGTATAAAATTCGAACAGTATGATTTGTTCTTGTGCATAAAAACTATTAGATCCTTATCAACAACAAAATTTTTAATGGGGAATTTTTTTCTCTCCTATATTTCCCTATATAATACAAATTCTTTAGGTGTGAAAAAAGGCTAGTTAATTTCACTCCCTACTGCTACAAAAATACACATGTATGTAATGGAGTAGCCGGCAGATTTTAAGGGGTGAATGAGGTAACTGACTCTGAAAGGGGCCACAAAGTAATGAAATTTTTGCTAATGCCGTTCTACTAAAATTTGAGAATTGCAGAAATGCCGGCTTTTGAGCAATGAGTTACCAGTCGTCCTGATAGTGAAGGTACTCATTATCGTGATTGTAGAGTATCCCAGGCTGAGAATGATCTTGTACAAATCTCTGCACAGCTGATCGAGTAAGAAATCCGCCATCTAGAGCCTGTACTCTCCATGATAAATTACCAACAAGTTTGTTGGATTCAGTGTGAAATTCATGCAATTGGCAGTCAAAAGTATCAAAGGAAGGATTTAAGCCGGCACTGATGAACCACTTCCCACTGAAATCTCCAATGTCAAAGCTCTTCACCAGGACATCGGGATTTGGAGCGGGAAATTCTCCGACATCAGATTTCCTAGGCACACATTTTTTCCTCGAGACTGCACACTCGTTGAATTCATCAACCACATTGTTCACGAACACGTCCCCGCATTTGATCTGGAGAGTTAAGTAGGAAAATTGAAAAAAAAGGGTCGTTATACAACAGAGAAGAGAATAGAGATGCACGTCAATAAAGGCAGAGGAAGGACTAACTTGGCATTCAGTCTCATCAGGTCGATCATTGCAAGTTTGGAGACAAGCAATATTGGCAGCGCAGGATGGATTGGATATGCACTTGGCCAGTTCTATCCTACACAGATGAATTACATGGTCAAACTCTGTCACCGAGCCAGAAGCAGGACTGAAAAGGCGTGTGACGTATACCTGCATTCCTTCAATAAGCAGGCACAAGTTCTGAGAGCATCAACAGCATCGGCCGACGGAATAATAATAAGAGCACACAACAATATACCGGTCAATTCCAAGAAGCGCGAGTAGCTCCAATCTTTCAGGAAAACAGTCGCTCTCTCCGCCAGAAATTCAGACACCTGAGAGCCAAAAATGACCAATGAAGAGGAAGCCCCTGAGACAGGACAGGAACCAGCGAGTACCTGGGGTGTATTTGTGCGGGTGCCGTGCGCCGAAGCGGAGAATTCTTGTTTCTGTTGTCTGAGCGATTTCGAAGGTCTCGAACCCAAACTGCGGTGATGTCCACAAGGTCTCAACAGTCGCAATTGTGTTGAGTCGTTGCTGTTGGACAATACTTGGAGCACCACCACCCTACCACAAGCAATCCTTCTTACCTTTCGCAACCTCTTCTCAATTGTCAGGCCCAATCTGATGCATATATTGGCACTGCCTCCCCGGTGGAAGAAACACATTGAGTGTGCAGCCAGCGCCATGATTTGGCTTCCAAAAATGACCTAAGAAAGAACACGGAATAATTCGTGAGAGTAATCATAAAAAGTGTGTCGTGAATAGCATCTACAATCTAGTCATTTCTCCGACCGGAGCCGAATGAATGCAGAAGATACAAATGGGTATGCCAAACAAAAACATTGCCTTTCATCTGCTTAGGAAATTGCCGGTTCTCTTTCGATCATTTCCACTAACAAACGATGAATGATTTATTATTCTACTCATCGCCTCAAAAAGTACATATTATTATCATTGATTGAAAACAAATAAACTAGCTGCTCTCCTCAGAATGCATGAATTGACGAAATGCACGAAGAGAGAAAGGCATGCCTTATGTCGTGGCCAATGAAATGGAACGTGGGAGGCGACAGGGCAGTGCGAGAAACAGGGGCGTCATGGCAGAGAGCAGGGAGGGAGTAGAAGGAGAAAGAAAGGGCGCCGTCGCGCGAGGCCCCGGATAAGAACATCGTGTGGACCGTAAACAAAGTCGTAACGGCACCGGGAAGGTACACGTCGCCAGTTCCAATTGGTCATAATTTGTGAATCATTTTCACGTCCAAATAGAGCTGGGCTTCAGTATGACCAAGGCCTGCACCGTGCTTTCTACTGAACTCAATCGGCCCACTGGATAGCTGAAATACCCCTAGCTCCGAAACCAGTTTTTTAAAAATGACTCGCAAAACACCGTTTTGGATATTTTGTTGGGAAAATTTCACTGTAGGATCGTAGAAGACAATTAATATCAAAGAGCCTCCAAAACTTTTTGAAACCTCACTGCAGGACCAAGGGACCAATTTGATATTAATTTTTAGAGTGAGATTACAATAATACCCTCCCTTTTTATTTTATTAAAAAATAAATATTTACAGCCGGACCTCTGACCTCCGGTGGCCGGAACAGTAACTCCGGCGGGACCTCCGGTGGCCGGAGTTTTTTTGTTTAAAACAAAGTGGCCAAGGGAGGGTTTGAACCCAAGACCCCTTGGCACACCAAAAGACTTGTAACCACCAAGCCAAGCAACCCATTCAATCATAAAATGCAAATAAAACTACATATAACAAAATAAACGCAACAGTCCAAATGTAAGTGAACAAGTGAAATTAGACGATTTACAAATGGAATTCAGAAATTTGCAACAAAAATTAGGCAATTTACAAATAACATAATAGAAGTCATAACCCAAAATGCAAGTGTTTAAGTGCAAATGAGCAAGTAAAATTTGAAGATTTACAATAAAAGTTTATGGATTTACAACCCAAATTTGGTAAACACAAGAGAATTCGCAACCCAAAATGTAAGTGTTTGAGTGTAAGTGAACAAGTGATATTAGACGATTTACAAGTGGAATTCAACAATTTACAACAAAAATTAGGCAATTTACAAATAATATAATGGAACTCACAATCCCAAATACAAGTGTTTAAGTGTAAATGAGCAAATAAAATTTAAAGATTTACAACAAAAGTTTATAGATTTGCAAGTGAAATTCGACAATTTCACTTGCTCATTTGCACTTAAACACTTGCATTTGGAGTTATGACTTCCATTATGTTATTTGTAAATTGCCTAATTTTTGTTGTAAATTTCTGAATTCCACTTGTAAATCGTCTAATTTCACTTGTTCACTTACACTCAAACACTTACATTTTGGGTTGTGAATTCTCTTGTGTTTACCAAATTTGGGTTGTAAATTCATAAAATTTTATTGTAAATCTTCAAATTTCACTTGCTCATTTGCACTTAAACACTTGCATTTTGGGTTATGATTTCTATTATGTTATTTGTAAATTGTCTAATTTTTGTTGTAAATTGCTGAATTACACTTGTAAATCGTCTAATTTCACTCGTTCACTTACACTCAAACACTTACATTGTGGGTTGTGAATTCTCTTGTGTTTGCCAAATTTGGGTTGTAAATCCATAAACTTTTATTGTAAATCTTCAAATTTCACTTGCTCATTTGCACTTAAATACTTGCATTTGGGGTTATGACTTCTATTATGTTATTTGTAAATTGTCTAATTTTTGTTGTAAATTGCTGAATTACACTTATAAATCGTCTAATTTCACTTGTTCACTTACATTCAAACACTTACATTTTGGGTTGTGAATTCTCTTGTGTTTGCCAAATTTGGGTTGTAAATCCATAAACTTTTATTGTAAATCTTCAAATTTTACTTGCTCATTTGTACTTAAACACTTGCATTTTGGGTTATGATTTCTATTATGTTATTTGTAAATTGCCTAACTTTTGTTGCAAATTTCTGAATTCCACTTGTAAATCGTCTAATTTCACTTGTTCACTTACATTTGGACTGTTGCGTTTATTTTGTTATATGTAGTTTTATTTGCATTTTATGATTGAATGGGTTGCTTGGCTTGGTAGTTACAAGTCTTTTGGTGTGCCAAGGGGTCCTGGGTTCAAACCCTCCCTTGGCCACTTTGTTTTAAACAAAAAAACTCCGGCCACCGGAGGTCCTGCCGGAGTTACTGTTCCGACCACCGGTGACCGGACCCCGACGGCGGCCACCTGAGCACCGGTGGCCGGACCTCCGACCTCCGGTGGCCGGAACAGTAACTCCGGTAAATATTTATTTTTTAATAAAATAAAAGGGAGGGTATTATTGTAATCTCACTCTAAAAATTAATATCAGATTGGTCCCTTGGTCCTGCAGTGAGGTTTCAAAAAGTTTTGAGGGCTCTTTGAGATTATTTGCCTTCTGCGGTCCTACAGTGAAATTCCCCCTATTTTGTTTATGATAACAAGGAAACAAACGTTATGTCTTTTGCACGTATAAAGTACTCTTCCCTTTCTTAATAGAATGGACTACGGAGAGATAGAAAATTTTAATAAAGATAAAATTAAAAAGTTTTGCTAATTTAATATTTTTGTGTTATAAAAGAGAATAAGAATCATAGTAGTTCTTCAGCGTCTTATATTTAGGACTGGAATTGCAGCATATTTGATGGAGAGAGTTTTGGGAAAAGAATGTTGGAGAAGATTGGTTTTATGACAACGAATGATGACATGACACAAATAATGGCTGAACAAAACCCAGCCGAGTCATTGAGGATGAGATTCAATATGTCGAGGCCTTTTTCTCGGGAGGGAAAAAATCTCGCCGGCAATGGGAATTGGACAGCTAATGAAGTAAGGACAAAGGGAAATACTGTAAATAAGAAGGTCGGTGATTTCATGAGGGAAGTAGAAGGGGCGGGCGATGGGTGCGAGGGTATGGAAGGCTGCAGGGAGCAAGGTGGGAGAATATCCATTCATGGCTGGCCGGTACTCACGAGGCAGCCAAGTGTATATGTATAATTGCAGTGTTTGGGCCGCCTGGCAAAGGAGTTACGTTGGATATGACTCCTCCTCCATTCCTCCTCATTCTGATAACATTCCTGCTCTTGCGAAACTCCTCGTCTCGTGTCGCAGCTCAATGCGGGCTCAATCTGAGTGCCTACCCTTATGTGGGATACGCGGAGTGCGGTTGGGTTCAGGATCAGATGGATCACTGGGACGGCTTCCCAAACACCCTCTGCTGCCGCAACGCCCTCACCGTCTTCTCCCAAGCACTGGCCCTCCGAGCCCGCACCCAGACCTCCCTCTTCATCCCCGACACTGAATGGCACTCCTGTTCCGACGCCTTTCGTCCTTCACAAGCCATTTCTCCAGACTCCTGCGGCTTCCACAACTTGTACCTTGGCGCCTTCAAATGCTCCAACCTCAAACTCTCCGACATTCAGAGCCTCCCGTTCTACCAACCCTCCCTCGACCAATGCTCCCACTTTGACCGTCCCTCTCCCGATTCTTGTGCCCACTGCGTCTCCGCCGTCTTGAATATCCGAGACTCTCTCTACGACCAATTAGTCGGCTCGCAGGACATTCCCGTCGAAAGAGCCGTTTGTGGCGTCGCCTCTCTTGTTTCCCTCGCTGCGGGCAAACCCGACGATCCTTCCCTTTCAGACAAGTTCTTGCGTTGTTGGCCTCCTCCCCCGAACCACGGTAGCACCCTCACACTCATCACTTGTCAATACATATTTATTATAAATAATGAAATTAATCTATTTCTCTCCTTCCCATTCACGATTTGTGGGCAGATCACCCTGCAGAATTTCTCAAATGTGAGTAAAATCAAACTCGGTCGAGTTACATGCTATATTCATGTTAGTTAGTGAAGAGTGAAATCCACTGACTGACTAACAAGCGAGTACGGGTGTTGTTTTGGCTTCCTCTGCAGGGTTCTCCATAGTTGCTCTGTTAGCGGTGATTGCGATGGCCTTGACGGCAATACTGGTGAGATGTGTGTGGCAGAAGAAGCCTCGAGAAGCGGCGGCGTTGAAAGAAATAACGACGTGGTCAGGGATGTACTGGTTCTCGAAAGCAGAGATAGAGAATGCCATAAGCCACGGGAATGAAAGGAAGTGCCTGGGAAGAGGGAGTGCAGGACAGGTGTTCAAAGGGGTTCTTCCCAGCGGTCAAGTGGTGGCCATCAAGCACCTGAACAAAACTAACAGCTCTGATTCTTTCACTCGCGAAGTGGAAGGCCTTTCCAGGCTTCGCCATCCCAATCTGGTTTGCCTCTTCGGGTGTTGCATTGAAGATGGAGAGAGATATTTAGTGTATGAGTACTGTGCACAAGGCAATCTAGCGCAACATCTCTTGAGTAATCTCTTCCTATCTCCTTTGTTCTCCCACATTCTCATCTATCATGATTAATTTTTAGCTTACTGCTCTGTTTGTGTGCGTGTAATACATATTGTTAAACTTATCATTTCACAAGTCATCACTTTCGTATGTATCATATATTCAGGAAGAGACAGTCATTTGACATGGGAAACAAGAGTTAGGATTTTAAGGGACTGCTCCTTCGCTCTCAAATATCTGCACAATCATATTGAGGGTTGCGTTGTCCACAGAGATATCAAGGTATACAATTATATACACGTCACGTGATTAATAATATATATGGAAGAGCAATTAAAATATGAATGGGATGGAGAGTGATTAATGATGCATATGGATTTGGAATTGTAGCTGACAAACATACTATTGACTGAGAGTTTGCAAGCTAAACTGTCGGATTTTGGGTTGGCAAAGATGCTGGGGATGGAAGAGAGCAAAGTGTTTACGGATGTAAGAGGAACCATAGGGTATATGGATCCAGAGTACATGAGCAATGCCAAGTTAACATGTGCCAGTGACGTCTATAGTTTTGGAATAGTTGCCTTGCAAATTCTATCGGGTCAGAAGGTGATAGAATTAGATCTTGATGCCAGAGATCAACTCACTAGGAAGGTGGGTAGTGCTATTTATATATGTATTACTTGCATCCCCATGTACGCATAAAAAGCCAATCAAGGTCTAGGCATTCACACATATTTGTAGAATTTAAGTTGCAAGTTTTCGTAGGCGAGAGACGCGAGCTCCCAAAAACGGCCAATATCGGATTTTGAAGACCCAAGGCTGAGGGGGCAAGTAAACATGGCAGACTTTGAGGCCATCTTGCGTATTGCAGTTCTGTGTGTTGCCAAATCGAGCAAAGGTCGCCCAACCATTGAGGAGGTGTTCGAGGAATTGGATAAGGCCTATAAGAACACTCTTGCCCAATCGGTACTAATTAATCATGCTTGTATATACGTACTTCACTTCCGTGTTCTCTTCAATTTATTACCTACGGTGTTCATGACATGAGACATGACCTGTTCATTTTGTTTTTGGATGAGTGTCAGAAAGCAAAGCAAGATGAGAGCAAATCCGGAACATCCGACTTGATTATTACTTGACACGAAGCATTAGCGTGGGCATTACACGTATGTACGTATATATGTTGATGACCATCACCTTTGTACATTTTTTTTTTGTCCAAGCATGGTATCTTCCTATTGAAAGTAATTTTATTTGATCATCTTATACATTAAATGTATATTCATCCATTAAGATCATGCGTAATTGGCTTGGTGTATGTACCTTTGTTTTGATTCCCGCGTTTAGGGTGGGCCATAAAAGAAATGCTGGCTTTGGAGCTGCCATTGATGCTGCTCGCTTATGATGATATTAAAATTGCAGTATGAGTATGTCGTTGTATCCCCTTTGCAGTCTTGTGTTGAAATCTAAGGAAGAGGCTGGGATTACCAGGTTTGAGGAGGCTGTGACACTGACATGCATATATTTATATGTACAACTACCGATCAACCAACATGAGAAAACATAAAACACATGGCTCTATCTAATTTGAGAAATTAGTATGATAAATATAAGTAATTTAATCTAAATATTTTTTATTTTATTTTTATGTTTGCCGTGTGACCCGTCACTTTTTAGCTTTCACGCCATGCCCATCCCGCCAGGTCAGGATTATTTTGTCAACTAGCCCACGCGCTTTGACTCCGCGACGTCATGCGAAACGAAATGACTCATTCCAAAGTGTTCACCATCTGCAATTGCTAGCATTAATTTACTAAAGAAGATAAACAGCTTTTTGTTTTAATTTCACCGCAAATGTAATTGGGCTGCACATGCTCATGCTCATGCTTCCTTTAAGCTTTCTTTTGATTAATTAATTCCCTAATTCATCAAAAATTTTCCCCCTTCCCGAAGTTCCACAACAAAGCTTATGAGTTATTGCTTCCTAGTTCATCACAAACTGGGTTGAATTATTAGTGTCGAAGCCTTTACTAAACTTTATTTATCGTGATTACATGAAAATACAAACTATAAAATTGAAGTTTTATGACCTTGAAACTCGTTACAAAGGTTCTGCCAGGGCACACAATTTTCAAATGGGCAAATAATTCAACCATCGAATATTCACCTCGTCCCTGCCATTTGAAACTGGAATAGGAGCGTATCATGTTGGGCGCAATAAAACAATGTTAGATATGTCGTGTGTGCGTGTGTGTAAGTAGGAGACGAATTAAAGTGGTCACAAACGGTCTTAATGAAGAACCAGCAGGGGAGAGGAGGATAGCATGCGGTAATGAAGAAGTTACCAGTGAATGACCCCGGGCGTGTCAATATGTGGTTCGCGTGTCCTGCGTGGCGCTTAATTATAAGATGAGAGTGATGCAAAAAAAAAAAAAAAAAGCGAATGGTGAGCCCAAAGACATATTAAAATAAAAATTAAGAAATCATTTTTTTTAAAAAAAAAGCCCAAATAAATGAAACCGTTGGCGTAAAAGACGAGTGACTGTGGCTATTCTGGAATGGGTGTGGGAAGCAAAGAAAGATGCAAATAATGATTAGACTCGGGCGCTGGAAGCGGTGAGTCGTTCCCTGTGGGGATCCTTATGAGGTTGTTTGGCGGTATGGGCGTGCTGCAACCGCTGGTGGGCCCCTTCCTGTGAGCCCCCGTCACTGTCGTCGCCGCCGCTGCTGGTGAGCCCAAATGACATGTCTCTTTGAGACATCCTGCTGCTCCCTCTCTCATGCATTCCTTCCTCCCGTTCCGTGCTCATCTTCCTGCTTCTCGATGATTGTCTGCTGCTCTTTCTGCTCGACACTTTTCCTCCACCCTTCTTGCTGCTCTTCTGCTTCAAATCTCTGGAGCTACTTTTCTTCTTGCTTAAATTTCGCGATTTCTTGCTGGATGTCACGCTTCCCTCTTCCCAACTCACGCTGCTGCTGCGGCTTGATTTCCCCCCCGTCTCATCAGAATCGGGCTCCTCCTCCTCATCCTCCTCCTCCTCCTCCTCTTCCTCTTCCTCTTCGGAGCCATCATCCTGCGGGGGCAAGGTGGCCGGCGACAGCGATGCAGGAATTACTTCCGGTGGAACCATGGACAGGAAACTCAGAGCAGTTACTACGTCGCTCATCAAAGGCCTCGCCCCTTCTTCCTCTTGGAGGCACATGGCCGCTACTGCCACAGCTTGATTCAGATCCTTTTCCGGGAAATGCTTCTTCAGTAGCGGATCCGCCATGTCTGGGAATTGTTTTGGATTTCTGAATAAGGGTTGTGCCTGCTCATTGCACCAGATGCTAAATTAACAAGGCAGGAATTTAACGGGACGAGCGGATTTAACATGATCACATACCCATGAAACTAAATTTTGCTCCTCATTGGGTTTGGTAGTATCAATGGCTCGTCGTCCGGTGATGAGCTCCAGCAGCACAACTCCAAAACCGTAGACGTCTGATTTCAAGGTGAGGTGTCCGGTCCTGATGTACTCGGGAGCAGAGTAGCCGTAAGTACCTGTAACTCCGGGGGATATAAGATTTGACCTGTCTCCCCCGGAAAGCTTGTTGAGCCCAAAATCAGATAGTTTGGGGTTAAGATTATCATCCAGCAAGATATTCGAGGATTTCAAGTCCCTGTAGACAACCGGTGGATTGGCCTTGTCATGCAAATACTCTAGTCCTCTGGCTGCTCCCGACGCTATTTTCATTCTGTTGAACCAATCCAATGGAGACTTGCCTTCCTCTGGCTCTGCCATGCACATTTGTCAATATTGTTATACGGCATGCAAAATGGATCTACTAATTTGATTCAACTAGATGAGGTGAAGGGATAGGGTACCAAAAAGACGATCACATAGAGAGCCCCCCGACATGTATTCATACACCAGAAGACGCTGGTCCCCATCGGCACAATAACCAACTAGATTCACCAGGTTTTCATGGTTGAGGCGACTCAAAACCGCAACCTCTGTCAGAAAATCCTTGCTGCCATTCATCCCATTTCGGTCCAACTGCTTCACAGCTACCACCTGTATGTGCCACCCACAAGCATAGGAGAGGTAAGTAATATTATTGAATTTGTATTTCTTCTGTTGCTTAATGAGAGCGGGGATGACCTTGCCGGTTGCCGGAATGGTGCCCTTGTACACTCGTCCAAATCCACCTTCACCCAGCAGGCATTCCTGCCTGAAATTCTTGGTGGCGGTTGCTAGCTCGCGGAAAGTGAATGCTTGCGCCTGAATGCTTGGGCTCTGACCTGGGTTTCCATTATCTGCCTTCCCAAAAACCGCAGCATGATAATTGTGAGACTTTATTTCTCGTGTTATTATTATTAGAAAAACAAGCAAACTAGTGCGTTCAATGCTATATATGCCGTTGACGATAGGAATTTTGGAGCGACTGTATTGGATTCAAACAACAGAAAGGAATGTACCCGGGGGTTTCAAAGCGACATGATCCTGAGGTGCAGATTCAAGGTCTCCGCCGCCAATGTTTTTCTTACTTTTCTGGGAGGTGAAACACGAGAAACAATTCATAGTGGCGCGGATGCAATCATCTAAGGCGAGAGATCAAGAAAGAAATGAAAAAAGAGAAAAGGAAAGAAAGAAAGGGAATTAATGAAAGGGAAGGGGCGAAGGGTCCCCCAAAAGAGATTGAAGGACCCTGCGCGGGAGGGGAGGGGAAGCTATGGGGAAGAAGGGAAAAGAGGGGGAAGCAAAGAAGGGAAAGCCATGGCGCATGTTTGAGGAGGGAAGAGAAAACGAAAGAACAATGGTTAACATTGGGAACAAGTCTGAGAGGGAAGGAGCGAAATGTGGGCAGATTTCAGCGCTCTTCCTTCTCCTTCCCCTTCCAGCCCTCCTCCTCTCGCGGATGCTCTGTTCATATGCAAATGCATGCATGTGCCAACTCGTGTGTGACTGCCACCGCAACACGTGGAGTTCTACGAGTCGGACACACCAAAGAAAGCCCGTTGTATCTTTCCCCTGTCGGCGGAGCCTTCCCACGAGGGGTTAGGACTTAGGACGAATAATAATAATAATAATAATATGCATTCACCCAACATTTTGTGACTGCGAGTGAGGGATGAGCTCCAAATTGAGAGGACCGAGACAGAAATTAGGAGCTAGGAAGGAAGGCGTGCAAGGAAAGAGACAATCAATAGATAAGTACTACCTCGTCTTCTACTTATATTATAAATATAAATAAAATTTTATAATTAAGATCGGAAGTAAGAAGTAAGCAGTATAAACACAACCGATGAGAGCAGAATTAGTAAATGAATGAATATATTCACTCAGTCGGCCAAGAATGGGCCGGTTCATTTCAGAAACGAAAAGGTCAAGGGAAATATAAAGGTGGGAATAAATAATGAAACAAAAGATACTATTCTGACGGGGCATCCAGCGGCGAGACTTAAGCGCTAAGCTTCGTTCGCCGCGCATATAAGCAGCCCTTCTGCAGCCCAAACAAACCCAACAGTAAGCAACGCTGAAGCGCAAGCGCGCCCAAAATTCAACACCCATGGATCTCCCCGAAGCCTGCATCGCCCACGTCCTTTCCTTCACCTCCCCCCGCGACGCCTGCAGGCTCTCCTGTGTTTCTTCCTCCTTCCGTTCCGCCGCCGACTCCGACGCCCTCTGGGATTCCTTCCTCCCTTCCGATTGGCTCTCCCTCCTCTCCCGTTCTTCCCCTCCCCCTTCCTTCTCTTCCAAGAAGCATCTCTACCTCTCTCTCTCCCGCCAACCCCTCCTCATCGACGACGACGGTCTCAAGGTAGGCATTCCTTCCCCTTCTTCCCTCATTATCCTCATTTCTCAATTTCGACTCTTTTGTTTTGTTTCATTCCAACCTCAGCAGATTTACGCTTATCCGTCCAATCTTAGTGCTGCGGTAATTCCTTTTTGCTTAGATCAGGGGTTTCAATCTTACGCCTCTATATTTTCGTTCATATTCAGAGCTTTTGGCTGGATAAATTATGCGGGGCGAAATGTTTCATGCTGTCCCCGAGAAGTCTCTCTATTGTTTGGGGATGCACTCCGAGGTATTGGAGGTGGAGGACTTCGGAGCCCAAGGGCAGGTGAGTGAATAGAACGCTGTGGTGTTTTCGTATTCTGCTTGTTTGTTGCGACGTGACCCGACTGGGGGGCCTTGCAGGTTTGAGGAGGTTGCTGAACTTTTGTGCGTGTGTTGGCTGGAAATGCGAGGGCGGATCAACACGCGCATGCTGTCTCCTTCAACTTCGTATGCAGCATACCTCGTGTTTAACTTAACTCCCAGCGCCTATGGGTTCGAACACCAACCGGTGGAGGTCTCCGTTGGCATTGCCGGGAATGACAGTGATGCTCGCAAGCGATCAGTCTATTTAGATCCAAACGGAGGAACACGGGGGCGACAACAACCAATTGTTCCCAGGCGTGCCAGCCTCTTCAATCGTGCGCGTATCCTGGGAGTTGAGGCAGGCACGCCCATTCCTGCAGAGAATGTCGATCCACAACCTCCAAACAAGAGAGCAGATGGATGGCTGGAGATCGAATTGGGAGACTTCTTCAACGAAGGAATAGATGATAAGGCCCTGGAAATGGCTGTTTGTGAAATCAAGGGGGGCCACTGGAAGAGCGGCCTTGTCATTCAAGGAATCGAGATTAGGCCCAAACCCAATAAGTGAACGCCTGCGCCGGCACCTTTCTTAATTTCACAAAAGTTCATCTTTTCCATTTTAACCTGACGCAGAGAGTAACCGAAAAAGTTAGAATGGCATGCATTGCCGCATTGCCAAAGTAGTATCTTGGTTCTGTTATTTCTTAGTTTTTTGGCTTCCTCAAATGGGTTTTGAAGTTTGTTATGTACGGATCTTGTGGCCTTTGTCGTTGTTTAATAAACTGAATCAAGATCATCCCGTTGAAGAAATGTACGCGCCTGCTTACATGGCTGCGGACTATTAATCATTTTTAGCCTTTAAGCATTTCTTTTAATTGTGCAAAGAAGACCAAGTAAAATCATATGAAATGAGACCTCTACACTCCAATGGAGGGTGCCAGGAATTCTGACAGATTTTCAAATGATGAGCTGCTTAAACTAACCAGTCAGCAATCAGCACAACCTTAAAGCAAATACTTGAGCGTGGCGTCCTGATCCATGGCCCTCGAGAGAATTGTATCTAGAGTCCCATTTTTGGCACGATTGATCGCGTTATGTCAAAGACCCGAGGGCAATTTCATAACCTGTTAGTTTCAGCATGGTTTATTTACATGGCCAGGAAAATACTGGAGCGAGGCTGCTGCACTTTTTTAAGATGCTTCATAGCATGCAAGATGAGCCCCGTCCCAGCTAGTCAACATTCGAAGTGGCTCCAATTCTACCTTGGGGGCAAAATAACCAACAGTATGCTCAAAGCTGTTAGACTTTGCATGAGTGCGCTCAGGATCCATTGTTTAAGCGGAAAAATCTCGCAACAAATGCGCTGTGTCTAGGGAGGAAACAAAAACAGGAACACGCAATTAGCAATCTTTCCTCATACGTGCATTGCGTCCTACCTTTGAGCTGAATAAATTAGAAGAGGCTAATAAACAACTGACACCACAACCAACAATTTCGAAAGCCACGTTAAGATATGATAGCTCCTTATTAAGAACATCTAATAGAACCATCATTGGTGCAAACATCCAAATCAAAAACACACTTTTGTAAAGGATAACAGAACCACTATCACACGCATGCATGCGTGCATGCACACAGCGGGGATGGAGATCTACTAATAAGAGTGCAGGGGAAAGCAATGTTAGGACAACACGAGTCTATATCTCAGAAATTGGATGCATAAAGACAAACAGGCCGAAGACAGATATATCTGGGCTCCAACTATTCCTCCTCTTCCGCCTCCTCCAGCCAGTTAACAAAGGGTTCCAGGGCCTTCACGAAGGTTTGCCTGCAGCATAGAAAATAATCAACTTCACCCGACGAGTAATACAGAAAATTTGGTTTAAAAAATGCACGCCCCTCCCCCCCCCCGGGGGGGGGGGGGGGACACAGAACAATCGACCTCTCCACAATAATTGCATACCTTCCCTTGGTGTTCGTTCCTTTCCGGAACCAATGAAGAATGGTATCTTCTGCCAGAACATCCTGGTCATAAAGAGACCTAACAATCTCAGGGAAGAGCTTCATCAATTTAGCGTCCTCATAGCATTGCATCTGTACTTTGTACATCAGTTCCAGCTCAAGTTTCCCACTGGTGCAGAAAGTATTCAACAGTTCCGCCCAAGTTTTAACCTTAAATCATCAACATAGCACTGTCATCAATAAGCTCCAAAAAGCAAAAATATTTTACATTTAACATACTAATTCATCAAGAAGGCTGCACACCCAAACGCCTTTTTGCTCCCAACAAGAAACCAAAGTAAATCCATTTAACTAACAAATAAGATTCTGAGAAAACATCAAATAAGCACAGTGAAGGCATGCATTACACCTGACGCAGGGCCGCATTTGCATTCTGTTGCTGATTTTTCCCTGACCACTGAACAGCATCCATTAAGACATCCCACAGAACCCTCACAACCTCTGTGTCTGGTAACTTAGCATCTCTAACCCGCACCTTCACGGTTTCTATGACCTCAGGTATATCAGTTTCCTCTGTTATCTGAGTTGTAAGAGCAGACTTCATCTCCTTAAGTTTCACCTCAAAGATTTTCTTCTCATTATACTCCACCAAGGCTGCCAGTCCTTCCTTGCTAAGAAGTTGAAAATGAATACACATTTATAAGTTGCATCTTGGTTGATGATATTAATTATTACCCAAAAAAAAACCCTCAAAACCACACCGCCAAACCAGAATACACTGACTACATTCCCAGTACAGTGATTTAAAAACCGCGTCAATAATTCCTTCTCCCAGAACAGTTTATAGAGAATGACAAGGAAAACCACATTTAGATACTCCGTCATTGCTTTTTTTACTATCAGTTTGAAGAAAATGTCTGTTTTTATCTATCTGTCAGCATTAACTAATACTTTTCCAATTATACCCTCATATTTACCAAATTCGATTAAGCAAGAGAAAATTATGAAAGAATAGATAAAATGAATTAAGGAAATTAAGGACAAATTAGATAATTTAAAAGGAATTGACCTGGCAACATAAACAGAAGCAGATAGAGTAATCAATTAACAACCACTAGTTATAATGCTAAGCAACTGAACAGAGATGATGAGAAATAATACCAGCAAATGCTTTAGCTATAAAACATTGATACCCCACTCTAATTTATGATTCTGGCCGCCCATTCAGCACCATCCCAAAAAGTTTAACAAAAACCCAAGGACACTTATTTTTCCTTTCCTATTACGGACTTCAAAGATTAAGAATTTTTTTTTTTTCCATTTTTGGCCAGAAAAGATTAAGAGAGAGATTAGAACTCTAAAATACCTGAGCAACAAAACCGACTTGAATAATTAAAATTGTAAATGATGAACAACAAAACCGGCTTGAATAATTAAAATTGTAAATGACAGCAGTCATTTCCAGGACTCATCATTCCTTCTCCCTGAATTTATATGGTCGTGTCAGAACGATGTTTTCAAGGCATCATTAAGGCTATAATACTAATAGTTGTTTCTTTCTGATTACTCTCCGGCCCATGTGCCAGATAACATTGGGCCCCATCGGTGTGCCAGGATATACGAGGATGTTATCACATGTTTAATATCTGATTTTGTGAGGAAAATGTGTTGATTAGAAATTTGAAGAATAAGTTCAGGGAGAAGGAATAATTAGAAAGTAGAAACTGACAATTTAACTTTGAATTTATCCAACTACTTAAGACGTTGGGATACCGCCAAAAAAAAAAGGGAGTTTAGAATCAAACCCATAATTAAAATGTCACAAAATCACATGCTCCCAAATTACACAGACAGATCTTACTAGCACTAACCTTCTCAAAATGAAATCATCAAGTAATCAGCATGATAAGTTACTGACATGTCCGTAAAGAAATGTCTGAACCACTAATAAGTAAATCTTACTTGAAATGATCGGCAAAAGCATCATTAGATCTTTTTGCAGGAGGGAAGAAGTCCAATAGATTATCCTCCACTTTTCCCCGCTTCAGAATTGATATGAGATCATCAAGGCTGTTGTCAACCAGATACTCCTTGAAGAAGTCAGTTATGAATGACAGGACTAACCCTTTGGCCACAAGGTTATCTTTGAGAAGTGGCTGGAACACAGTTTCTGGTGGGAGACCCGATAGCTTCTGGGAGAATGCAAGTGCTGTGAAAATTGCCAGCTTTTTCCTTTCATTTTCCTCAAACAGTTCCAATGACTGCAGAAATTTTCGCATGACATTCTCAAGATTCTTGATAAGAAAAGGCCTGCGCCGCAAAATCTTCTGTATGTAGATTACAGACGGTGATATGACTTCACGCTTTGGCTCACACTCAATTATAGAGTAAGGATGACGCTCCCCCTCATCAGGCTTGGTAGTTCCAGGTTGCGTACGCCCCCCAGTGAAAACAACCTGTGGTAATGCAACAGGCCGATACACTATCAGCATGAATCAGAACTAGCAATAACAAACTAGGATAGTCCAACAGACTAAGAATATTGCTGTCACTAGATACGCAGTCTGCACAAAATGACTACTACTGCAGTGCACTTGCAGATCCCGAAATCAATTTATGTGGTCACAAAAACCTAAAATAACAATTTTTTTTGTGGGGGAATTAAATTTCCTTTGCATAAATCAAATAGGGCAAAAGAGAATTCAAATATTCAAATATTCAAAATAAATAGTATGGCTAATTTTTTTGCAAATGCACAAGTAAAGATTACGGAACTGAAATTTTAACTTCAATGTCCTCCTAATTTATCAAGTTTTGCAACTATATCAGCATTCATAGTTATTTAGAAGACCACAACAGTACAAAAAAAATATCAATCAAGAGACTCCTTAATGCTGAAAAAACTAACAAACAAGCATTGCTTTAGTCATCTATGTAAATAAAGCGTTTAGGACAACCATCCTCTTACTTTAAATCAGCCAAGCATCACTTTTGTCATCTGTGTTAACATGTGAAAATTTGGTATTACCAATATGATTTGAACCTCAAACTTAATGATAAGGCTGTACATGAGAAATGAAGAGAGTTTCAATCTAAGAACAGATTGATAACAAATCTATTAATGATGACATGATAACATGGACCTCAGACAAACGGTAGCCACTAACGATATCACTGCCAGAATAATAGATAACAGTAGACAATAATACATTGCACGACATAACGCACAGAATGTTAATAGAAGTACAGAACAGAAGTTATTTAAGAAAGGCACACTATCACAGTAAAAGAAGCTAGGTAGACTTCAATGCCAAGATGCTATGTATCAAATTTGTAGAACTCTCTACATACAAATCGAGAATGAAAAAAATTCCAGACAGGATATCAACACTAAATCAATTGAAAAAAACTATACTGTTTGAGAGAGCTTGCCTCAAAAAAGGTGTCACCGTATCTTGAGAAGTTAAGGTCTGAGGACTCAATGCTCTTAGCAACAAGTTCCTGTAAACATAAAATTACTTAATCAGCCTAAGTAAAAACAGTATGCACATGCAGCATGGAGCATGCACCAAAATAGTCAAATACAGGCTAGCATTTAAAATTGTGTTCCATATTACCAGATCACCAGCATTATCCAAGTAAATCTGGACCACTGCATCCGAAAATGCTGCAGGGTCCAGTGGTGCTGCAATATTCCGTTTGCGGGTCTTAATCCGCGTACCACTGAAAATTGCAAAAAACAATACAAGAGACAAAAGGTTCAATAAAGATATTGCATCCGCCAGAAACAATGCATGAAAATTAAATTAAATTAGATTTCGTTGGTGATCAATGAAACCAGCAAAATCAAAACAAATTTTAAGCTTGACAGTGACAACCAGATCATATTGATAATTAACTTGAGGCCATGGGTATGTACACGTAACATAATATTTACATTATATAAGTCTGCTAAAACTGTAAAAAGCAAAATCGATCTAGAGATGAATCAGTAAGCACATTTGTATACACACGGTGTCCTCAAACAATTGGTGTCACTTCCAAAACTTGGTCTCATCCACTCTAAATTCAGAGTAAATAAGTAGGAAAAATATTTAAACCCCAGATACGAACAGAAGTTTCAAGACCTACAAAGTGTAGGATCTACTGTATGTGGACATAACAGCAATATAAAAGACTTTATTCAAACGCAAAGACCAGAACAAAGCAGTTGTTAAAAAAAAAAAAAAAAAAACTTACCCAAGAGTGGGTCTCTCCTTCGAGCTGCATCAAGAACACTCAAGATTAGTCAAGTGGGAAGCAAGTATAACATAACCAATAAAAGGAAAAAAAAATATACTTTCAAGATCTGAAAGAAGAAAGTGTTCCCAGAACCGAATCGTCTGTCCAACAATACGAAAATTATTCAAGAAAAAGTTAACGTCGTTTAAAAACTCAAGTGAAAAATCCACAAATCGAATTACAATATGGAAGAAAATCGAAGCCCTATTCCCCATGAAAATTAATGACGCAAGAGAAACAAGGTGAGAAGAAAATAATAATTCGCCGACCAGCATACCAAAATGCACGTTCTTTCCTCAAAGATGCCATGCCAATTACTTATAGGTAGAATGGACATACATAATATTGCCTAACGAAAGGGTGGATCAGGTTGCGAAGACCTATAAAACTCCTCGGGCGGTATTGGGTTAAGAAACCCTAAAGACGCAAGCATACCCAAAGAAATTCATGGAAGCAAATATAAAACAGACCCATGGAGAGCATATATGTATCAAGATCATTCAACCAAAAAAGAGAAAAGAAAAGCCGTAATCACTCAAGAAGAGAATTAGAATGGTTGGGTTCTGAGGATGGCGAAACAGTTCACAATAAAGGCTACTCTTCAGATCAGCAAAACAGAAAAGACGATGCCTAATCATAAAGATGGAAAAAGATACCTCATAAACCAAGATGAAATTGGATCGGAAGGTCGGTGAGTCTGAGAGACTCTGCGCTTGATTGGGGAATGGGATGGGATGAACGACGAGAAAGAACAGAAAGGGATCCAGGCCGCGTGCTGAGCTCCGGCACTGATATTTATTCGAGAGGATTAAAAAGTATTTTTTAAATAAATGAATAATAATACTCTTAGATAGAACCTAATAATAGAGTTAATTTTAATCTTAATATACAAATTATTTTCTATATCTATCAATTTTTTTCAAATCATCCATATTATACTCCCTCAACTATATCAAGTATGAGATGGAGGGAAAATATAATAAAGATGATTAAAGTATTTTAAAAAAAGCATGTTATATTTATTATAATTAACTAACTTACGTAACTTCTTTAATTTAATCAAATTAATTAAATAGATTTTATATTAAATACCGCACCAAAAATAAAGAAAAGAAATAGTTAATGATACAATCAACCAACAAATTATGACCTAATTATTCAGATTTATCCAATCAAAGTAATTAAGAATTCCGAATTGAAACAAAGAATATTTATTGAACTATAAGAAAAGTATCATTATTATGCTTGATCTCTTTCTTACTTTAAAAACATAATTTAGTTCAATGGTTAACACCATTAAAAAATATAAAAAATATTAGTTTTAACTAAAATTTATATTAAAATAAATTTTATTTACCATTTTATCCTCATTTTAATAGTTTTTAAATTATATTTTTATAGTTACACCAATTCATTCAAAACATAAAAGATTTGATTAAAAATTTAAGTATTTTTAATATATATATATACTTGACTAAATATGTTTATAAATTTTTATAATAAAAATATTTTTAAAAGTTTAAATTATAAATTTAAATAATTTATAAAATCTTTCAAATTTATATCATTTAAACTTTACGATAAATAAAACTATGTATTAAAAATATATTTTTAAAATTTAAGAGAAATCAAAATAAATAATTTATAATGAATGTGATAAACAAATTAAAATTATAAAATTTTACGATTTAAATCAAAATGAATAAATTCTATAAGTTATTAGAAATTTTAAAAATACATATATTGGAATTATTTTTTGATTTTGTAAAAAATATTTTTAGAAAAATATAAATTTCTAAAGGAAAAATGGTAAATAAAGACCGGTTTCATATTGCAAATATGAAATCTTGGTAAAACATCTGAAATACCCCTCAGTCAAGTTGTGATTTAGTCTACTGAAATTGTCATTTGCTAAAATGAATTTGTCATTTTCCATAGTTAACTTGTCATTTGGCATATCATTGGCCAAGTTGTGATTTGGTCTAATGAAGTTGTCATTCGCTAAAGTAAACTTGTCATTTCCTATAATCAACTTGTCACTTGGCCGAGGAGTATTTCAGACATTTCACCAAGATTTCACATTTGTAATATGAGACTATGTCTTTATTTGTCATTTTTTAAATTAAGAATCTCAAATCATAATTTCACATATTAGGGGTTTTCATTTGTCATTTTCCCATTTCGAAATAATTATTATGTTAAAAAAATAATTTAGTCAAAAATAACTTAAAGTCAAATTTAACAGTTAATTAACGGTTTGGTAGATAGAAATATAATCTTAAATATAGAAAATAGGTTTGTATAACACACGTTTTAATTTTAGAGAGGAGATTTTCAAAATAATTTTAAGATAAGCTTATATACATTTTCAAAATAGAGAGTAGATTTTCATGATTAAGATAAAATAAAGACGTGATAGGTGTATTTTCCTTTATTGTCAATGACACAGGAGTACTGTTTTTCTCAAGAGGGATTGAACTTAAGGCGGTTTCTCTCGGATAAGTGTTTTTGTTTAATTTCTCGAAGTTCATTTTGGACCAAAAACTAAGTGTCATCGAATCAATGCGATTAACTCGTTCTTCTATTATTGGCCTGAGGAAAAACTATTCTCTCTTTTTTTTCCAAGAAAACAGGAGAAACAGAGTGAAAATGAAAAGAAGTAGGCTTGCAAAAAGCCCATTCAGCCTTCATTCTTTTGGGTGAGGGCGGACGTAGGAGAACCCTAGAACCCAGAATCGCTTGACGCCCCCGGACTGGAAAACCACCCCAAAAAAAATGGGCGGGTCAGGCCAACTAACCAAGAGATGAGTTGAATGAATAATTCAGTCCCGGTTTTGCTCAAACGGTCAAAATTTTTTCTTCAAAGCAAACTGATTGTAATTATTAAATTAAAACCCATCAATATTACTCAGGCTATTCTCTTTGGCCAAAATTAATCTCACTACTAGTACATCTTTTTGCCAAAAAAATTGCCTGCTCGTTGCGAATCTGTGAGATTTGATGGCCACAAAATGGTATTTGTGTGATTAGCGTGTGTATTTGTGTGATATATTTTTGACAAGATGATTAATATTTCTGCGATTAGCGTCAAGTTTGTGAAAAAGCTAAATAAGTAATGTTAGGTTATTGGTTTTTTTAATTATCCATAGATACAATCAAATCTTCTTCTTTTTTCATTTTTAAACACCTTTTTAAGAAAAAATAGAGAAAATTGGTCATTAGATATTTATTAGTAAGAAGGGCCTAATAAATTTTTATATACAGCAAGTATTAGTACTTTGTAAATTTTGTATATATGAAATACTAATACTATGATTCAAATCATTCTCGCAAAACATTTTACCCAATTTTTCCTTCTTTTTTTTTTAATCTTCCGCATAACACAGACGGGCGAGTTGTCCCCCTAGTCATCCAATCTACACGGGAGTGTCGGACTTCAAAGTGCCAGTAAGAATGAGGTTGCCGGACATTGATCCACCCGTCAATGTTTTCTGTCTATTTTGGGGATCGACACTTCAATCAATCCTCCTCCACACCTCAAAGTACGAAATAAGAGGCTGAAACAAAATCATTGATATGAACTCGACCCGTAAGCGTACATGCGATCACAGTGGGAGGCAAGAGGGAACAAGGGTTTACATAAAGGATTGATTAATTAAATAAGCAAACGCGTCTGTAAAAGTTTTAGCAGTCAGGACCATGTTACCAGTTCCAATCAGAAAGAAAACACACTCATTACATAGATCTCTCTCCTCATGTAAGATCTGTTAACTAAATACATCTGCTTGGCTTCCCATTCTGCTCCCCCCCTCTCTCGACTTTAAGAATGGATCCAGACATATTGTTTGCTTTATGACACCTGCCCAGCCGATTCTGCAGTGTACTGGTTAAATGAAATGTGAGAAAACAAAATTAATCCCATTCTTCCAAGCCAACACAGCTCGATCAAAATTGGGACATAGATAATTACATCAACCATCAACATTAACTACGAAAAATTATAACATATTTCTCATCTTCTCACCATAAAGAGCAACACAGAAATTTGCCAAACCTTGACCTGTCAATATGTTCATAACTCATTATATAGAGTTCGCGGTTTTCACACACACACACACACACATGTAGGTGTGCGTGCATACAAGAACGTAGAGTTCAAAGTTCAGACTCATTACAGGCTCCCAGCAAATCGCATTAGTTAACTAACAAATCTGTGACAGTTTAGCAAGAAGGGAACTCAACATTATCGTAGTCACCATGGTCATGATCCTCATAAATGGTGCGGAGACAATAAAGTATACTTTACAGATATAAGAAGGGCCCTATGAAGAACAAGTTATATCCCTTCTCAACCGCTTCATGTAGCATCACACCAAAAGAAGGGGAAAAAGAAACAGCAAAACCAAGTCGCAAAGAGCTTTATAACATGAAAGCTGAAAGCCTTAGCAGCAGTCAAGTTGTTAAAAAGCAAAGGTGGAATAACAAGAGAGAAGTAACAAGAAGGAGGGGGTAATTTACTAATTTATCGTAAGGACAAGAGATCAACTTGTGCAGCTTTTACTTCTTATGACTGCCACGAACGCCAGGGCGGGATTTTGATGAATCAGGAGCAAGACTGGAATGAAGGTTCACAAGCTTGGACTCCTCAAAGGGGACCTTAGGATGACGAGCGTCGTGATGAATCTGCATAGACTTGACATCAGGGGCCGTGACCTTGCAGAGGGGGCACTCATACTTGGCGTGGCCACCCTTATCTGAACCGGAACGGTCAGCCAGACCGGCTTTGCCTCCGCCCCTATTGGTGGTAGCAGCGTCAACCTTGGAGGCAATCTCCTTGGCTGTGTGCTTCTTGGGCTTGGCTTTCCCGGTCATGATTTGCTGGAAACAGCATGAATAGAATAGAAGTAATGACTTGGTTCCATCCACTCTAAATTCAGAGTAAATATGTTGGAAAAATATTAAAACCCCAGTTACGTACAGGACCTACTATATGTGGACATAGAAGGAATAGAATATACTCATAAAAATATTCAAACAGAGAGACCAGAACAAGGCAGTTATAAAAACATGACTTACCCCAAGAGTGGGTCTCTCCTTCGAAGAGCAACAAGAACAGTCAAGATAGGTCGAGTGACAAGCTAGAATAACATCATGCACTCAATGTCAAGAAGCCATTCAACTACCAAAAAACAGGGGGAAAATGATGTGTCCAATCATAACTTGATTGGGTTACTTTTTTCCAATCATATATGCTTTTTTATGTATGTGCCTAACTTATTTGTATTCTCATTGAATGTCCATTTTTTACATTTAGTGGTTTTGAAGCCCATAGTCAATTAGTGAACAGCGTTGACATGCAGTGAAAACAGAAGGGGTGGTTCGGCGTCGAAGATTTCGTAGTTTGATTGTGCAGGACATAACGCCAAATTTGTAGGGAGTGAAAATTAAGTGTAATAAACTACTGTTTGGCATGCAAGTTGTGCCAATGATTTTCAGTGTATTGAAATAAATGGTGGAGCTAAGGGTGCATAGATGTAATTTATGGAAAATCCATAAATCAAATTACAATATGGAAGAAAATCGAAGGCTTGTTCCCCATGAAAATTAATCAAGCAAGAGAAACAAGGTGAGAAAAAAATTTCGCTGACTAGCATACCGAAAAGCATTGTTCTTTCCTCAGAGATGCCAATTAATTATAGACAGAATGGACATACAAAGTATTGCCTAACGAGAGGGTGGATCAGGTTTCGAAGACTTGTAACACCCTGACGACGTAGCTTATGTCGGGCGGAATAAAAAAAGACCTAAAAGACACAATCCTCGCCAAAGAAATTCATGGGAACAAATATAAAACAAAACCCATAGAGAGAAGATATGTATCGAGATCGTTTCACAATAAAAGAGAAGAGAAAAGCCGTACTTGATGAAGAAAGTAATTAGAATGGTTGGATTCTGAGAAGGGCGAAGCAGACCACAAAAAATGCTACTTTTTAGATCAGTAAAACAGAAAAGACGATGCCTAATCAGAAAGATGGAGAAAGATACCTCGTAAACCAAGATGAAAATGGATCGGAAGGCCGGTGACTCTGAGAGACTCTGCGCCCGATTGGGAAGTGGAATGGGATGAACGACGAGAAATAACGGGGGGTCCAGGCGGCGTCCTCCGACACTGATATTTAGGGTTCAGCTTGTCTCCTCGGCCTCTTGAATCCGGGCCTTCAAACGACAGCGTTTTGACGCCTCCTTAATGAAGTCAAAGTGGCTTTTACTTTGGGAAAATAACAAAAAACTGATATTTAAATTTTGAAAACCCTCAATAATCATTTAAATAAACAAAAAATTTTAGTCATAGGTGACTAAAAATAAATTTTGAAATTTAATGAAATAATGAAATTGCCCTGAGTGAATTTTTTAAGAAAGAGAAGATGGAGTCCCACGCTTTAAGTGCAGTTGAAGGGGGGAAATAGCATTAGGGAACTCGCTGTTTCCTTTACAATTGTTGTTAATGATATAGAGAAGGTGCAATGCAAAAGTATACTAATTATTTGATGCAGAAGTATTGTTAATGTTCGTGTGTTGTAAATAATAGATCCTATGAAACTTGTAAATGAAAAATCCTAATTTTAAATTGACATGAAAAACTTGTGATTAATGTTGTTATTAAAACTGTTAATTATGTTATCAAAATTGTCAACTTCGTTACCAATGGTGAAAATTTTCAAGTTTTAAACTTGGAAAAGCCAGGGTTAGTAATATTATCCAAGTTGTTAATAATGATATTGAACTTACTAACCTCGTTATAAAAATTAAAAAATTTTCATGACATTTACCACTCACTAATTTCCTGGTGTAAAAATTTCTGATGTTGTTAATAACATTACGAGACATGTCAAACTTGTTACGAAAATTAAAAATTTGCAATTTTTAAACTTACCTAAAAAACTTGTGGTTAATGATATTACTCAAGTTTTTAATAATGTTAGTAAACTTATCAACCTCTTTACAAAAGTTAAAAAATTCTCAGTTTTAAACTTACGTAGAAAAATTATGGTTAATTTCGTTATTCAAGTTATTAATAACATTAATGAGCTTGTTAACTTCATTACAAAAATTAAAAAATTCTCAATTTTAAACTTAGTTAGAAAAGTTGTGGTTAATGCCGTCATTCAAGTTATTAATAGTGTTAATGAACTTATCAACCTTGTTATAAGAGATGAAAAATTCTCTATTTTAAATGTACTTGGAAAAGTTATGGTTAATGCCGTTTTTCTAGTTGTCAATAACATCACTAAACTCTTTGTAAAAGTTGAAAAATTCTCAATTGGTTTTAAATTTACCTAGAAAAGTTGTAGTTAATGTCGCTACTCAAGTTGTCAATAACATTATTAAACTTGTTAATCTTATTACAAAAGTTAAAAAATTCTTAGTTTTAAAGTTACAGAGAAAAGTTCTGGTTAATTCAACTACTCAAGTTGTTAATAACGTTCTAAACTTATTAACCTCGTTACAAAAGTTAAAAAATTTCCTGCCATTCCCTAGTGTTATTAGAGTTGTTAATGACATTACTAGATTTGTCAACCTCATTACAAAAGTTAAAAATTTTCGTTTTCAACTTACTTGGAAAGCACATGGTTAATCTGGTTATTCAAGTTTTTAATAATGCTATTAAATTTGTTAATCCTATCACAAAAAATAAAAAGTTTTCATGAGACTTAAAAAGCTATCAGATGTTACTGTATCAGCATGAAAACACATTCAATTGACATGCATGCCAAGCCATTCAGCTTTTAATCCCAAAGTAAAAAAAATTGCTTGGATTATTATTGAATAAGTGAATTTAACTTGTAGAATAATTAAGGGAGTGTTTGGCCAACTCAAAAAGTGCTTTTGAAAAGCATTTTTTCGCAAAACGAAGTAAACTCTTTCACATATTTACTTCGTATATCATAAAAGTATTTCTAAAACCATGGTTTGGTTTCTATTCAAACACCTCCCAAAATGGGTAAGACTTTTGTTAAAGTTACAAAACATAATAATTTAAATTATTATAATAGAAAAAAGTTATATTTAATGAATAAAATATATTTAAATTAGAAATTATAGTAATGTGAAAATTTTTGAACCAAATAATATTATATAATTAATTGGATGATATACCCTGCATAATTTATACAAATATAAAATAGAAAATAATATTAAAAATTAAGAATATTATAAAAACTGTTAAAACAAAATTTTATTTGAAAGAGTATTAAAAATAAATAACTAAAAACTGTTTGGGAAATACAAAGAACATATAAAAAGAAATATAAGAACAACATAAACATAAAGGCAAAAATGTTTTTTAATTCTAAAAAACTATTTTTGCATAAATTATAAGTAAGTTTTAGATGTTTTTGTAATTGTGCTTAAAAAAACAGCTTTTGATCTATAAGTTAGATTGGTAAAAAAAATTATGATAAACAGTTTCCAAATTTGCAAACTCAATTGTCACATTAATAAGTTTTTTTTTTCCTTTTCCTAAAACGCCGTACGAAAACAGGCTGATTGATCCAAAAATGAAACATAAGCAAAGAATAAGGTAATTTAGGAAAATGAGTTTTTAAAATTTATAAAACGCATTATTTTTGAATTACAACCATTTTTGAATTACAACCATCAATCAGTCTCTGATTTTCAAAAGGTCACCGGATGTTTGGCCAAAAAAAAAGGTCACCAGATGCGTTGGCACAGGAACCAAAGCACTCCCTGTCATTTTCCGAAAAAGAAAAGGACGGTTGGCAAGGGAACCACCTCGCGAGGCACGAGGGCGCTGTCACATGGAGGTAGTACCAATATGCCATTATTATACTTCCTCCCAATGCTTACAAGACCACCTAATTAATTAATTCAAATAAATTAAAAATTATTACTCTTTTGGTTCTTTTCACGTAACAGGACGATAAGATATTTTTTTTTATTTATAAAATATTAAGAGAAATTTTTTGTATAAATATATAATTTTATTCTTTATTTATTATTATGTTGACTTTGTTTACATGAGGTACTCTTCCGGTCCTTAATATAAAACCCATTTAATTAATTTGATTAGGTTAAGGAAGTTAGGTAAGTTAGTTAATTATAAGAAAAGTGACACATTTTTCCTAAAACACCATAATCATCTTTTTTAATACCCCTCTTTCTCTCTTTTATTTGATTATGGTTGAGGGAGTATCTATAAGGATAATTTAGAGAAAATTAATAAATATGAGAAATGGACCTTATATTTAAGACAAAAATCAACTCAAGAATTGGGTCACCGGAGGAGTATAATGTATGTTAAATAGGGTTAAAGTTAGAAAGTTATTGAATTTTAAATGAGAGTTAATGAAGTTTAAGTTTTTTCTTGATATGTGTGAAATATGTTATAAATGAGTTATAAATAGGACATAAATAAATTATAATATATTTTGTTAGTTTTTCTAAAATATTTACATGTATTACTACCTCTAATCCTTAATATAAAACACTGTTTGACTTTATTTTGGTCCTAATTATAAGATCCTAATATATCTTGTCTCTTATATTTATGCATTTTTTAAGGTAGTCCTTCTAATAATAGTAGTTCTAACCAATACGTTTGATTAGCAAGGATATTTTAGAAAATACAATACTTATTTATTATAAATAACTAACTTAACTTATTTTTTTAATCTTATCAAATTAGTCAATAGCTCTTATAATTAGGACAGGCGGTAGTATTAGATTATATAAAAATATAATGTGATATTTTTTAATTTTTATGAATTAATTAATTAAATTTATATTAAAAATGAGAGTTAATAGTATTTTCATTTTTCGAAAACGACATGATGTTATTTAACTGTAACAAATTGACCCACCGCCCAACCTCCGACTGTGACCGCCTCCCCTCTTTCCCTGTTAACGTCCCCTCGCCTTCCACGTGCTTTTCTTTATTTTTTCCACAAATCTTAAAAAAACATTTCTTAAATTTTAAAATTTTAAATTAAAAATTACTACCAAAATACATTATAAGTTACTTTTAAAATATAGTCAGTTATTATTAAGTGTAGTAAACATGACTAACTTGAAAATTTGAAATTCAAGACGTATTTTTTAAAACTTTTTTTTTCTAATACTTAAAATTTCAAAAAAGATATTTTTAATAATGTTTAAATTATAAAATTTGTTAACAAAATACTACGTCAGTTTTGAATTATAGAATAAGTTTTATATGAAGCTCAAGAAATAATAGATTGCAGATATTATTTTATATGATTACGAATATGAGATTTTTAGTTACAAATTACTAAAACTAATATGAGTCATATTTTCATACTGGCATCTACTTAAATAAACTTTGGGGTTAAGCACCTGGAAACATTTTGGGGTTGTGCTCAAAGTGATAAAGTATCTTGTGATTCATATAGTGTTATGAAAGTATTTTTTAAGTAAAGTTAGTATTTTAAAATATTTTGTGATATAATTTTATCATTAAAGCATTAATTTTATCAGGGTCAACTTTAAACCTGTAATCAAGTTAAATTTATTTTTTAAACTTGAACATTAAACTTGAATATTCACAACCCTTAGTTTTTATGATTTTTTAAAGAATTTTTTAAGCTTTAAACGTTCTAAACTCATAATCTCCTTAATGAATGATTAAGAAAAAGTTTGTTATGGCTAATGCCGTTATATTTCTCTTTATTCCGTTGTTATATCAGGATTAAGATTTAAGGGTCAATGGCCTATAAATAGATGTTACTCCTTCGGGTTCTTAATATAAGACGTTGTTTGATTTTTATTTTAGTCCTAAATATAAGACCCCAATCCATTTTATCTCTCATATTTATATATTTTTTCAAAGTAGTCCTTCTAACAATGGTAGTTCTATCTAATACACTTGATTAGCAAGAATATTTTAGAAAAGACAACACATATCTATTAAGGACAAATAACTAACTCAACTTACTTCCTTAATCTACTCAAATTAGTCAACTAACTCTTATAATTAGGATTAGAGACAATATATAGAAGGCATTGATACTTATAAGTAAACGAGAAATTCTTACTTTCTCTCCCAATCTCTTGGCTTGCTCTTCTCTTTTATATATTCTAATCTTTTCACTTTTATAACACGTTATTAATGTGAATTAGCTCCGAAAATTTGACGTGGCATGCATATACTTGGTAGAATGAAATGGAATAGGACTCGTTCCCTCTCTCTTTTCAATTCTCTCTTTTCTTGCCCATCTCTCTCGTTTCAAATATGTCGTGTTTCCCTTATTTTCGGAACAGACAAAATTTTTCCCCATCTCTCTGCGGTCTATTCGCGCGGGGAATATAGAAATTTAATAACATTTAAATTGAGTTTCGGGGAGAAAAAAATCAAGGCAGCACTTATAATGAACAAAATCCAACATGTACGCAGAAAAAGTTTATTATTTTGGCTTAAAAACGGAAAAAGTTTATTATTTGATAGTAATGCATTGATTATTATTTTAAAGCCCAGATGAACTAATCATACTGGCACATTGAAGAGCAGTTATCTCGGTAGAGAGTCACGGCGTTTAAAAGATAGGGTAAAAACAGTCAAAAGCGTTTAAATATAAAAATTCTTCGCTATCAAGTATAAAAATGCACCTAAGGAATTAAATTATAAAAAATGAAAATCCTAATAATTTGGGACTACTACTTAAGATGGTAAAAAATCCGGCACGATGGTCCGTGGACAAAATAAAAAGGATGGACTCATGGACAACAAGAGATAAAGAATAAGGAAGGGATTCATTTCATCTTACATGTTAATACTATCAGGGAGGAGATTAGGAAAGCAGCCGTAATCATGTTTTGTTTAAAAGAATACCGCCCAGCACATATTCAATTTTTATTCATACATAACATAAAAATTGAAATAAGTAATATCACTCTTCTTATCTTTTATATATAACCTAATTTGAAAATTGATGTTATTTCGTATTATTTATCAATTTTTAAAATTAATTTTATTAACATTCTTTCAATAATAACCAAGCATGAGAGGAAGTGAGAAAATTAAAGAAGATGATTAGAGAATTTTAAAAAAATATATCATATTAATTAATTTTTTTAAATTAGTTAATTAGTCCTGTGTTATGAATTATGAATAGGGGGGGTAAATTAATGCGGTTCATTATTTACTTCAGAAATGAAAACAAAGCAAAGGAAACAAAATGGGGGATTTCGGCAGAGGATGGATGTCCGTGCGGTCATGTCGCTCGCGCTGAGCTCCAGATTCTTTAAGAGCACCAAACTCTGCATCTCGCCACTGTGTGCTTCTCTCCCTCGTAGATCTCGTTGTTCTTTCTCCCTCCTGCTCCCTCGCCGCTCTCCCTCTTCTCTTACTGCCAGGCTCTCTCTATCCACTTTTGCCGCCATGGGAGACCCTCCTGATACCACCATGGACGCTGTCCAGCGCCGCCTCATGTTCGAAGACGAGTATGCTCCCCTTTCCCTCTCTCCTCTTTCCCCCTCCCTCCCGCAACTCTTCGCTTCCTTCTATTTCTATACACCTCTTCTGTAGCTCCTCTTGTTTTTCTTTTCTCTCGTTTCCGTGTTTTATTACTTATTGATTAATTTAATTGAATTAAGCACTATTTCAATTAGAAGGCACGGAGCGTGTGTCTATTGCCAAATTCTTTTGCTTCGGCTTTCGTTTATGCCATTATTTAGCATGAAATGTGTTGAGCTGAAGTGACCCTTAGTAGCATGTGATTTTGTGATTTTCGCTTTATTTAATCTTATTGCTACTGTGAACTAGTTTCCGGCTCCTCTTGTTTGCTTTTGGAGTCCACATCATAATTTCGGCTATATACATATGTATGTGGATATATTAAAGTTGTATGTTCTGCGATGGGAAGTCACTATCCTTTGCTAAGCTTCATGGATAGTTTTTCAGGTTTCTAGGAGTATTACTATAATTTCACTCTCCTCCTTTTACTTGCATGTATCCTGACTTTTACACTTATCTTCCCTGGAGTTGACAGCGGATATGTTTTTAAACTTTCTGCAGATGCATTTTGGTGGATGAGAATGATCGTGTTGTCGGTCATGATTCCAAATACAATTGTAAGGGAAATTTCGATGTTTGAATCTCATATGCATTCTGAATTTCTGATGTCTTCGAAGCTTTGTTCATTGAAAAGATTAAAATAAAATCTCTCCTCTCCTGTTATATATTGAGCGGTGTTGTTTCTAGCTCTTTATTGTGCCATATCCTAACAGCTTAATAATCCTCACATTTATGAATATAAATAACTCATTGGTGGATGGTGTGAGAATATCTCGATATGGCAAATAACAAGGCTCTGAAATCCCTAGCTGTTGAAATTGCTCGCGTTGTGCTTGGTAATCTGAATGTTGACTTCTATTTTGTGTTTCCAGATCATTCAATTTAGATGCTGTAAGAAAAGTTGCTCCTAAACAATCAAGCATATGAGATATGTCGGCTTATTTTATGTGGACTAGGGCTTTTTTTTTAAATACAAGGATTAGTCTATATTTAATGCAAGCAAACTGCTAGCACTATTGGCTTCAAATAGGGATTTTAAATGGTTCATGTCATATCTTGATAGTGGTTATAGAGCTAATATGTCTAGCAGACACTCAATTTTCTCTGCGAGTCTATGCTATCATCCCCCCATTCCTCCTCATTTTACCTTCCGTTGTCAAAAAAAGAGCATGGTGAATTGGAACTTAGTTATAACTTAACTTCCATTGTACTGTTCTGCTCACTTCCGGCTCTGTTAATTCATTTCTCTGAACTTCAATTTTCTAGGTCACCTGATGGAGAAGATTGAATCTGAAAATTTGTTGCATAGAGCTTTCAGTGTGTTTCTGTTCAACTCAAAGTATGAGTTGCTTCTTCAGGTATGCATTCCTCTTTCTATTAATTGTGGCCTCGTTGATAGACATGCAGGGTATATCTTGTTCTAAAACAAAATTGACAATTTTCAGAGCTTTGAGCAGATGCTGGGATTGTTTTCTCCTATCTATGTCCTATTTTTGTTGGATAAATTTTCTTTATTGGTGCCACGAATGTCTTTATTTCAGTTAATTGTTGCAACAATTATAACTACGAATGGTTGTTCTACATCTGCTTGCAAGTTATGGAGTGGGTTTAAGAGTTAAAACTTAAGCGCATTTAATATCCATGGAGACATAAGTTACAACAACTTTAATGCATTCCTTTTACGCATGATTTTGAGACACTTATATTCTTAGTTGACGAACAAAATTAGATCTCTCTTTATATTAGTAAAAATTGTAAAATAAGGAAAATGACAAAAAATCTTTGTCGCCAGTGAAAGATTGTCCACAGCAGACAACCGAGCAAAGAGATCCCAGTAATGTTATCGATGATGCTACTGACTAGTGTGAATTATATTAATTAACATAATGTCTAGCAACATATATATGATATTGATAATTAACGTTCAAGCGACACGGTGAAATTTAAATGATACTTCTTTGAATAGTTTTTCTTATATATGTATATGTGTATTATATAAGCCATGGCATCTCTCAGATATTCTTCTGCTTGATTATGTACTGAAAATTCTCCATAAGGCACGCCTGTTCACTGGTCTTAGACTCTTAAGGTTTTGTTTGCGTGTGTTGACTAAGATTCGGTAATGTTCTTAATGAAGCAACGATCTGCAACAAAGGTGACATTTCCTCTTGTGTGGACAAACACCTGCTGCAGCCATCCACTGTACCGCGAGTCAGAGCTTATTGAAGAGCACGCTCTTGGTATATGTTGATATACTTTTTATGTTAAGAGAGAATATTGCCCTGTTTGTCATTAGTGCTTTTCTTAAACGGTTCTGACTCCTTATGTGCCAGGGGTAAGAAATGCGGCTCAGAGGAAACTTTTGGACGAGCTTGGTATTGTTGCTGAAGATGTGCCAGTTGATCAGTTCATCCCATTGGGTCGCATGCTTTACAAAGCACCTTCCGATGGCAAATGGGGGGAGCATGAACGTGAGGCAACTTAACTGGCTTCTAATTTTATGCAAGTAATCGTTCTAAGGAGGGTTTTGTTGACAAAGATTTCTTCCCCTCATTGCAGTTGATTATCTGCTATTCATAGTTCGGGATGTTGGTGTTCATCCTAATCCAGATGAAGTGGCCGATATTAAATACGTGAATCGGGAGCAGTTGAAGGAGCTGTTGAAGAAAGCTGACGCCGGTGACGAAGGATTGAAACTGTCTCCTTGGTTCAGACTAGTCGTGGACAATTTCCTATTCAAGTGGTGGGACCATGTGGAACGAGGAGATCTTAGAGAGGTCGCTGACATGAAAACCATTCACAAATTGATCTAAATTGGTGGCATTGTCGAAATAAAGTTGGTTTCTTGTGCTCAAAAATGGTGAAGGATTTATTGCACTGGTCTTTTGAAGTTGTTCTTTTTTTTTTCTTTTTTTTTTTGGTTTGAACATCAGAACCGTGATAATGGATTGTATCTTATAATTAGCTGAGAAGTGTGGTCTGAATATTGGGTTAGTGGGACGTGAGTACTCATTAATAAGATCCTGGATGTTCTCAAGTAATTTCGTGCAGGATACTAATCCATTACTTCTGGTCTTTGGCTATTTTCAAGTAATTTCATGTGCCTGGGATATTAATATACTACTTCCAATCCTTAATACAATAATTAGTTTTGATATTGAATTTGATTTTAAATATAAGATTTTAATTTATTTTTTATTCATATGTATTATTTTTTTTTAAGAGTCTTTATAATAGTTATAGATGCTAAATGTTTCATTAAATAGTAATTTTAGTTAATATATATAATTAACAAAGATATTTTAAAAAAGATAGTATCTATTTATTACTAATAACTAATTTAATCAGTTTTCTTAATCTATTTAAATTAATTAACGAGTTCTTATATTAAAAATTAGAGTTAGTATTTGGTATCCACCACCCTGAGTTGATGAAATTTATGCATTGTAAACCTTGGTTTTTCAAAATATGAATGGGCAGAATTTACAGAATATTTAAGGTCCCGTTTGGTACGAAGCATTGAAAATGAGGGATTGGAATTGTAATTGCAACTGAAAAAAATCATTAAAATAGTACTTAGTATAAGTAATTGTTTGTTATATGGGATTAAGCAAACCCATAAAAGTGGGATTGGGGAATACCACTTCCCCCATGGTATTCCCCAATCCCACATATATGGTTTTGATTAATCCCATATATCAAACAATCTCTTATACTAAACACTCTCCTAATAGATTTTTTCAATTGTAATCTCAATCCCAATCCTTCATTTTCAGTACTTCCTACCAAACGCAACCTAAGGGTTAAGAATAATACTACCTCCGGTTCTTAATATAAGACCCAATTTGACTTTTTGTTTGGTCCTAATTATAAGACCCCAATTCATTTTTTCTCTCATATTTATGTATTTTTTTTTCAAAATAATCCTTCTAATAATAATAGTTCTAGCCAATACACTTAATTAGCAAGGATATTTTAGGAATGACAACACTTATTTATTACAAATAACTAACTTAACTTACTTCTTTAATATCCTCAAATAAGTCAATTGGGTCTTATAATTAGGACTGGAGGTAGTATTATTATGATTTTAAATTTTTAGGATAAATTTACATCCTAACTCAGTATTTTAATATAAGCAATATGGAGATTTCAGGCAATTTTGTAATTTTCTTCCGTGGCACGTCTTCAAAACAAATTTTTCTATTCCATCGTACCAAACGGGTGGAATCGGAGTCACCATGGCCATACGCTTGGCATGAATGGGAGTGGCAGCGGCGAGCGGGTACTCCCCTGCGTTCGGATTGGGATCGTCTCCTGCACATCTCAATGTGTCAACTGAAAATTGTGTGCGGATTGTTTTATGAGTTGTGACGCCAGAAAAAAGTAAATGAAAATGGCTAAAAATACCCAAAAACTGCATGAGCTATAGCTTTTCTAACATTTAAAAATATTAAATTAAAAATGTAAAATGGGTTACGTTTACGATGCCCAAGAAAAGGTTGCAACTACATCGATCTCAAGGAAGGACTGACACGACAGCAGGCTCTCGCGATGCACCATTGCCACGACGACATAATATCCGTCCCATGCACGAGACACGTGTGCCGCCGTGCCATCTCTATCTCTCTCTCGCTCGCATGTATCCAGTCCGTCTCTTTTATTTTAATTTGTTCTTGGTCGAACTCGCATGCCCAGCAGTGCTGTTGAATTCTGCCTTACCCCATGGAAGAAGACGAAAAGCCCTTTCCTCTTTCCCCACAACCACCGAATTGGGTCGCAAAACTCATATCCCTTCAGGCTGATGTAATCTACAGGTGCTTTGTTTCTGGCTCCACCCCTTTCTCTGTTGCGTCTGAGTCCTACCATCAAGCTGAAGAGACCAGAGACAACGTTGAATCGGCAGTCAACCGAATGCCGTCCGCCATCATCCTCTTATTTAAGAGGCTCGGACTTGGCTTTCTTAGTGCCGCTTATGTGTGCATGGTTCTGTTATTGGTTCTCCTTCTGGCTGTTGTGCTGGGTGTTGGATTGGTTCATCTGTGGGCGGAGGAACCTGTGTTTGCGAGGGAAGAGTTGCACTTCGATTACACCGACGCTCACCCTACGGCTGTCTTTTCTTTTGACGCTGGACTCATCAGTGGCCTTGAAGGCTATAGCAACAACAAGCAGATAGGTATTCCGATTGGCCATACATTTTACATCTCCTTGGTCCTTGTCATGCCCGAATCTGACTTCAATCGGGAGATTGGCGTCTTTCAGGTATGCTTACAGCATTGCACGGTACTTACACATGCCTTCTGAGACGGTATGAAATCCTGGCAAGGGTCGACCGGGAGCCTACGTTTCTAATTAGCTGCCGTTGATTTCTCTAGCTTGCTAGTTGTTTGAAGTAGACCCTTCTTATATATATTAGTACATCCGTGCGCGTGTCCCCGCGCTTACATTGATGCATTTGGAAAAATGATACGGAGAGGCTGATTGCATAGACGTGCCTCAAGATTCGTGTATGAATATGATAACAAAATTCTAACTAGCTAATAAAAAATTAATTAAATTAATTATTTATAATAAATAGATCCTGTTTTTTAAAAAATATTTTTGTTAAACAAATATATTTGTTAGAATTATTACTATAATAAGAACTATTTTAAAAAAAATAAAATAGTTTTGTAACAAAGGTAAGATTATTTTTATTATTACAGATCTTGACAACACCATCGAACTACTAGAACTAGGGCTCCAGCTGAGCTTGAACTCTCCCGCGCCTGTACGTCATTATTATAGTCGATATCTCATTGCTGTCTGCCCCATAATGATTATGCTTCCAGAACTCCATGCGTGTTGAGAAATTACTCTATCCGGCTATGCTTTCTGCCCCATAATGATTCTCAACTCTGACCCTATTTGTAAAGCAGAGGTGCGCTTTTATCAGATAGTTTGCATTTTGTTTTAACTTGGCGTAAGTGTTTGTACTTGATTGCAGTTGAGCGCAGAACTCCTATCAGTAAATGGGAATGTTACAGTGAAATCTAGTCAGCCGATTATGTTGCGGTACAGAAGCTTCCCAGTCCGACTAGCTAGGACATTAATAATGGGCATGCCTCTGTTACTGGGAATATCTGAGGAAACCCAGAAGATCAACGTAGAAATATTGAAGCACAAGGAGGACAATCGAAGAACCAAGGCAATCAAGGCCATTATGTGTCCGAGAGCAGGGACATCGTCTCTGCCGCAGATATACAAAGCCGAGATCGTGATGAACTCCCAACTACCTGGGGCTAAACAATTGGTTCACAATTGGAAGTGGACATTTTATGTGTGGGTGTCCTTGTACATCTACACTGTGCTGCTGATGATTCTGCTGTGTTGCTGCAGACCGCTCACTTTTATGGTGGTACCAGAGTACATGACGGAACACGGCAGCCCAACGGAACTGAGGAGCGCAGAAGCTGAAGAATCACAAATGAGGGAAGCAGATGAAAGTGAAGTTTCAGAGTTGTTGAGAAAATGGCGAAGAAGCAGAAGCAAGAGAAAAGCGATGCTTACGCAGGGTGGTGGTGCAGAGTTGGAAGCCATGGCGTCATCGGCTTCCAGCACCACCATGACTAGAGAAGAAGTAACCAGCACGGCTGTTGAAGATGTTGGGGACTCTGAATCGGTCTGCTTAATTTGACTTCTGCGTCAAGGATAATGTGTACTTTAATTTTCGAGGTTACCTCTGTCCTGGAAAAGTTGGAATGGTTGGAACTGGCAAACAATATCCAACACGAGTGATTTGCTGTGAGTCTATAATAATATCACTGGAAGTGAGGGGGGCGAATGGTTGCTGTTATAATGACCATGGTAGTAAGCTTGGATTAATGCGCGCATGGTAACACCTACTGACATATAGTAATTCTCTTAAGCTTTACTCTCACATTATAACAGTATTGGCGTGACAATCACATTAACTGATTCCGATAAGTAATTAGTAACAAAATTGACGAAAGTTTAGTTATCACTTAAGGCACGCATGTATCAAAAAGAAGGTTCCTTACAAGTGAATCTGAAGGCGGTGGACGCAGATGGATGACAAGAGGGAGCATAGAAAAAGAACCTTGTGTTGTTGAGGTTGGTAAGGCTATTATGAGAGTGAGAGAGAGAGAGAGAGAGAGATGAAGGGAAAGAATGGAGATCCGAAGTTGGCTCGTGGAGATGTGATTTTGCGGAAGGAAGATGCGCAACAATCAAGCGCTGTTTTAAGGGCACGCGAAACATGTGGGTTGAAATTCCTCACATGTCATTCCTTCCGCAGTTCATCTTCTCAGATGCCCACGCGTCCCCTCCCCTCAAATCCCAATCTAACTCCTCTAGATTTTATCGCCGATCATCATGACACGCTCTCATCTTCTATTTCTAGAACACAACAGGGGAGGAGTGGGTCCCAGTGGCTCTCTCTCACACCCTCGTACTCGCCCTTGTCTGTGAAGGCGCCAGTTTCCAATCCGCAGCTCCAGCTCCACTCCCTCCAAGTCATGCTCATTGTCCGCTCCGTCTGCCGACGTTACTGACAAGAACAACAATCATCATCATTATCCAATGGGAGAAGGCGCAGAGTTTCACGACTTTCGTGGATCGCCGGATAAACGGAGCATCGCAGAGAGAAGGGGCTTCGGCTCCGGTGCCGGCAGAATCAATACGCCCTGCTTTCGCACCGCTAGCCCACTTGCTTCGCCGGCAGTTCTTTCCCCCCGTGTCACTATACCCCCCGGTATTAGTCCCACGGCCTTGCTTGACTCTCCCATCATGCTTCCTAATTCTCAGGTAACCAACTCCCCCCCCCCCCCAAAAAAAAAAACAACCTCCCTCTGTCGCGCCCCGACCTCTTGATTTACTTGACTTTCTCTTGCTCTAGGCAATGCCATCTCCCACCACCGGAAATTTTCTGCTGCCTCCTCTCACTCAGCAGGGATCACTTTTCACTTCCGCCCCTCTCGATGCTGGCCCTGGCTTCGCTTCCTCTGCCAATGTCAAGCCCCAAATCAATGCCAACCCTTTTCCTGCCTCCTCTGTTTCCGAAATTCAGGTACACTTTTTCTTGTTGGTGTGGTGAATTCAGGTACAGTTTTTTTTTTAAATTAAAAAGATAATTCGTTGCATTATGATTTTGCATTCTTCGTGCCCCTTTTTATACACAACAGTATTTGCCTACATCATGTTCATTCTTTGCTTTGTTACAATGGGGTATAATAGTGAAGTGAAAATACGTGATTTCGATGAGGGAAATAATCAGAGTATAGAAAGTGATGACAATGTCCTGTTTAAAAAATAAGAGAAATGGATAGAACTTATTGGGTGGTAATTACCTAGGTACTATGAAATTTCATATTCAAGCTATGTTGGACCACAAACTTGGTTTGACAAAAGCTGCGCTCAAAGGATTGCCAGATTCCGTGATTCTTTGTTTTCAGCTCGAATCATACAATTCCACCCATTCCACTCAGTGCATTTCATCTCGCAATCTTGCGAAATTTACTGAAATCAAATTGTTAAAATTGCATACTAATGTGGAATGAAAACCAGATCACTGTTTCTCAGTTGGAGACGGGTAGTCTGAGGAATAGGCGAAGGTCTTGTACCTGGAGTTTCCATCCTTTTTTTTTTTTTTTGGGTAACTTCCGTCTGTTTACCATTATGAAAAATTTAGGTGCAAGAGTGCTTAAAAAAAAAGAAGCCAAATCAGCTATCCACATGATTTCTTCCTTCCTTCCTTCTTGTTCATTTTATTCAAACATTTTTTTAAAAACATTTTCCTATAAACTCAGTCTTTCCCAAATACCATCCAGTATATCAGTCATGAGATTTGTAGTAAATAATAATTTACTATGCACAAATGTAATCTTTGGCATGTTTGAATTGATCAGGTCTCTAACCATTGCATTATGGCAAAGGGAGGAATTTCAGATTGCCAGCCAATTGTGCCTGATACAACACTGGATTTTTCAATTCCAGCAGAGTTTCCGAAAGGACATAAAGTGAAAAGTGACGTACATTCTTATGATGATGTGAAAATTATACAAGATGCAGCTTATGACGCTAACAATCTTGAGATGCAAATGCGTCGTTCTGAGGAAGTTGCTGACAAAAGCTTTCTACCTAGAAAAGCTAACAAGGATGTTGGACAGGATAATCTTACAGAAGACAAGAGAGATGCATCCTATTTGGTGGGAATGGTAAGGACCTCAGAGGATGGATACAATTGGAGAAAATATGGACAGAAGCAGGTTAAAGGTAGTGAATATCCTAGGAGCTATTATAAATGTACCCATCCTAACTGTCAGGTCAAGAAAAAGGTGGAACGATCTCTTGATGGCCAAATAACTGAGATTATCTACAAGGGTACTCATAATCATGGGAAACCTCAACCTAGTCGCCGACCATCACTGGGCACAGCACTTTCTACTGATGAGGTGTTAGACGGGGAAGGTGGCCGAAACTTTGTTAAAGCTGACGGTGGTTGGAGGAACATTCACTCAGGGATGAAGGATATAAAACAAAATTTGGATTGGAAGGCTGATAATCAGGAAAGGACATCATCAACTTCTGTTGTAACCGAACTCTCAGATCTCGTATCAACTAACAAGGGTAAACCTATCAACATGTTTGAGTCAGAGGACACTCCAGAGCTTTCTTCTACACTTGCTAGTCAAGATGATGATGAAGAAGGAGCAACTCAAGGAAGCATATCACTTGAAGAGGATGCAGATGATGAAGAACCTGAGTCAAAAAGGTTTTATTTTCTATTTGATAGTGTCTGGCTGTCTGCTTGGTAACAGTGACATGAAAAACGAACATACATTTACGTTTATGAATGTACTTTTTGTAGGAAGAAAGAGAGCTGCTTGATTGAATCAAATTTTGCTTCTAGGGCTGTCCGTGAGCCAAGGGTAGTTGTCCAAATTGAGAGTGAGGTGGACATACTTGATGATGGTTATCGCTGGCGAAAGTATGGACAGAAAGTTGTCAAAGGAAATCCAAACCCTAGGTAATGATCTCTCTCTCCATTCCTTGAATGTATGCTTCCTAGTTAAACTAGATTCTTAGCAGGGAACCCTGGTTCTGATTTGTTTCGCTTTTTCCTCAAGGATATTCAAACTTCAAGTGTGTTTGCGTCTGTGGTATTTGTTTTCCAGAACTAGTTGTTGCTTTAAGTAGATTAGAGCCCTATACCACATGCGGCATACATGCATACTCTATTGAGACTTTGGCTATAACGACCATACAATTCTGACCCGAGCACACACACACATGCTGGTATTGTATTATGTTATTTTGGATCTCCTCTAGGAGCTACTACAAATGCACAAGTGCTGGGTGTCTTGTGAGGAAACATGTGGAAAGGGCTTCACACGATCTCAAATTTGTAATAACTGCTTATGAGGGTAAACACAACCATGAAGTGCCCACCGCCAGAAGCAGCAATCAAATGAGCTCGAGTGGTGCCTGTATGCTTTCAAGTGCAGCCACTACACAAGCGGCTCTTGCACCACCTGGGAGTGTCAGTATTCGAAAGCCGGAAAATCAAGTTCAAAACACTGCATCTCATTTTGATAGGAAGCCTGAATTTAGCGGGGAGTTAATGAGGCCCGGTTTTATTGGAGGTTTCGGCGATGCGATGAAATTCGGGTCTTCCTCCTTATGTCAGATGAAGTATACTCCCTTGAGCAATACCTTGACTTACGGCTCTTGTGCTACTGCTCAACCCTGTTCTATGACCTCTGTGTTCCCTGACTTTCCAGTGTCACTACCGTTGAACCTTCCCTCATCTGGAGGTTTTCCTCCGGCTGGACTCAATCTCAATTGTGCAAGACCTGTGTCTTTTCTTTCAGGGCAGCTGCTTAAGGAGGTCGATACAGGTTTCCTGAGGCCTAAACAGGAGCATGAAGATGCTATTATCTATGATGCCTGCATGCCCATCGCTGATCATGCCACTGCTTCCCTCACTCCATCGTCGACATCCACTTCAGTGTATAATCGGGTCGTGCACGGTTTCCCTCCATAATATGTTTCATAAACTACCAGCAGCATGCAGTTCCATTAGGTTTCATAAGCATTATTGTCCCAATTTTGGCAACAGTCTTTGAATCTTAGCAATGCATACACTGTTTGCATCTCATGTCATAGTTCATTTTTTATGTTTTATTTTTTTTCCCAGTAAATATGAATCACTCTTTTCGGCCAAAAAGCAAAATTACCATGTTTGGGCGTCAATCGAAGAGGGGATGCTGTAATTTTCAAGATGTGTTTGTCTGTGCCTTGTACATAATTTATCATTGATTTGCTTGGTCTTAATTTTAAGATTACTATGTTCTTTTAAAAAAATTTAATAATATTATTATGGAAAAATGCAATCTTTCCTTTAATAATTTTCATATAATGTTTTATCATTTATTATATAATGACGTTTCAAAATAGTTTAGTCATATTTCATCATAATAACATGTTAATATTTTATTAACATGAGAAAATTAATATCGCAGTCTTTATAGTTTTATTAGATTTTGAATTAGATCCTTATAGTTTGTTTTTATTAATTCCTTATTATCTGCTCTGTTCATAAGGTAAGTTCTTGTGTTAATTTAGCTGTTGGTTTAAGTTAACAGTCTCTCTCTCTCTCTCTCTCTCGGGCGCACCGTCTCTGCTCTCAGGTTCTCCCCCCCACCCTTCATGTTCATATCCCTCTCTCCCTACCATCGTCTTCTCTCTCTCTCTCCCCCCACCTCCCCCCCTCACAGTTACGTCATGTCCTTCCCTCTAGATTCATGCCACATTTTCGATCAAGGTGGGATAAAAGTGAAAACCAAAGTATAGTGTCTTGTGCAATGCTGTTGAGTTTATACAATGAAATTGGAGCCGAGTTGAGTAAGTTTGAATAGAAATCACACAGTACTTTTCATACAGAAATTATTGGTCAAAGATATCATATATGGGTAGTTTGCACAACCCCTCAGTGATCCACATTGGCTCTTGGAATTAATTTACCCCTCTGCGATCCATATATGGGTAGTGCTCTTCCCCCCCTCCCTTCCCCCCTCCATGAAAATTCTGTTCATATGCCTAGCAACAATGGAGAAGGCGGAAGGTACTATTATAGTTGGGAGAAGGAAATGTTTGAAATTTAGAACCTGTTTGGTTTGAGGGGATGGGAGGGGAGGGAGGGGTAGGGAGAGGAGGGGAGGTTTCATCCTCACCTTATTTGGTTTGATTAAAAAGAAGGGGAGGGGAGGGTATTTAATGATCCCTTGTTTGGTTCAAGGAGGGAAGGGATAGTAATAATCAATTTACCATTTTACCCTTATATATTAGTTTATGTTTTTAATTGATATATTATATAAATTAATTTACATCTTAATTTAAATAATATAATTTAATAAAAATTCAGTCTTATCATGTTAATATATGTATTAAAAAATTGGTACAGTAATTTTTTATTCTAATTAATATAATAATATATTTAAAATAATCAAATTAACAAATTTTATATGTTCTAAGAAAAATAAAATTTTATTTTCTTTAAGCTATCTTTTTTTTCAGCTTTAAAATATATTTAATAAATAATATATTTATAAAAAAATTAATTTTATAATATTATAATTTTTTATTTAAATAATTTTTATAATATATTTTTAATTATAATAATGTATATATTTTTTATTTTTTTACTTAGGATAATATATTTTTTATTTAAAATAAATATATAATAATAATATATTTTATGGGTAGAAGTGGAATATTAAAAAAACTATAAGGGCATAATGGTTTAAAATTTTGGCTCCCCTCCAAAAACCCTCAATTTGGAGGGGAGCCAAAATGGGGGGGAGGGAGGGGAGGGGAGGGGACACTTTAACTCCCCTCTCCTCCAAAATTTTTAACCAAATAAAGGGAAGGGCTCATTTTCCCTCTCCTCCCCTCCAACCAAACGCACCCTTAAGAGTGAAACTTTTGCAAGAGGAGATAAAGAGGATGATGGTAAGGAGAAAGAGAGGGGAGATAAAGTAGCAGTGAAAGAGGAGAGAGAAAAACCATGGCTTTTAGGTTCGGTCGAGTTGACTCAGAACTCGACGAATCAGGTAATTGGCTGGTCTGATTGAGTTCTAATTCGAGAAAAAGTTGACTCAGGGTAACTCGGGACAACTCGTGTCTAACTCAGGTAACTCACTGAGTGGAACAAGATACCCGAGTTAACTTTTTCCCCTCTCATATGAGTAATCCAATTTCAAATTAATGAGGAAAGATGAAGAAAAGAGGGAGGAGAGAAGCAACATAATCTCGATGGCTGAAAAAGAAAGGAAAACCTGGGGCTGAAGACAATTTCAGTAACAAGTGATGGGAGATGCCGGGATGGTGGACACGATAAAGGTTGAAAAAAAAGGGAGGAGACAAAAACCTAAATACAATCGCTGAAGATTTTGCAGAACCATAGCAGAAAGGGGCTGTGTTCATGAGATTTGAACTTTGAGACAAAAAGAAGATTAAAAGAACACCGGAAAAGGGGTTTCCACAAGGAAGAATGGGGTGGGGGGGGGGGGAAGCTTAGCACACTTATCAAGATTCATTGATTCAAAGCTACACGGCAATAGTGTTTAAAAAACAAAACTATTTTACACACGTACACAAGTTAACAGGCCTCGAGACTCATTTTCATTTGTTGGGAGTTGTCACTTCAATAGGACTCTTTTGCCCTTCAAAAGCACTTTAGAAGCGTCTCTAAGGAAGTATTTGGATAAGATCAAAACTATAGTTTCAGAAGTGTTTTTACGGTATACGAAATAAATATATAGAGTATTTATCTCGATTTGTGATAAAATATTTGTGAAAAGTGATTCTTGGGATCTCCAAACACCCCCTAAATTTGATTTAAAGTATTCATACATATATAATTAAATTATATTATTTTAATTATGACCAGTTTGATTTTGAGTTAATTCTAATCTGACTCCTTAACCTTTAAACTATTGTTTTACAGATTCATACATCGGTCTAGTTTTCAGTACCTTGAGAAAAACTGAGAAAGATAAAGAAGATTTGGGGGGGGGGGTTACGAAGGGAAAGAGGGGAGAGGAAGAGAAGTTGAGAATAGAGGCTGCAATCGAGAGAGAAAGAGAGGAAGACGGTGTCAACTAAAACTAACAGCTGATTTAACAAAAAGGTTTATACTATTATCAGAGAAAAAAAGGATTCAATAAAAAAAAACTATAAGAACCTGACTTAAAATCTGATAAAATTATAAGGACTTTCATATTAAGTTTTCCTTATATATATTTAGAAGTTATTTTTTGTTTTTACATAAAAATTAATTTAAAAAATCAATTGAAAATTTGAATGATGCCAGGCTCTAAAATCTCTTCCAACTTCACCTAACATGTCCCTTTCTTTTTCCATATAGAAACCCACTGAAACATGGGGGCACAAAAGCCTCTGGATCGATTCTCTGAATGCAGATGCGTGCACAAACCAGTTTAACAGGCTTTGTAAACAAAAAAGACATTGGACGAAACTATTAATCAGAAGTATTGCACACTCCAGTATCCTTTTTTTTTTTTTTGGGGCATCTCGAAGGACTTAATTTTAAGAATTATTCTGAGTAGAATAAAATACACACAACTTCCAAATCTCACAACATCTATCTGCATTTTGGGTTAACAAAAAAAAAAAAAAAGGAGTCCTCCCTCGTGATCCAGTGCACAAAGTCAAGGTTGAATGAATTTACTTTACCATCGCCTGGGCTCGAGCAAATATAACATATCACCATACAAATGCCTAAATTGGTTGTGCACCAAGCAGGGGGGGGGGGGGGACTACAAAGAAAGGATGAGAAGACAGGCCAGATGTGTTTCGTAATTCTTAAAATTGTACTTTAAAAAAAATGTTAATATAATTCTTAATCCCTCGAATTTATTTTTCTTTTTATCTTAATTTCTCAAGTTTTAAATTTTAAGTTTTAGTTCTTCAAATTGCATTTCATTTAAAATATTAGTTTTTATAATTTAATCAAAATTTAGACCATTTTACTCTCAAGAAATCAAACATGCAGTTTGAAACTCGATGAACCAAATATTATATTAACCCAAAAAATAAAAAGAAAAGTTCTTGGAAGATGGAAAGCAAGGGCCACTGTAAAATTGGATTCACTGGGAGAGGCAAAAGAAAACTGCAAGGCCAGGTGTTTTAATGTGACTTCTAAGCATGTGCATGGTGTTGAACAAGGATGAATTCTACCCAACCAGGCATCGAATGCCGCAGCATCTATACGGATGTCATTTGGGGCTTCTGTAAATTCTCTTCTTTATACAACAACCGCCTCTTGGTTGAATTATATCCTTGGTACTGGTATATAATACTGTAAAGGCAATGCCTCAGGCATAATATATCAAACGATTCTATGAATCTTAAATCCGCCATCCTCGATTTGGCACCAGCAAATCTGTTGTACTCCTCAAACACTGAAGACAAACACCACTTCTGCAATTTTCTCAAGCAACCCACCAGGCAACCTGTTCGATGCTGTATACAATAAAAAAAAGACTGTCAGTCCAGTTTGAGTGTGCTCGCGCGTGTAATCATGATTAACTAATGAGCAGATGATAGTGGAAAATGTCGATAAAACCTTTCCAAAGCTCAAAAACGGGGCATAAAAATAAAGTATTCTGAGGAGGGTGATAAGTCAGCCAATACAACAATACCTTTCCTTGTTTGCAATGGATTAAAAGAGGGTGATTTCTCACATCTGAAATGGCAACAAGTAAAGTAGCTTTAACATCTAATGAACAAGAAAAACGGCAGCGGCTGCAAGGGCGTATACAAAAAAAATTGCATTTCAAAGAGATTCGAGAAGGCTTTATTCAGTACCAAGTAAGACTTTCAGAGCATCCATGACAGTATCCTTCAGAATCGGTACTGAAACCTCCTGCACATACAGTCACAATTCACTGCGCATTAGCTACGGAATCAAAATAAGCCTACGACGATAGCTAGACAAAGTCCATAAACTATATTTCATCATTACCTGTCTTAAGCATCAGCAGTTTTCGTTGCCTAATGTAAAATCATACATTTAGTTTCTGACATAGAGGCAGTTTGCCATACCCAAATTCGCACAAGCTTCTCCATTACTAATTTATGAGGGAAAAAATTACATTGAAAAATCCTTTATGCTAGAGCCGCACACGCCCCCCCCCTTTTTTTTTTCCTTTTTTCTTGGGGGAGGGGATGCTGGTTCCTTCAATTATTACAAATGCTGCCAACGATATCGATTAACACCCGTCTCAGAAAGTAAAAGGAGCCATGCGCCCGTTATGGGTATGGGATGACGGTCACTTTGAGCCAACTAGCTGGGTACATGACATGTCTCTGACTCTCTATAAAGCTAATAAATGTAAGAGAGGATAGCGCACGACAAAAAGAAATTACCGTCTTTCCCTCGATTCCAAACTGAAAGAGTCGAATGTCCTGTGACCGAAGAAATTCCACATTTTCCTGCGGATATGGTTCAGGACACAAGTATCTGCACCAGAGAGGCCAACTTTAGAAGATTTGAACTTACATTTCACATTTAAAATGATCCAGTTTCTTGGCAAATTTTCAAAATAACAGGGGCGATTGGATAAATTAAAAGGAACAAATGCGAATAATTCTGATTCAGCCCGCCCAACTAGTGGGGGGAAAAAAAAAAAAGCAGACGCATTTCCGTTTCATTGTTGGGAACTATGAAAAGAAAATGAAGGTGAGATTGGTCGGTGCTAATTAGGGGAAGGGATGAGAAGGAGAACTCACATGATAGATCGAAGATTTAGGGTTTGAAGGAAGGGGAAATGGGGAGGTCGAGGAAAACTGGATCGAAAAATGTTGTCCTCGACCATCGAGAAATTGGGCGGCGGAAGCAGAATGGGGCGATCACGTCCATCCTCCATGATCAATCCCACCGGCTTTTGTAGTTTGGCACTGACCTCCGCTCTCAGTCTGAGATTTTAGTTCTGTACAAATAACTGATCAACGGTATTGAGATCCCATTCTCGATCCTGCCTTTTATTTCAGGAATTATGAATAAATTTACCATTGAAATGACTTTATTAAACGCAATCTAAATTGGATGGTCCAAAGCGGTCGAAGTGGAACTTGGGAAATTGGAAAAGGAATTGGCGGCGCACGATTTTTCGTATAAAGAAGAAGGGCGGGAGTGAGAATGATTTGGCCTCCGGACTCGCAAGTTGCTATATTTGGGGTAAAAATATGGGTGTGGTAGTTTAATAAATTCGGTAGAAAAATATTGCGCCGTCAATGTTGAAGAGGAGAAGTTGAACTCCTCCTCGCTGGAAGCTTCCCCCTCTCTTTCCTTCGTTCATTTGTGTCGTCATGGATGATTCTCAATGTGGTCATTGGTCAACGTTGAAGACCGTGCCCGGTCACTGCACCTTCAGGCGCATAGCTAACATGTTCTTTTTTCCCATTGAAAAATATCAGGAAAAATTTCATTAAACCCTCTGTAATTATTTACAATAAAAATTTAATAATTTACAACACCAATTTAATAATATACAATTTAAATAAGATAAGAATATTTTTGTCTTTCTACACAAAAATTGGGTCAAAAAGATGCACTGAGAATTCAGAATTCGCAAAATATAACTGGAGACTTCGTTTTGTTAAGAGATTAGAGATAATTAAAAACTTTTAATTATTATTTATTAAAATGTCATAGAAAAGGATTTTTATTTCAATCAAGAAATAACTAAATTTATAATAGTCTTTATTAAAATGGAAGTCATGCATCCTCGCATGATATCTCAATAAAATTTTTTTACCAGATATATCACAGAATTCTAGATAAAAACTTAAAATTCATATTTGCATAGTAAAAAATTTAAGAAAAATTGCAACAATAATAAAATATAGAGTAACATAAAATTCAATCCAAGCTACTTATATAACTTCAACTTGCAATTAAAATTGACAAATTATTATGGGTTAAGGTGCATTTAGCACCCGAACTATTTTTCCAGATGCGCCCAGTGTCTTAAAGTAATTTTTGATACATTTAGTGTCTCAAACTAATTAAAATGGTGCATCCATATCCCAAGCTAACAGAAAAGTTAAGTTTGACCGTTACTGACTCAGCCGAATATTGATCGAAAAATCCTACGTGGTAGACACGTAAGCGTCTGATGTGTATTATTTTGACGAGTTAAAGTGCACCCAGCACTTCGAACTATTTTTCCAAGTGCGTCCAGTGTCCTAAAGTCTCGTTTGACCGTTACCTTGCTGATTCAGCTGAAGGTTGAATTAGGTGCGCCCAACACCCCGAACTATTTTTGGTGCATCCAGTGTTCCAAACTAATTAAAACAGTGCGTCCATATCCTAGGCTAATAGAAAATTCTCGTTTGATCGTTACCTTGCTAATTCAGCTGAAGGTTGACCAAAAAATCCTACATGGTGGACATACAGGTGTTTGATGTGCATTATTTTGACTAAAGCTCTAGAGATGAGCCCGGTGGCAGCAGGTGTTTTCTCGTCAGGTGACGGTGATGTTGACAGAGTGACCAGGGAGAAGTTTATTGTGTTCTATGATGAGGAAAGCAAATGCGAGTCGGATGAGGAGTTGACAGAGACAGAGACGGAAGTGTGCTGTGACGGCGGTTGTGGTTTCAAATTGGAGTGGTGGAAGAAATGGGATAAAATGTTAAAGACGAGGATGTGATTGAATGGGTAATACATGTGCCAGGATTTAAGAGGGTGAATCAGTGGTCTTTCTTTGTTTTTTTTTAAAGTTTAAAAACTGGCAAAAGATAAATGTTAGAAAAGGAGAAAATAAATTGAATTTTTAGTCAAAATAATACACATTAGGTGCCTGTGTGTTAGCCATGTAAGATTTTTCGATCAACCTTCAGCTAAGTCAGTAAGGTAACGGTCAAACGAGACTTTTCTATTATCCTAGGACGTGGACGCACCATTTTAATTAGTTTAGAATATTAGATGTACTAAAAATTACTTTAAAACACTGGGCTTACCTGGAAAAATAGCTCAGGATGATGGGTGCACCTTAACTCATCAAAATAATACATATCAGATGCCTACGTGTCCACCACGTAAGATTTTTCAGTCAACCTTTGACTGAGTCAGCAAGATAACAGTCAAACTTAACTTTTCTGTTAGTCTAGGATATAAATACACCGTTTTAATTAGTTTGAGACACGCACCGAAAATTACTTTAAGACACTTGACGCTCCTGAAAAAATAATTCGGGATGCTGGACACACCTTAACTCAATTATTAAAAATAAAATCACACCGGTGGCCAAAGGAATGTGAACAAAAACAGGCAAGATCTCATGAACACACACACACTCATAGAGGCATATGAATTGTACTTTTTTTTCCCCTTCTGATTCGAAGAGAAAAAAAAATCGAAACATGTCAAGATTGCTTTCCCGACGTTAAGACGGTTATTTTAGAAAAATGGTAACTTAGGTCTCTAGCTTCATGAACTTTTTTTAAAAGGAGAAAAAAAAAACCAAGTGCATGATTTTTTTCAGCACTCGTGCTAAAGGAACAAACCACTTGACTCAGTTTTTTGAACGTAAACTGAATTATTTAAGTTAAATAAACCATACTTTTCCTATTAAATTGAAAATTTATTTAATGCAAATACGTGATAACAAATAAAAATGCGTTGGCAAAGACAACTCTTCCAGATGAAAATGATGAAATGAACAAAAACCGTGGATGGATGAGCACGGGGAGAAGATATTTAAACGAAAAAATATTTTTACAAAAAGAATACATGCAAGAGCTACAATATCCAGCTTACCTGGGGATGCAGGTATGGAATTTCTATTATAAAGGGAAAAGGGCTGCGTGTTGAGGTCGGAAAACAACCATCCTTTAATCTCTTCTTTTTGGGTTGAAAGGACAATTGAAAAGAAAAAAGATGGGTCATAGAGGAGGATAAAAGAAGGAAGACACGGAAAAGCAGAGGAAGAGCAAGCCGCCTATCGTGGCAACAGTACGCTGTGAGATCTTAGATGCCAGCATGCTTCCTCCCACCACTGCTAGAGAAGTACAGATGGTGTGTCCAAAAGTGGCCCCAACTGCCACTCCCAGTGCATTTTTGTGTGTTGCCAGCTGCAGAACAAGTCAGAGGTTATGAGGAAAAGGAAATTTCTGGTAGAGGCATGGCAAGTGCCGAGAATAACATGTTAAGTATACACTCAAGATATGAGGATGAAGAAGAACATAACAATAATCAAGATTGTTACATGATCCCAAAAGTTTATAAACCTAGTTCTGAACTGTTTAGCATATCTTGATAAGTGCGTGCAAGCCATTCGAAAAGGGCATCTTCTCGTCTTAAGAAACTGACTAACAATAATTTGGAAGAGATGCACAGAATGCGCAAAATCTAATTTTAGTGACAGATCCACCACGAGTAGCAAAAAAATATTTGCTAGAACAGCACGGATGCCCGAACTTGAAAAATAAGTAGATTCATTAAAAAGGAGGTGAACCCTATATGGGAGGTCAAGCAACATCTGCTGTGGGGAATCTCACAGCAGAGGATGCAGCCCGCAGCGAGTAAGGGTCACATATAATATTGTTTGTCTCTCAAAAATTGAGATTATCGTGGAGGAAACAGCCACAGGTATTTGTATTATTGAGTGACAAAGCTCCCCAAAGAATGTAGGTCTAATGAAGAAATATACTAGTCACAGGCATAAGAAAACATCGTACTTAAAAGCAATGCAGAAAATAAACCAAAAACTGAAACCAACAAATTAAGTCGCTTACAGCAATGGTTGCAATCTGGCTGCGATCCCCCCACTCAGCAAGGAATGTTAGAATAAAAGACTGCAAAGAGAAGGCTGCAATCTCAGATGTGATTATAAACACACAGTCAAACAAATTATGGAAAAATGGTACATGCCTCCAAAAATATAGGCGTACAAAATCTTGAAAAGAAGCGCCGGAAGGTCGTTTTCCCCTGTCCAGCTTCAAGTTTCTCCTCCACCTGATTGACAAGAATAACATTCAGTGCCAAATTTGACCGTAGAGATGAAGGAAGCGGGGAAACAAGACTGTACTGTGCATAAGAGATGCTTTTATAAAGCAATACATTCCAAGAGCATCAATTAATAAACAGCTATACGATGCTCGGGGTGCAGACCATGGAGGGAAAGGAAAACTATAATAATAACACCTTGTTGGTTAAGATTCTGGTTCTTGGAAGAGTTGAACGTTTAAAATTAGGATGGCACACGAATGTAGTGAACTGCTATGGCCATGTAAAACAAACCATTCCAGTCAACAAATTCAAACTCAATACTGATATTTGAAACTAGACATCCATGATCCCATATGACTGAAAATGCACAGAATTATGTCTAGAATTCTACTATTACACTGTAAATGGTAAATAAATACCTACTTCTTCCATTTCTTTCTTCTGTGAAGACTTTGAGTCTGACCTCCAAGCAATATAAAGTAATCGCAACCCAAAGAATGCATAAAGAACTGCATATAATAATTAGAAAAAAAAATTATACAGACAAGCTTCACACAATCTTTCTAGAACCTATAAAACGGACAGAACGTCACATGTAAACATAGAATTATGAATGAAAATATGCAAAATAATAAACAAACAAGAAAAATAAAAGTCACCAAGAAGTTAGAACTGGGCAGCTAAAAAACACACACAACCCAGTCAAAAACTCTAACGGGGCAATGGGTACATTTATATTGTTCATTCTGGCTTAGTATGGTTAATAAAGATTCTCATTAAATCTAAATGAACGGAGATCAAACAAAAGGCCCATGTGAACTTAATCCAAACAGAAGCAAATTAGGCTAAATTGGGAAAAATTCTTGATCAATAACATAAATATGAATCATCATGAAGTTGGACACTTATACTAGAAGCCTGACAAAGGAAAATGGGTATATAATTGTAGTCTGGCAGAATAAAGTTGCCAAACAGGAAAGAATCAGATGTCATTGGCACAGCACAAAGATGAAAATTAAAATCTTATACCCTGTTTGGTATGTTAGAAGAGATGTTGAAGGAAAATGGAACAGAAAAAGGGAGAGGATGTGTTTTACCATACTAAAAGACCAAAATACTTTGCCAAAATCTATAGAGAGAGAGAGAGAGAGAGAGAGGCCCACTTTCAAACTCCTTCAAAGACCCCCAACCCTAGCAAACCCTTCCCCCTTTAAAGGATCTCTATGACAGTCCCCAAAATTCAACCGAAAACACTCAACGACTTCATGAGGTTGATAAAATCATGTCTGAGAATCTTGTTTTTGCGTTTGTTCATTGAATTGGATTTGTATGTGGCTTGTTGCAATTTGGTCACTAACCACCATTGATCTCACTTCCACTTGCTGTCACTATTATGTGGAAGTTGCCCTCAAGCGCTATGGCTCGAGATGTTGGAGGGCAATTTGGTCAAGAACTTCAACGCATGAGAGTCTCCGTTCCATGGAAGCCAGGCAGTTCCATGCCCCATGAGATGGAATCAGCTTCAGGCCATTTTGATGGAAGTGGCACTTAAGTTCTAGAGCAATATTCAAGCAAAATAAACACTTCCACTATTGTTTTGACTTCCTAACCTCTGATTCCAATATATCAAATGGAGCATCATATTATGTTATAACAATTAACACAAGCAACTATGAGTCAAATCTAAATACAAATAAGCTTAAACTAAATGTGTCAAGTTCACTATATCACATCCAACAAACAAACAAGTGCTATGCAAAAAGCTTCAATGACAGTGCAGATGCAACCATTGCAATTCATGTAAAGTAACGTTCAAATCATTTTTCTTATTGCTTACTCTTTATAAATAGCAAATCCTCATGAGAAAAGACAGAAATATAGCTGTGCGCTAAGTACTAATCCAAAGGATTTACCTGTAGCAGCACTATTCGTATGCTTCCTTGAAATCAAATTCGGCACAATCCTACCTAGTCCAGTAGAAAGTACCTAATTGACACGGATAACAACTTGGCAACATCAACAATAAGAATTAGAGCCCCTTAGAAGTGCTCTAAAGTTATTGAAACGTTTCATTACAATACCAAGCAAAATGCATTTGATAAAGCCCCACATTGTGTAGTCACAAGTAGTTCCAGTGGTCCTTCACTGGCATTGCTTTTTTTTCCCCTTACAAGTCACAAGCCCATTTTTAAGGATGCGTTCCTCCTTCTTTTTATAGTTTTCCATTAGTATCACATGAACAGAACGACAAAAAGATATGTATTGGAGATGAAATAGAACAGATAACAAGGGCACTTACAGTCATAATAATAAGGGCAGAGAGTGCTCCAGATAAGACGGTTGACTTAGGGTGACGCATTGCCATAAGAGCAGCTATTATAAATGTCTCATCTCCAATCTAGCACCAGCATTGTCATTCAAAATGCATAATCAGTAAATCTCACATTGAAACATTGAGAGAAGAGTTAACATGTAGGAGTAACAAAAGCATCCTCAGTCACATGATTGCTCCTACTGGCTAGTAGGGCTTCTCTTAGAGAGAAGAGTTAAGCAACAAAAACATTCTTCGTGATTTGATTACTCCTACTGCCTCGCCCGAATGCAGGATACAACTCCCCATTGCACCGTGCTCTTCAAGTGTGGTGCTAGTTACCCCCTTCTTCAATATCCCGAGGCTTCACACTTAACCAAATCAACTTGCTTACAAATTCACACTTTACAACTTTGCTTCGCGATTGATAACAAACCACAAGGATATATTTAGCGGCTAATTGCTCACAGTTAGAGTGCTTAAACTAACCTCATTGACTTTGAGTGAGTTTTTTTTTTTTTTTTGGGGGCGGGGGGTGCTAACCTCGCTGACGATGATCATCGATAGACTGGCAAAAAAAGCATCAAAGACACCAAACCCAGAATCCAGGCCAAAAGCAATGCCGGCATAAGTTGCATCATCGCTGTTTTTGACCGCATAGTTGCCTAGATTCTTCAAGGTAATCTGTCCACAGAAACTGACATCTATCATGGCACATAAAATAAATAAAAAAAACTCTTAGCTCCTATGCCGGAACTTTTCTCATAGCAAGCCCTTGAGGTTGGGCGAATACAATTTCTTATAAACAACCCACAAAATGCTTTGCACTAAAATTATTTACTCTATCCTCTTATCTCGCGTTTGTTATAATTTTTCCCAATAACTGAAGCTTTGAATATGTGATTAATAAAAGGAGGTGACGCTCACTTGGCTACGGCGGCCCAAATCCAGAGATCCACCGGAGTCTTCCTTCTCGGTATCGAGCAGAGAATCCTAAACATAGGCACAGACCACCATCAAGATGCTTACAGCTATATATGAGCATGCGAAGAGAGAATGAAGGGATAAAAATAACCGCAATGCATAAGAAAAAGGAAAGCGATAGACCTGAGCTAAGGCCAGCAGCAGGCTCAAGAACAAGACGAAATAAAAAGCGAGAATGCTTCTGCGATGGTCAAAAAGCAGGCCCATGGTAGGAATTATATGTAATCCTGTGAACTCCTTTTCTTCCTGCGGGATAAATACTAGAAAGCATACACAATAAAGTCACTCCGCGGAAAGAGAAGACGACTTTGAAGGGAATCCAGGCCGATCAAGGCAGGAACCTCACGTGTATTAACTGGATCTGTTCATTCCCTTTGCCGGTGTTAAACGCCACACTTGCAAATCGCATAGATCTGATCTGAACTGAGAGATCCTGCACCCCGTGAAGATCCCCAGGCGCCCGGCGACCCGGTTTTGCATTTATATATGGATTAAGGTATGTTCAGCACCGAACTATTTTTCCAAATATGTTTTAAAATAATTTTCGGTGCATCTAATATCTCAAACTAATTAAAACAGTGTATTCATATTCTGGACTAACAGAAAAGTTAAGTTTAACCGTTACCTTACTGACTTAGTTGAAGGTTGACTGAAAAATCTTACATGGTGGACACGTAAGCGTCCAATGTCCTAAAATAATTTATGGTGCATTCAGTATCCCAAACTAATTAAAATGGTGCGCCCACATCCCAGGTTAACAGAAAAGTCTCATTTGACTGTTACCTTGCTAAATCAGCTAAAGGTTGACTGAAAAATCCTACATGGCACACACGCAAGCGTCTGATGTGTATCATTATGACTGAAAATTTATTTTTTTTCTCCTCTTCTAACATTTATGTTTTGCCAGTTTTTAAACTTAAAAAAAAAAAAAGATCATCAATCCACCCTCTTAAATTCTGGTGCATGTACCACCTATTCAATTCTATCCTGGTCTTTAACATTTTATCTCATTTCTTCCACCGCTCTGATCTGAAACCACAATCGCCGTCACAGCACACTTCCATATCCGTCTTTGTCAACTTCTCATCCGACTCGCATTTGCTTTCCTCCTCGTAGAACACAGTAAACTCCCCCTTGGTCACTCAGTTGATATCGCTGTCGCCTTTCGAGAAAACACCTGCCGCCACCGAGCTTGTCTTGGGAGCTTTAGTCAAAATAATGCACATCAGATGCCTGCGTGTCTGCCATCTAAGATTTTTCAGTTAGTCTTTAGCTAAATTCGTAAGGCAACGATCAAACGAGAGTTTTCTGTTAGCCTGGGATATGGACGTACCGTTTTAATTAGTTTGGGACACTGGATGCACTAAAAATTACTTTAGGACACTGTGCATACCCGGAAAAATAGTTCAGGATGCTGGGTGCAACTTAACTCGTCAAAATAATACACATAAGAAGCCTGCGTGTCTGCCACGTAGGATTTTTTAGTCAACTTTCAACTAAGTCAGCAAGATAATGGTCAAATTTAACTTTTCTGTTAGCATGGGATATGGATACACCGTTTTAGTTAGTTTGAAACACTGGATGTATTAAAAATTACTCTAGGACATTGGACGCACCTGAAAAAATAGTTCAGGATGTTGGGCGCACCGTAACCTGTTATATATTTTCTTTCTGAAGGCACCAACATGATACGACGAAGTACCATGTGTTTTTTTTGCTGGTCGGGGCAAGTTTTTTCCCCCCGGCGGGTCTTTGGATCCAAAGCTACATTTTCTTCAAATGTCAAGAAATATCTTCTTGCCAAACCAAAATACTTGATATACGTGATATAAAAATTCAATACATTCTTAATATAATCTTTAATGCTCATTTTAGTTCTAATTTCTCAAATTTCAAATCATATTTGATCCTCTATAGAAAAAATGGTCAAAATTTTTATTGTATTATAGGAATTAATATTTTAAATGAAAAGAAATTTGAAGGATCAAAATCTATAATTTAAAATTTGAACGACAAAAACTAAAACAAAAACAAATTTAAAAAACCAAAAATTATATTAACCATTTTTTTTATTTTTATAAAAATAGACTTTTGTTTGTGAAATCATACTAATATGTACAAGGTATGCTGCTATAGCCTTTAATATAAAAGGTCATTAAATATTAAAAAATAGTATTTATTTATTATAAATAATTAATTTAATTAACAATATAGGATCTAACCAAGCGCCCACTACAATTATAGTAACACGTGGCGTATCATAAAATCCATGCACATCCTATAATTGCAAGTCATGCCAAAGGGGATGGGTTTGGGTGCTCATCACAAATATAGAGTACCTTAAATTCATTGAATCTTAATTAAATTTAGATTATTTAGATTTAAATTTTTTTATTTTTATATTTTTAAAAATTATTTTAATGGATACCAAATTTAAAATTATTTTTTAACTATCATTTTCAAGAAATAGTTAATTAACAATATTAACTATACAACGTCTATATATCAGGTATTAATAGTCTAGAGTGTTCATCAAGTGATGAGTGCTAATCACCCAACCCGATTCATATGCAAAATTCTTTCAAAACACAGTCTAAGCATCCATTATTAAAATAGAATATATCTCCCTAATTATCAAAATAATGACATGTAGGTACAACACCGCAACTCCACTTCCGCAGAATATTGTCTCGATTAGTGGAGATCGAGGGACCCATCACACAATCCCTACATGAAATTTTGCATCTCTGAAGGTATTTAACGTCTCCGGCAAAAAAGAAGGCGGAGGTATTTAATGATGCCAAATGAACGTCCACAAAGCCGCTGCAATGACATGTGATATTCTCGGCTGACTCTCAGCGGCGGTTTTCTTTGGCACAAATAACAGGATAGCATTTGCCGTTTCTCTAATTAAGATTTCCGTCCCTGCTTCTTAGAAAGGAACTAGCTAGCTAGTTCTTCCATCCTTGGACTTCAGATTGCAACTGATCACAGACACAAAACCCGGAGCTTCTGATTTTGATCTCCCCTAATTAGTTCAAGTTAGCCCGAGCATTTCCCTGGTGAATTCGAAGAAGAGATTCCAAGCAACCGAGTCAACTCTTCTCGTAGCGATAAGAGAGATGCAAGACATTTCAAAATTCACTGCCTATCAAGCAGCAAAGTAATAAGACTGCAACTAAATCACCCCCACGCAAGAACAAAAGTCTCTCTTGATGTATTGCGAGACTCTAGATATACTGATAGGCATCAGGTGGATAGACAAGGTTTTGGCTGATGTTTTCTTGTCTTTGTTCTATACATAGTTTTATGTGCTGTCGCGTTGTATGTTTGTTTTGTGGGTTTGACTGTATTTCGGCTTATTGAACTCCTGTTTCGTGCTAGTGTTACATTCAATAAAAGTCACTGTCTAGCTCAGAAAGAACAGCTTCTTGACGCGCGTTCTAAAAATATCCTCCATATGTATATATTTCTTCTATTTTTACGTGCTTTATTTGTTTGTTGACTTTAGTAGTACCTTTCATCCTTAATATAAAAATTAGATAACTGATTTCGAATGATTAAAGAGATTAGTTAAATTAATTATTTATAACAAATATATATTGATTTTCTTAAATCTTTTCTATTTAATTATGTACATTAAAACTACATTTAGATAAAAATACTTAACAATTAATGAGAATATTTTTAAAAACATATTATAAATTTGGGAGGTAAAATAAATTGGGATACTATATTTAGAACTGTCAACTAATTTTTATATTTAAGACAGTGTAATTTAACAAGCTGATGATCGAGTCATCAAAACAATGTCATAAAATAATAATAAATACTCGTTCTAACGCCGCATACTTGAATTTGGGAAAATCGATGCCCGGGAAAATCCAACGAGTTTGCATCCTTTGGGCGTTGTCAGGGAACATTTCATTTAGGTGGTTTCGAATCAATGAAAATTATTTTGCAAATACTTATATTTTTTCAATTTTAAATTTGATACTAATATATATTTTTCTCGTGATTAAAGGATTTAATCAAGAGAATAAAACATAAATTGAGAAAAAAAAATATAGGTACGTACCAAATAATTTTCTCTTAGATAATTTATATTGTATTATTTGTGCGTTTTGAGTTTAGTTAAAGTTATACTGAAGGCAAAGGCGCAAAGGGAAGTTCCGCGTCATTTTCTGTTGCTCCCCCCCTAGCCACGGGTATCCTCTTACGCTGTCTTTGACTCGATAGAGAGAAGGAGAGGAGAGAGATTTTAATTAAGAAAAAGAGAAGAGAAAAAAGAGAGGATAGTTACAAAAGAGAGGAGAGGGAGAGGAGGGATTTTAATGGTCTTCTATTTGGATTGATTGGAGGGGAGAGAGCAATTTTAATAATACCTTATTTTGTTCTAATAAAAAATTGACTATTTTAACCTCACTTATAGGATATCAAGATAAAAAGTTACGAATGATAGATTTTAATCAAAGAAAAAATCTTGAAGGTGAAAGAAAATACCAACAGCTTCTTGGAATTAGAAGAAGAGAAAAAAATTTACAAATGCTCACTAATTTTGGAAACAATTATCTCAATAACTTCTTGTTAAATGCTCAAAAGAACTCTCTTATAGAAATGTTTACGATTGATTAGGGGTTAACAAATCAAAAGGGTATATGAGGAATTAAAATATTATCTCTCATCTCCTCTTTAAAAAACTCATTTTTAGAGGGGAGGCTAGAAGGGAAGAAAAAGAGAGAAGAGTCTCTCCCCTCTTTAAAAAATATCTTAACTAAACAAGAGGAAGGGAGTCGTTTCTTTCCTTTCTTAAAAAATTGTACCAACCAAACAAGAAGAGGGGAATAACTACCTTTCCCTCCCCTCCGAAAACCCGTACCAAACATAGTGTCGGGTCTTTTAGTGAACATTTGAATATTGTTTATCAGGAAACAGGCCCTTTTGCGATTGGTTATCTGTTGCTTGTTTATTTTCTATACTTTTTGGTGGAAAGCGGGTCAACTTCGTGTAAAAACCGCACCGTGTGTGTTAACAAAACATATTTTGGGAGTAGATCACCCCAAATTTTTATTGTCCGCTCTTTTAGTATTCTACTTTTAAAATTTATTTAAGCCAGATCCGCGAATATGGAGTTAAGAATAGAAGTGGGCGTTTATTGAAGAGGGAAAATGGCGGGAGCGGGTGCATGTTACGGAAGAAGACGACGGCGGGAATGAATAGGAAAGCAGTTATGGTAAATTATCTGGAAGGAGCGCGCCACATTGAGGTAAACCAGGAAAGTCAACTTTTTCAGGAAAAGGGTAAAAAGAAAGGAGACAGGATGCGCATACGTGTGGCAGGTCGTCCGCTCTCTGAGAAGGAAAACTAAAAAATAAAAAACTAAAAAAGCAAACAGAACACTGGGACTCCCTGGTTGGGTGGTTGGTTTTTATTCCCTCTCCCGTTTGTGGAGAGGAGAGAGCGCCTTTCTTTCTCTCTCCCCCCAAGGAAAACAAACCAAAAAAAAAAAAAAGTTTTCTTTTCCGGCGCCTACCAATTGATCGTCTTACTGGTGCGGGAATGGGAATTCACGCGGGCCTCTCTTCCCTCACACCCCGTTGTTGATATGGAGAAGGTCTCTTACCAATGGATTTTGATGCCGCAATCCCTATGTCCCCGGCGGCCCTCTCCCCAGGTTTTCCATCTGCTTCTTCTCCTCCCTCTTAATTTTGATTTTCTTCCGCGTGCTTGTGGTTTTTCCCTAGCAGAATCCCTTTTCATTATGTGAATTCCTCCCCCTCGCCCTCGTTTTTCTCGGCTTCATCATCTGTTGGTATCTGATTCTTATTCCTGTCTCCTCACCATTGCCTGCTTTCCCTTCCTATTCATCTGATCGCTTTTGTAATTATAGCCTTCGTTGCCTTTCTTGTTTTGCATTTCTAGGCCTGGCTTCCTTCAATTTACTTTATTCGACTATTTTGCGATTAAGTTGGGTTTGCTTATCGGTTAAATTGGTACCTTTTCCCATTTCAATGCAAGTTTCCTTCATCGATCATCTCTCTTTATTTTCCGCCTCTCTTCTTCCGCTTTCCTTTTTGAGCAATTTAAATTGATTAGCTGTTGTTCGGTTTATTGAACACAGGATGATGGTAATTTTCTTATATAGTTATCCTTCTTCTTTGCACAGCCTTCATTCCCTGCTTCAGTTTCTAGCAGTTAGCCCACAAATGACATTGGAGACTAAGTCGCTTCAGTTTAGGATCGTGTTTTTTCCTTTTCCTTCTTTGTTTGTTTGTTTGTTTGTTTTTTCTTTCCGGTGGGGGTGAGGGGTTGGTTTGCATCTGCCTCTATTGACCCTACCCTAATGTTTTTATGATGAGAACATCGACCAAAGACCTTATCATTTGACTTTCTCTTAACTCGAATGCTCTTTAAATGCAAAGGAAAATTTTAGTTGACTAGCATCTTATGCAATTCTCATCTTTCTCAAATCAGCAAATTATACTGGTTACTTTAAAAATAGAAAATAAATAAGTATTATATCAATTAGCAAGCAAGCAATAGTCCCACCGTATTAAATAGTGCTATATATTTACTTCTTGTCACCATTTTGATTAGCAACTTTGTCAAACCCAGCTCTCGCCGTATTAAAGTAAAACCACAAAGGACCAAAAATTGATTGGTAATTTGAAAGGAGCCATAGTTGTGAGGAAGGCAGTGCAGCTAGCATTACTCCATGGCAAGAGACGGCAAGTGCAAAAAGGCAAAAGGGAAATTGACTTGAAAGTTCTTGTTCATGCATGTAACTCTTTTGTCCAGGATGGGGCCATTAAGAACCCAACCGTGATTGGAAGTATCATCATTGCTTCTAGAAGTCATATTCATTTTACTGCTTTTAGAGACCGTTTGAGGGGTCAAGAAAGTGAATTAGGAGCAAGAATTTTCATCAACTTCTCTCTTGGCATGCATGAGTTGGAGCTCTCTATTTTTCCACCTGTTAAATGCATATTCACAACATAAATTTGTGTTATAATTATTGACATCAGACCGTGACCAAATCAATGAGGATGATATTTAATTTCTTCGATTTCCATTCTATATTTTGTATAGATTTAGATTAGATGATGTCTGATTTGAAAATTTTACTTTATTCTTGTGATGTTATTTCAGATGCAATGTGGCAAATGAAATTGAGATCAGGTGAAACAATGGAATCTGGACCTTATCCTGAGCGCTCAGGAGAATTAGATTGTTCTTACTACATCAGAACAGGCCTTTGTAGATTTGGGGCAACCTGCCGATTTAATCATCCTCCTAACAGGAAGCTGGTATAAGTTGCAATCTATGTTGAAAATTTGTGATTTTAAGTTAATACTATCAGGGTTAGACCTTGTTGGCATATTATTATTAAGATTTTTAAACGTACTCATTCCAAAGCCTTTTTATTATCACCATAGGATCCCTCAAAGTGATGAAACTAATGACAGCCTATCTACTATTTTCCTCTGTATATATGTATTTTTTTTTGCCGTGGCGTTTCTTTGTTTATTTTCTTCCTGTTGTTAAGAACTTGGATCTTTTATTCAGCAGATTATTATAATAATGGCATACACCACAAGCATATAGACACAGCGAGAGACTGTTACTTTGCATTTTCATTTTCTTGATCCGTTTCTCATACTTTGCTGCTAACTTTGGGTGTATAAAACTCTCTTTTTACATGCAAAAGTCACATATCTTATGCATGTTTGCATGTTGATCTGCGCATGCATGTTTCTTGTACTTTTGTGCATAAAATAAATTACTTGTGTCAATGATGCCTAATGTTAAACCGCATTGTACTTTTAATACCTTTTTTTTTAATTTTTTTTATATTATGTTATAACATTGGAGAATTTAAATTCCTCATAAATTTTTCTGCAAATGCATTCAGGCTATTGCCACTGCAAGGATGAAAGGTGAGTTCCCAGAAAGAATAGGACAGCCAGAATGTCAGGTATGTGCTTTCTTCTTAATGCACGCACTAGGCACACTGTTGCTTATATATTAGGCGTATGCTTTGCCAATTAGCTCATTCTGGATTTAGAATTTTTGTAAATTTTTTAAAATCTGTTTGAGGTACTTGGGTTTTGAGTTAACATTCCTTTCAGATCTCATATCAAGTTGAGTGAGCTAAGCATTCAGTGTTAGTAATTCTGTATAGCTCAACTTTTAAACAGTTTAGAATGGAAGTAGGGGTGCTTTGCATACCATCTATTTTATGTGCTATTTATTGTCACTGGATTTATCTGAACAATAGTTTTGTTGAGGTGGAATGCCTTGATCTTACCTAAACATTGATGTAACTTGTTCCTGATAAATATGTTAATTTTATTGTTGTTTTCATAATATATCTACCAGTTATGTTGTGTAAGAAAGAGTTGGAAATGATTCAAACTAAATTGTAAATCCTTTTTTTTTTCCTTTCAATTTTTCATTTTTGTTCCAAAATTCATGTTCTCTGAGCTATATGGATGTTAATCTCATCTTTTATATGCTGAACATTAGTTTGTGTTGTGACGTAGGATGCATCTAAACTTGTGTAATTTTGACCTTCAGCATGTTTCGAAAACTAATATATTTTATTTGGTTCCCAGTATTATCTGAAGACGGGAACTTGCAAGTTTGGAGCCACATGCAAGTTTCATCATCCAAGAGAAAAGGCTGGGATTGCTGGAAGAGTTGCCTTGAATAGTTTAGGCTATCCAATTCGCCCAGTTAGTATGCTAATATTTTCCTTGCCATAATAATATGACTTGGATACAAGTAATAAATTCTGAAAATAAATACAAGTAATTAATCAGTTTGTGGTTTATTCTTGCCTCATTGATGGCCGTGTTAATAAAATTAACATGGTTAATACACATTTAGGCAAGTGAAGTTTTAATTCAAATTATCCTTATTTTTGTCTTATGGTTTTCCAAATTTTGTGGGATGCAGTTATGCATTTATGACACCCGAATCTTTTCTAGATGCTTTCTCTAGTTTTTGGGGATTGCTGAATGTATGGTTGTATTTTATTTTATTTTATTTTTGTTTTCTGTTATGAAGAATGAACCTGAATGTGCTTATTATTTGAGAACTGGACAATGCAAATTTGGGAGCACTTGCAAATTCCACCACCCACAGCCAAATAATATGATGATTTCATTGCGGGGTTCTCCTGTTTATCCTACTATTCATTCTCCAACGACACCAGGCCAGCAGTCATCATATGCAGGGGGAATTACAAATTGGTCTAGAGCTTCTTATATTCCTAGTCCACGCTGGCAAGGCCCTTCAAGCTATGCACCTCTGATTCTACCTCAGGGAGTGGTTTCAGTTCCTGGGTGGAGCGCATACAGTGTAAGCTCATCCATGCTTTTCTCAATTAAAGAAAATATGAAAAGTGGTATGCTTTTCATGTGGACATGTAGATGATTATAAGGAACTGTTCTGGGATGGGGTTGTCTTACGTTTAACTTAATGTGATTCACCATTGGACATATGTTGTCACCCAAAAAAAAAAAAAACATTGGACATATGCATCCCCTGTTTCTTTTGCTAAAAATTATTATTTACTGAGTCTTGGCAACATGCTAATGGGCTATTTTGTATTCTCCAGGGTCAGGTTGGATCAATCTCTACTTCGGACAGTCCACAGCAAACAATAGGAAATGGTCAAATGTATGGAACTTCCCGCCAGGGTGAACCAGCAAATGCAGGATCTCAAGGGACATATTCTCAATTTCGTTCTGGCTCTGTTCCTCTGGGTTTTTATGCTTTGCAGAGGGAGAACATATTTCCTGAGAGACCTGGTCAGCCTGAATGTCAATTCTACATGAAGACTGGAGATTGTAAGTTTGGTGCAGTCTGTCGGTTTCATCATCCACGTGAGAGATTAGTACCTGCTCCTGACTGTGTCTTGAGCCCTATAGGCCTTCCCCTACGTCCAGTGAGTTCTATTCTTTACTACCAACGTATCTCTCCCATGATGGTTTTCCCTTTGTCCTAGATTCTATTCTTTTCTAAATGTATAGTGCATGATACCATGATGGTTTTCCCTTTATCTTAGATTCTATTGTTTTCTAAATGTATAGTGCATGATAGCTCTTGGATTGAATCTATTAAGGTCTTGAAAAAGATTTGCCTTTCTAATTTTACTGGTGGCTTACCCAATTTATCACCGCTCGTGGTACATAATGCCTATTTGTTTCCTGTGGTAAACAAAGCTTATTTGATTAGAAAGTGACAAGTTCTCCTTTTACGGATCGTAACCTATAGTTCATTGATATCACAATCTCTGAAAAAACTGTTAATAAACCAGGCGTGCAGCACATTGCACACATGCTGAGATTATTGAAGGGGACATAGAAGATTTAGTTCATGTATGACCACAGCTAACTTAAGAGGGGTATTAATGGTTTGAAGTAGTTGTGAAATGAAAAATATGAGATGACAAAGAGAAAGTGAACACTTGAATCATATGAAGCATCATTTTCCGTGTTATTTTTTCTAATCAAATCATGGTTTCTGAACATTATTGGAGTTACCCCATACTTCTGTGTTTACCTTAGCTTGATCCTCATTGATATGTTGCAAGCTGATAGATGCATTGTCAAATTTCCTCCTACAGGGAGAGCCTTTGTGTGTCTTCTATTCTCGTTATGGCATATGCAAATTTGGCCCGAGTTGCAAGTTTGATCATCCAATGGGAATCTTTGCATACAATATATCTGCATCACCTTCATCCGATACCCCTGTCCGCCGTTTATTGGGGTCTTCTTCAGGAACTGCTGCATTGAATTTATCATCAGAAGGACTTGTTGAGTCAGGCTCAGCAAAGCCCCGGCGGCTTTCACTGTCAGAGACGAGACAGATATCTTCCGAAGAAAGCATTGATGACGAGGGATGAATGAAGTGTTTTAGAAATGGGTCATTTGCCTTTTACAATTTTTTTTGGGGAGATAAATGAGTAATCTGTAAATTCATTTTCTCCATTGCTGGAGATGTACAGAGGTCATGTCATGGTAACTCTGTCAACCTGAAAATGCATGCAGTTGACGGATATAACTGTTCTGGATTTCATGTTGCCATATTGTATAAAATTCAGCAAATATTGTCACATTGGGTCAAACCTGATGTGAACATTTCTTCTTTCCTTAAGCCTGTCCTTTTAACTAACTTATTCCTGTGATGCAAAATTATCTTCTTGCATAATTTGATAACCGAATGCTGCCTCCTTTGTGAATAGTTATGCAGGTTTGAAATTCATATCTGCGCTTTTAAGACCGGTCATTATTCGAGTCTTATCTTGTACCGGCTGCAGCACCAAACACATCCGTGTTATTTTGGTCTGCATCTGATTTTTTAGAGCAATTATGCTGCGTGTCTCGTTGTTCTTTGACTGCACTATGATAAGGAATTAGATGAGTCTGATACATTATATGGAACTTCAAAAATTTACATTATTTATGACTCATAAATAGTGCAATCTTCTACATATTTTAAATTGCTTTGAGCTTTGAGATTAATAACTTGCAAGGGATAGGTTAGCAACATAAGAGAGGTTATGACTGAGTTATCATTGGGGTTACTTGAGTTATTTTTCTATGTTCTTATCTTTTTCCCACAATGTTCTTGTAATTAACTAAACATTTTAAGTGATTTGATCATGCATATTACTCTTCTATAGTCATCTTGCGACGTAATTTGGATTTTAAGAGATGACTGTCGTGTAGGAGTTGCAACCTTGACTTAACTACATTAAAAAATACGAGAAAATTGCTCATAAGTCATAGGGATCCAATTCCAACATATTTGTCATTAAGGACTTCAATTTTGTACAATTGCTAATAACTGCTAAATTTCTTGTTAGCAATTGATTGTGAAATGATCAAAATGTCCTTATAAATGCCTTTACATAATTTGTAAGAAATAAAAATATTGTGAATGGTTCAGCAGTGTTTTGAAAATATTCCGTGATTTACAAGAGGTTCTGCACAAAGTTGAAATATTGAAGATTTAAAAGAATGAATAAAAAGTCTTGCATAGAGTTTAAACTTTGAAGGTTGAGCAACCTCAGGTGTCTGCCGTGGTATCGTAAGGAATGGTTATATTTGCGAATTCTCCATAGTCATTTTCTTCACGTTGCAGCTGGGGATGATTTTATCAGCACATTTAACCGCAAAAGTACTAGGCTACTAGACATAAAATTTATGTCGGAAACGACAGAAGATAAAAGGGTGCACCTCCAGATTGGGATCTTCGTGCTTATCGTTTTCTCCTCTTGAGATGTACATACGGCGCAAGCTTAGCTTGGTTCTGCTCCTGAAGTCATGTTGCATTGGCTATTTATTATTATTTATATGGATCGTTCCAACATTCATCCCGCTCCACAGCCGCTCTCCATCGTTTTCTAAATTCACGTAATTCCCGAAACGACCGTCTCCTCACCTATCAACAGTGGATCATTAAGCGAGTAAGGCCAAGGGATTACTTGCGTTATGAAAAATTCAAAAACAGAAGCTTTTCTTTTTGCCCGGTCAGAATATGGGATTTTGCTTCTATTGACAAATCAGGGCAGGACAGGATGATAACTTACGCCGACTCTGTGATCCATAGCCTGAGATGAGACCTGCATGTCGCAGATAATTCTCAGTTTCATTTCAAATAAGCCTTCAATTCCATATTAGGATTGGAGATATTCTATTTCTGACCTCTGTATTCTCCTCTAATGAACCTCCAAGAGTGGGGCGATTATAGTGGACTATGTATTCGGCATCCACAACGCCAACATTTTTTGTTCGGTCTCCCTATCCAGAAAAAGCCATGGTCAGCATTGAACTAAAAGCCAAAAGCAAAGGATGGATACTATGAATTTTGCTTGCCTGCGCGCAATAACCAAGCTGGATATCTAGTCCCCATGCATGGACCAAGTCACTCTGTAAAATGAGTCATAAACAGTGAATAAACATGTAATCTTTAACGCTAAGCATCACAGAATGACGCACCTGGATCATGTACCAAACGCACCGCCAGGCGGCTCTAGAAAAAACAGGAGCCATCATCTCTATCCACCTAAAGCAAAAATTTTATATTTCTTCAACTAGAAATAATTAAATAAAAAGATCGTGTGAGGTTACAACAAGAAACTTGTACCCGGTGCAAGGAGGGGCTGTACTGTTATCATCACACCCTTCACCACTACCAGCAGCCTTGTATGTCCTTCTGCAAATATAAAATGACCCAAAGCATTCGTATGGTATACAGAAGAATTTGAAGCAAGATCGAATATATCATCAGAAACATGAAAACTTAAGCTAAGCTTTTTCTCCTGCCTTTCCTCCGCTGGTGGGCTTGTACTGTGAGGTAACTATACCGCAAAAGCGCAGGGAAAATACGGCATCAGAAAATAAGGGGCAAGAGGGGTTGAGAGGGAGAGGGACTTCCACAAGGCTTCAACAAGACTTTAGTCATTCACACGTATTGCTAGCTGGTTAGTGATTTAGTCAACCTTAAAAGTCTTTCCTATCAGGAAATAAGCGGAGTCCTGTAGAGACTAGAAAGGTAATTGCAGATTGCCAATGATACCTCAACATCTAGCTGACGAAATAGAGGGGAAAAAGCCGTCCCTGATAAATATGTTTTGCATATTCCTGGGGTAGAAAGGATACCTGTGCACTTCTGACCTCCTACGTACAGTAATCTGATGATGCACTTCTGATTCTTTAGGATCAAGTGCAGGTTGTGAAACCTCCAGACCTTCTCTTTTGATGATAGATACATACCTAAAGTCAACCAGGAGACGTCGGACATTCATTGTTAAGAAGATTTGCTTGCCAAGTTTTCCAATAAAATCGGGTTACCCTCCCAATACATTGATTTTTGATATGATGGTAACTAAAAGCTACATGAGATTATGTAAACTACAAATCTACAAAATTATGTTGGTTGTGCATTTGCTCTATTCATATAGCATCAATCCTTGAAGTTTAAAGGTCCAGAGGGGTACAACAAGTTAAACTGATCAAATATTCACAGAACAAACCATTCACTGCTCCCGGAAAAGATATTTCACATACTTATCAGGGTGGAAATTTTCAACTCCGAGGTCCTCATCCCAAAGGAAAATATATCCATAATCTGCAACTATGTCAGGGTGTAAGAAACGCTTGGCAAACCACCTAATCAATAAAAACAGGCACATGAAATAAGCACATTTAGGGTAACTAATACTATCTTATTGATGGGGAAGAAAAATGGGGATCATTTACCATTTACTTTGATTAATGGCAGACACATGAACCACTTGATCACTCCATTCAAAATCCTTCCACTTGTCCACAATACCATCGTAATGGAAGAGCATCACAACGAAATCACTTGCTAGAAACTGAAATTTAAAAGGAAATAAGGGTCAGGATTCATGCACCATAATGGAAGTTAGCAAGCAACCACAAAATGGGTTGGAAGACCTTTTGAACCATTTTGCTCACAAGATCTTTCTGCTTTAGCCCAGCTGTCACCGCAAACAAATTGGTTGACACATTTGCCTTAATCTGTTTAAATTTGTGCAAGTCAAGCACACGCACAATCGCAAATAAATTATTTAAAGGAGCATAACATAAAAGTGAGATTGAACGGCCGGTATGTGCATCATGGTAACTGAGTAATGGATAAAGAGATACAAGGTTTAAATAGAAAAGGCACTAATAGCCTGCAGTAACAACTTGAAACTAGAGAGAGAAAGGGAGTAATTTGTAAAAAATATTAATCGGTTTACTAAATCAGAATGCGCGATCTTCCCTAATTAGACACGCACAAAACCTGAACACACATTTCAATAAGCCAAGTATAATTTCTGGCTTGGCATGGTTAACGGTGATATACCAAGGTTCTATGCCGAACTATATAATTCAGTGGGGAGTTTGGTGGGATCCCAGTAAACTTGATACTGTGCGTTCAGGACACACACCACTTCAGCACTCGTTATAAAATTTCCTTAAACAGGGAGGTAATCACGTTGTCCATGTTCTTCTTCGTCCATGGGTCACAAGAAATACACACACAAAAGGTCCGAAACTCACATCTATTTTGACGTGACTTCTTCCTGGAGGATCCCATATGCGTCGCATTTTGAGATCAGAAGTATTGGAGACTATACCTTGAGGTAATGCCTCACTCCCTCTGGGTCTGCACTGATTCTACTAAACAAGATAAACAATATAAGTACAAATTTGGATTTGAACATATACAATGTCCGATAATGAGTAAATCATCTAAAAATATGATGTAATGTCGGAGTATAAGAGCATGCATGGTGAGGAGAACAAACCTTGCATTTGTCAGATTCCAAATTTTGAAGAGCACCGTGCGTTCTCCATCTTATTACTTTCTGTAGTAAGTGAGATCAAAGTGACCATCCCAAAGTATTGAAATTTGAAAGAAATCGAATTCCTAATAAATCGACATCAATTTAACACACGAGCTTCTATATCTGTCCAGGTGGAAAAAAACACTTCTAAGAAGAAAATCCGTCCTCTAAGAGCCACTGGAAAAGAGTGGCTTAATGCCGAGAGAATTTATCCATGTACCTCTCTGTAGCCTTCTGCAAAAAATGAACTTGTAACGAACGTAACAACACAGAGTAAACCAGCTGCCGGGAAGATAAAGCAAAGATACGATTTTTTACTCTTTGAATCAGCAGCAAATAAAGATGCCTGGTACAAGGAAGGAAGGGAAAATGTGCTCAGAAGCATTTATTCGACTGTTTTTTTTTTCTGTGAGTGAAAAGAGATATTATTACTGAAGTACTTACAAAGGCAGGTACGAGGGAATGAATGAAAAAGCATTTATAAGACTTTAAAAGGAAGAAGATGACAGCCGGGGGGGGGGTGGATGATGACGTTGATGGAGGAAGGGCAAAAAAAAAAAAAGATGGTAAGAAAGTATGAATGTGTAAAAATATAGAAGAGAAAAAATCTCCAATCTCTGCACATAAAGGTGAGTGATTATAGTGGGGCATTGGCCAACATATGAAAAGAGAAAGGATCATATGCCTGCCATCGATCTGAAATTCATAAAAGAGTAGGAGAGAATTAAAAGACGGAAAACAAAGGAACAAGAGAGTAGTTGGTACATGATCAGATGGCCTCATCTTCGCCAACAGCGAGCGCTCAATTTGAGTGCGTTGTGATGGGAATAAAGAGTGATATGGATGTAGGGAAGGAAACGGTAGATACGTCGAGGGAGAGTGGGATTGGAAAATGGGCATTGGGTAGGAGGATGAGGAGGAGGAAGCAACGAATAAGGCGCGCGCACGGTCAAGATCGGCGTTACCAAGCTGCTCCCCTCCATCAAACATCCCAATGTTACTCTTTTTTATTTAATTATTTTTTAATGATTCCAATTAACCCGGACTGATTGCATGTTGGACTTTTCCGACCCGACCGTTGTTTAATTCAGAAGTCAATTTTGCTTGTAATTTGTTATTATCTTTTGTCCTGTTATCTAAAATAGCTACCATGTATGAGCAGTTGACAAAAACTTAGTTCGGTGTTCAATTTTATTAATTTTCTCCCATAATATCATTAATTGTTTTAATATTTATATATATTTACGCATTAAATTCTAATTCTAACCGTTAAATGAAAGGGCTGCTTTTGAAAAATATTACAAAACCCTCGCTCTCTCAATTTAGACGTATTTGATATTTAATCCTCGATGGGTAAAATTTACGCAATGTTCTTCTCGAACATATTATGTATGTCATCGTCTTGACCCCCGCTAGCAATGGTCGAGTCCGAGTGAATCACTGCGCGGCATCTTTTTTAAAATGTCTCTGATTTCAGATGAGAGGGGGTCTCACACACACACACACACACACACAATAGGGGAGTAATTCGTGCTTCTTTCTCTTAATGATGCTTTTGCCGTTGAGATTAGACCAGTCGATCGAATATTATATTCTCCTGCTTCTGGCTGGCTAGATCGAAAATTTTTTCTTTGTAAAAAATTTCTTACCGAGAAGAAGCAGTGGAAGCCGCGCATTGAGGAGTGCAAGCGAAAAAACAAGCAGCTCCTCAAACCTTTTAATTACATGTCCACTTTAAGATGGTGTTGAATATATTCTAAGATTGTGCCTGCCGTATTATGTTGCCTCGGGTTTTCACGGTTCACGTAGTGCATCAAAGACTTTCATCATCAGCGTGTTACGTTCCGGCGAAGGAGCGTAGTACAGAGATGCAAATTAAAGGGCAAACACGCGCGAAAAGCGAGTAGTTAAGATAGCTTCTGTAGTAGTCAACACTTGTATTACTAATGCCTTGGCTGGATTAATGTTGTGGTACGTGATGCTTTACACTTACTACCCATATGGGATCGTATTAAAATACGTACGTTGTTCTTAGCAAGGCCCTGCAGAATCACATTTCTTTCCGCTGACCGATAAATAAATCAAAACTACAACTAACAAAATACTAGATTTACACGAGCCTTGAGGGCACGTAATACTTGAGCTCGACAGGCTGCTTGTTGAATGTTGAGGCAATTAATTTAAATATTATAAATTTGAAAATTTAAATAATACTGGTTCCGTAGCAAGGCCCAAGCCCCTGGTTAAAAAATCCCAGATCAGACTGTTAACGCACAAACTCCAATATTGCGTAGTAGGCTATCAACACGGGGAGCGAGACGATCATACCGAAAATCACCCTGCAGCATGCAAAGAGTCGAAATCTTAGGTCTCACGCACACGTACAGCAGCAACAATATTAATTATTTATTTCAAATACTCACGCTGTGCTGAGAACCTCCGGATGCAATCCATATTCTTTGGCAAAAATGAATGACGTTATGGACTGCGGCAACGCTGCCTGCACGACAACATAATCCATAGTCATTTTCTTCTTGTTTTAAAAATCCATCCGTATCTCGTATCATACACAACCCAAATTCTAATCCCCATCATACTATTTATGATGTACATTTCCTGCTTCATCACTTTAGAATCAAATCAACGCGCCGCCTACTGAGACAACAAGTTGTTTAATCTCTACTGTTGTTCATTGATGCTTTCAGAACGGACAATATAATCTTATTGTTCAATAAAATGACAAACAAATTAATTCAGAAACACCCACATATAGTAATTACAACATCGTCAATAAAATTCTCCCCACGTGACATTCCACTTGTTCCTTATTCCTTCCCTTGTCTCCTCTTTTATTTCTTTGTTTGCGTCATTAATTACTTTGATTTCGGTCACGAAAACTCAAAGCTATGCATAGTTCCCTTCTACAGTTATTCCAAACCAAACTAATTCCAGCCACTAACTTATGTGGCGAGTTTGTGGACCATGTATCAAGATTCCCCGGGGGGGGGGTCTAGAAACTATAAGAGGGGAAAAAAAGGATACGCTTTCCTGGGTGGACATTGATTCTCTATCTCTCCTCAAAATTGGTCCATACCGTCCTTTTGTACTCCCTCCGTTCCTTATTATAAGAGACATTGATGCTTATGGCATGTTCCTATATATAAGAGACACTTAAAAGTTGTCTCTATTTTTGTGTGTTGATTTCCTATTTTACTCATATTTATTGTCTCCAACTCACATTCTCTCTCCTTCCCACTTCTCTTTCTTTGAATAATTTACCATTGTCCTCTCTCATGCTCTCTCTCTTTATTAATGAGGGTCTTTTTGGAAAAAAAATTATATCTTTTACACATTGATTGTTTTTAACTAATTTTAACTGTTTTTTTATCAACGTAATTCAGTTATTCGTCTCTTATAATAAGAAACAGAGGGAGTATTTTTTTTCAGAGAAATATAATTACACGACAATGTATAGATACAATTTTATAGAGTATTCTTAATTATGCTAATGAAAAATTAAGTACTATCTCCTGTCCTAATTATAAGAGCTAGTTGACTAATTTGAGGAGATTAAAAAAATAAGTTAAATTAGTTATTTGTAATAAATATGTATTGTCTTTCTTAAAATATCCTTGCTAATCAAGTATATTGGCTAAAATTACCATTATTAGAAGGACTATTTTGAAAAAAAAATACAAAAATATGAGAGACAAAGTGGATTAGGGTCTTATATTTAGGACCAAAATAAAAATCAAACAAAATCTTCTTATACTAAGGACCGGAGGTAGTATTTATGTATTTTTTTCCCTCAAAATAGTCCTTCCAATAATAATAGCTCTAACCAATACAATTGATTAGTAAGGATATTTTAGGAAAGATAACACATATTTATTACAAATAACTAACTTAACTTCTTTCCTTAATCTTCTCAAATTGATCAACTAACTTTTATAATTAGGACCTCAGGTAGTATTTAGCTGCTCATGTTTAAAAGTATTTGGAGCATCAGCAGAATTGTCCGATACAAAAGTACTCCCTCCGTTCTTTATTATAAGAGACGAATAACCGAATTACGTTGATCAAAAAAACAGTTAAAATTAGTTAAGAACAATCAATGTGTAAAAAGTATAATCTTTTTTCCAAAAATGCCCTCATTAATAAGGAGAGAGAGCATGAGAGAGAACAATTAAATTATTAAAAGAAAAAGAAGTGGATGGGAGAGAGAGTGTGAGTTAGAGACAATAAATATGGGTAAAATAGGAAATCAACACAAAAAAGTAGAGACAACTTTTAAGTGTCTCTTATATATAAAAACATGCCATAAGCATCAAATGTCTCTTATAATAAGGAACGGAGGGAGTAACAAGGAAGAAAACGACTTGCCCATCGGGATAAATCTCTTGAAAATGCTGCGTCAAATTTAGGAAGGCAGGTATAAAAGTTTTTATAGAAGTATAATGGAAATTTCGATGGAGAAAACACTAATCGAAGATAAACTCAGAGGAACTTACAACATTATAATAGGAAAAAATCTCTTAAGCATGGAATTTTGCTTAACACTGATAGTTGTAAGAGATTTAATATTTACAAGTTTAATTTGTTTCAACTTATAAACAAAAAATTTGGACCAGTAGATATTAAATTTCTTAAAATTCATTAATATTCAATAAAATTCATAGAAATATATGTGTACTTATTTTTTTTATTTAATATTTATGAATAATTTATTTACCAATTCGCTCACCCAGTCTCTTCCTAGTTCTTACTGTGCACATTTCAATACAATTACTGAATTACAAGTTTTAGGTTAAGCATATTTTATATGGAAACTAGGTAGTAAAACAATGAATAGATACTGTATAACAGTACACCCTAGTATAAGTGGATCATATACATGCAGAGGACGGATTTGCCCCGTCTTAGAAGACACAGTAATCAGTTTGTTATCTTTAATTTCTTTCGCCCTCTCAATCAGCGGGTTAATTAATTTCATTGAGTATTAAACCTAAAATAATAGAGCTGCACATTCGAAAACAGAAGAGGAAAAGGCAAACCTGAATGATAGCGATTCGTAAAACGTCAGCATGCAATCCCACAACGATGGAAGCAACAGCCATAGCCGCAGGTCCGGCTACCAACTTTAGAACCATACCTAATACCGTCAGACTGGATCCACAAGCAATAAACTTCTCCTGAAGCGCCATGAAAATACCTGCAAAACATACAAGACATTGCCCTGTTTAACACACACACACACACAAATACTGCTCTAATAACAGATCGCCATGGCGAGCACTCACCCATACTAAACATGGCAGTGCCTGTGCCAGCCCTGGACATGATTAATACAGACCCCTCTACGATGCTTGGCATTTGCAACTTCCACCTGTTCATCGACTTAATCATATAGATATATATATCATGAAACAACAATCAATTAACTAATCACTCACACATGCCTGTTAGCTATGAAGGCCCAGGAAATGCCAACGACACAACCGTACGTGTTAGGGTTGACTGCGAGCTTCAGCCCCACAATCTTCATGGACTTCCAGAAGGGAGGCCTGCTGCTGCTCACCACCCCCTCATCCACTACCACTGCAACAGCAGTCACATAATCTTTAGGCTTTTGTTGAGAAGGGTTTGCGTTATTAGAAGTAGTCATTCCCGCTCTTCGAAATTCCAAGACAAAGAGGAGGAGAGTGAGCCATACGATGGCCTGCACAACTGAGGACTGGACGACGATGTCGACCCCCAACGGGCCATACATGGCCTTCACGAGCGGCACCCCCACGACCAGAGAGTTGGTTAAAGTGCACAAGGAGAAGCTGGTGATGGACCAGGGGTAACTTCCCTTGGGAGAGCACTTGGCCCACAAGGCCAGCACCGAGACGATGATGAACTTGGAGATGGTGTCGGCGGCGATGAAGGGGAGATTCATGTGGAAGGGATCAATGTGAGCTGTGAACTCGAAGGTGAACAGTGGCAGCGTAAAGTAGCACACCAGTCGGTTTATGGCTTCGCACTGCTCCCTTGTGAAGATCCCCCACCACCTCACTGACCCATACCCTAACACAAGGGCAACATACAGTGGCACCATCGCCGCCACCACCTTATACACATCTTCCCATCCTATCATCTTCTTCGATCGTCTCTCACTTCGACCTGTTCTACTCCTCGGTAGCTTGTCCGCTTATATATATATATATATATATATATTCACGCCCGTGCAGGTAAAGACAAAAGCTAAGTTTTGATGAGGTCTATTCATTCTATTTCTATGGACAAGCGATCTCCTGCTGCGTAGTATATTTTTATTTTTAGATTGTGTATGAGGCTTGGGTGGACGTACGTTCCGAATTTGATTCTTTTCGAGGCAGTGCATATGGGGTGTGTGGTTGATTTTGCCAATGGAATTTGCTTCCGGTCATACAATTTATCAGAATAAGGAATGAGATGCAGCGATTATTCTACTCCCACTTCTCTTGCAAATAGAGTTTTGTGTTTCGTTAACTCATGCTCATTATTATTCCAAGCATATCACTTATTGGGTATTGATCACCAGCTAGCAATAATGCAAGCATCACAAATTCCTGCTCTCCGAAATTTCTTCTTTCCTTGTCTTTTTTCCTGCTTGACATCGACGTACAAATCTCTGTGTCTCACCCTCCATACCAAGCACCTCCGCCTTAAAGGTAACCCGTCAGATTTAATCAACTATATATTTTATTTGTTGAGATTAAGTTGCATATATATCTTGGCGCACAGGGGCATCATGAATCAAGTCGACATTTAAATACGGGGACCAACGTAACTGGAGTGTAATGAGTTATCGCATGTGCCCTTAACGCTGAAGTACCTAGCTAGGTTACACTTGATTTATGTATTACAGGGGCCGGGGTCTAGCCTCGTTATGCCATTGATATTTCAGCCGGCCGTACCACCTCTATCAATTCTTGTTATCGAAGTAATTAATAATAAATATATAATATTCTCACTGGCATTGGTTTTCTTGCTCCGGCTTGTCTTGTCAATGAGATGTTAACGTTCCTGAACTTGTCATGTGAAAAATCAGGGAAATATCTGGTGGGCAACGTAGGCTCCAGGTGATGATTTTAGTCTCGTCAGCACTGTCCATGATGATGGATCGAACAAATATAATGGCTTAAATGGTCTTCACCGTACGTGCACCTGGGAGAACAAATTCAATTCTTGCGCACAGAAATTCATATATTCTGTCTTGCTAATTGTGTACCGGATAGATGAGACCACACGCCCGCTAAATAACTAAATATTAGGAGACACGCGTGCTTGCATGTAAAACTATAGATAGTCGTTCCAATATAATACTACTTCCGGTTTTAGTATAAAATTTTATTTGATTTTTATTTTAGTTTTAAATATAAAATCTCAATTCATTTTATTTTTTATATTTATATATATTTTTTAAATAGTCTTTTTAATAATGATAATTCTAATCAATACACTTGATTAGTAAATGTATTTTTTAAAAAACAACATCTATTTATTACAAATAACTAATTTAACTTATTTTCTTAATATCTTTAAATTAATCAATTAGTTTTTATATTTAGGATTAGAGGTAATAGGAGAAAAACTGCCGAAATATTTCGTCTGCCTCCAGGAACACCCTGCACTTTTCGGCCCTGAAAATCTGTTTGTTTCTAGCATAAAAAGAGCGGAGTGAGTTTGACGCAAGTGGACCCACTTGTAACCACCTGAATTATTCTAATTGGAACTCTTCATCTCCCTCAGGCCCAGCGAAAAGTTAAATTTGATCTCCCAATGCTTCGTTAATTTGGTCTTTTTACGGACCGACACGATCTGGACTCAACGAGTTATTAAAAGAAACTGTAAATTAAAAGAGACAAAATTAATCAAACGATGGCCTTCCAAAGGAATATGGAAATATCAGTGACAGCGCGAGCGATGATGATGTCATGGAACTTTATTTGAATTCCATGTTTGGAGGAGGAAGATGTGTAAAGAACTTGAACTAGCTGTGCAGCGGAGTCATCTGGACAAACTTGCGAAGAGATGTGCCAGCTTTTTTCTAGGGCATCTAATCTCCCTCAAATCTCTACCTGAATTCTCCGATTCGTAGTATTGCTTGTCTGGGCATATAATTTCATCGGAGTGTCACTTCAAGCCATACTTACAGCCCGGCCCATTGTACTCAATTGAATCAGCCACCGCTTTGATCGGTTGAAAATATTATCTCTGGTTTTTAATATAAGACTTTATTTGATTTTTTTTGGCCCTAAATATAAGACCTCAATCCTCTTTGTGTCTCACATTTATGTATTTTTTTCTAAGATAGTTTTTCTAATAATAATAGTTTTAGCTAATACATTTGATTAGTAAGAATATTTTATGAAAGACAACACTTATTTATTACAAATAACTAACTTAATTTCTTAATCTCTTAAAATTAGTCAACTAGCTCTTATAAATAGGATCGGAGGTAGTATAATGATACTGCACATGTGCTTGCCCTTGTCCTCCTTGAGGTGCGTTTCCTTTTAATATCCCTTGTTAGCAGCGGCTACAAGCCCCGACATTTTTCAGCGTAGAGAATTGACATACGCTTTCCCTCTCCAGATCACAGCCTTCCCGACCACCTTGCTTCATCATGTCCAATCCATGCATCTATCAATCCGGAAGAACCCATATATTGTAAAACCGATGGGAGCTAGGAAAGACGAAATCAGAGAAGGGATGGGCTGGAGAGTATTAGCCTGTTAGGAACAAGATCAGTAGCACGCGTCAATGGCACACTTGCCGTTCCCCCACTGCTCCCAGCTGGTTTTAAGTAGTTTATATAATACTACCAAGTTATTTTGGTTCAAATATCTCATATGCATACGTCCGTTAAGTTTATACTTAATAATTACAAAAGTTACATATGCAAGCAAGCTTGACCAGATTGTATTGCCCGGCCCAAGCTTTGGTGATGATAGGGATTAGATAGCATTGCATGGATTACTCGTGTTCCACTATATTTTCATGCGGAACCCGCTCATATTATCCGCCTAGCCATGTTCCCGTCTCCATTCTCGAACCAGTTGGGGTGATGATTATTTTGATAAGTATCTTAAACTTATCAGATCTATACCATTTAGATTTTACTTGGAGGGTCTAGATTAAATTTCTTTTTTTTTTATTTGTTTAAAATAATTATTTTAAGAGATATGGAATATAAAATATTTTTCAAAAATAAGTTTTTATCTACAAATAATTAATTAAAAATTTAAAATTTGAACCATTCAAACAATATCTCAATGTTAAAGATCTGATAAGTTTAGGATGCTCATCAAAATAATGAGCATTGAAATTGGTTTCCTCTATTCTCTAGTCATTCATTATTTGGAAGAATTATAATAAAATCTCGCCAATTAATATCAATCAATCAATTAATCATAAAAAAAATTCTAAAATTTCATTGCAACTAACTACTAAGGAAAAAGCCAAAATATTCTTAATTTATTTTGGATCGTCAATTTCTTTATATTTCTTACAAATCATTAAATTTATGTTGAAAAACGTTGTATTCTTGTAATTCATTTATGCTAAAAGAATTAAATTTAGATATGTGAATTTTCTTATATTTCTTGTAACTTGACAAATTTATGTTATAGATAGTTGAATTCTTGGTGTAAATTATCGAATTTAAGTTTTCATTCAGTCGTAAAATTTACAAGGATTTGCAGCTTAAATAAAATAAAGGTGTTTTTTTTCCATGCATAAAATTTTAGTCAAGGGAATGTAGTGAAATTTCAAAATTTTTTGGGATTGATTAGTATTAATTGACTATTGAAAGGTTTATTGAAATTATCCCCTCTTTTTTGAGAGAATTGCAATAAAATCTTAACAGGAAAATAATTAATAAAAAGTTTAGCAATAATAGAGTTCTAATAATAAGTTTCAAAATAGTAAATAATAACGTTGTCATTCACGCTTACTGGTAATTATTTTCTTTTGAGATCTAATTTTTCCCTTGTCATTCACGGTGCTGCCTCAAGCTTGCCACGTTACCAATACACTCACCGCGGTAAACTTTATAAAACCGAGTACGGACCCAAAGTTCATAAAATGAGGGTCTTTTTTGGTCCAAAACATAAAATGAGGGTCAAATGATTGATTTCCCCAGGATTACTATGAGTATTATGATTTCTTTGGCAAACTTTGTGAGAAGCTTCGCCGTTCGCTGTGGGCTGCGGCCAGTGCTCTGCCTCAGAGGTTGATGCCATCTGATTGATCTCTTCCCGAATAAAAAGCCGGAACGGCTGCCTCGCTCAGATGAACCTATAGCTTTCATGCAGAGTGGGAGAAGCCATACGAGCGCGACATACGCAATCAGATTATTGATTTTATCTTAATCTTCTCCGTGTCCTTGTTTCCTATCAGTTATTTCTTCTTAGCCACGGAAGAAAATGTTCAAATTCTTGAAAGAGGTGGTGGGTGGATCTGGAACCGGACTCAAAGATCTCCCGTATAATATCGGCCAACCTTACCCTTCGGCTTGGGGATCTTGGACTCACTACCGCGGCACCTCCAAGGTACTTTCCACATATTCTTCTCCCCCTCTCTATCATTCATATAATTTGGTATTTCTTCTTCTTTTTATGCCCCAGAATTCTAATTTGATGGAACTGTTAGATTACACCTATGATGGATCTGCTTCTTATCGTTCACGTATCTTGTGCCTCAAATATGATGCCTCTCCCCAGTTGATTACGGTGTTTGCTTGCGTCATTTCGTATTGGTAGTGCCTATAGGCTTCTCCAGTAGCCCGTATTTGAACACTGCATATGTGATAATATGCTCAGCTACCAGCAATTTCACGGTTTCGCTCAGCAGGGACCTTCATTTTTTATGGTACTGGATTGAGTACCAGTTTCTTTCAGAACACATCGCCTTGGGCAGCTGAGTATGCATGGATCTGATGAACATTGAGTCGTTGCCTTGATGGCTACTGGCAGTATTGCTTAGGGAACGGAATAGAACCTTTCTTTGCTTCTTATCCTGCTTTTGTAATCTGCTCGCCAAAATTTAATAGAAAGAAAACAGTCAAGGACGTTATTATAAAGCTGGGGAATGAACAAAATTTATGCTCTAGTTTAGATAATTTGTGGGGCCT